CTCTCCATTCCGCCCTAGATCAGAAGCATTGCGAGTCTGATCCTTTTGGCCTTCCTCTCTTTCCCTTCCGTCTCACAGGTTCCCGCCACGAGCAAAACAGTCGTAGAGCTTCTGGAGACGGCATTCGAGGCTCGTTTTCTGGAGAAGAAGCTCATCGCTTTCCACGGTGACAAGAGAGAGGAGTCCGACAAGATGCTCCTGCAGCGCGCGATCTCCAATCCGGACGAATCGCTGAGTCATCGCGGACTGCCTCGCGTTCACCGTGCCCACTATCGGTCCCGGGGTCTCGATCGAGAAGAAGGGGAGTTACGACCTGGTGGTCGGGGTGGCCGTAAACTCCGACAACCACCCCGACGCCCAAGTCCTGATGCAGCAGATACAGAGGGCGAGAGATGCCGGGGACATACAGATCTTCTACAGCGAACTTCCGAGCCGTCGGAGGGTCCCTCACCCGGATACCAAGGAAGAGGTGTTCCGGATGCTGGAGAGTAGCGACCGGGAGCTCGCCGACCTGATGCAAGGGGTCTCGGTAGATCATGTGGACATGCTGCGGGGTGCTCCGGGAGAGCGTGCCATCTACGACCGCAGCTCCGCAACCTGCAACCTGTACGCCTGGGAGCTCGACAAACCCTGTTGCATCTGGGAGCTCAACAACCCCTGTTGCGCCTGGGAGCTCAAACCTTTGCATTTGCCCTGACAACGTGACTGCTAGCTGGACTAAGTTGGGCATGAGGTTTCCTACCCAAGTCATTGGTATGTACCGAGGGGACTCACTCAACGTGCCCAGCAGTAACTTTCCGAGTGAATCTAGGGCACGTTCAGTGGTCCCGGTCTCTGTTCGTTATGCCACGTGGCAGGTGCGCTCCGGATGTTCATGGAGGGGTCAGACTGGGGTCAATGCCCGGCGGGTCGAGTCGGGTTCGAGGTTCCGCCGTTTGCGGCGCGAGTGAATTCGTAGCGGGTTTTGATTTAACCGAGGTTTAAACTGGTCCGGAATTCGGTTCGCGAGTGTGTTCCGAGTCGAATTTTATTCTGGCGGGGGGGTCCATCGGACGGTGGATGTTATTCCGGAGGCTTCCCTCGGGCCGTCAGATAACTCCGATGTCACCAGTCCCTAATAGTCGGAATCATACGGTATACCTTGGTCGTCCGGTATCAACTTTCAAGTTTCAAGCATCATAGGCTTGGGTGGTTTAGCTTGCTAGGCAGTTATCCGTGACCAGGCTTGGTTTCCGGACCTGCTTCTGAGCCTGGTTTGCCAAACATGCTCTTGAGCATCTTCTTCGATACCGTCCGATAAGCTGTTTTGTTTAGATTCACGGTCCATGCAGGATATCATGTGTAACCTCCTCTGAACAATGTGTCTTTTTGACGCAAAACCCAAACTAGCAAACCCAGTCACTTTCCTGAATATATTCGACAAAATTGTATTATATTGCCAATGGACATCTCGGACAACATTTGTTTTGATTTCACGAAAACCCGGCCCAGTACGGCAATGGCACAGAAACGCTTGGACACTCTGCAAGTCAATCATTCTCGGCGCGTTTCTCGGAGGCGCTCAGAACCGCGTCACTGTAACCCGCGGTTCTGCTTGGCAAACGTCATCTGATACGACGTCAGACTCAGAATCTCGGGCCGGATATATCCTGTCAAACTCGGCGCAAAGGAGCCAAGTCGGAAAGGAGCAAGCTACTTAGCTGCTGTCTGCCATGCCTGAGTCCAAAAGATGATGACATCAGGCAAATTTTGCCGTCAACTGTCATAAGAGCGTTGGGAATGCGTCGGAGCGTTACGGGCGTTTCAACTCTCCGTTTGTTCGTACACTAGGAACATCAGGAAGCCGTGGAAAAGGTTTCCTGCTTATGCCCAGTCGATTACATTGTCATTTATGTATCAGAAATATGGTCGACTTTTGAAACCCACACTGGAGCAACTGATCATGGTGGCTCTCTTTGACTCCTATATATTTTCCGTCTAGTGGGCATTTCGTCTGTCGTTCTGATTGGCTAAGGTTTGGAGGTTAGTGCTCACGCTGGGAGTAGGTGTTAGTCGTGAGGATTGTGTGCGCAGGCAAAGAAAAACAAATGTCAGCAGTGCGCTGAGCGGGCGCCAAATAAATTTCACAGAGGTCTAAAGAGTTTTCACAGACTTTCCACCACCACCACCAATCAGAACGGTTGCTTCCAGGAGGGTGGGTTGAAGAGGTGACACCAGCAAAAGTCCAAGCCGAGAACGTTTGGCGGGGGCGAATGTTGTTGACATCTACTTAACGAGTATGTGATGAGTCTCCTTTCAACTTTCTCAAGCTTCTCATTTTGAGCTTGCATTCTCAGACAAAGGTGAAGGAACTCTTCATCAAATTGGGTTGCGTGAATGCAAGACTCTGTGGCGCCTTGATATATGTTTTTCCCGGTGTTTGACCTTTCGGGGTGCCCACATTGTGCCCCGTTCCTTATGTCCCCAGAAGGCTGAACCCATCAAAGCCTTAATGCCGCATACTTCTATCCTGATTGGGACAGAAGGCCTAAATTCACAATCGATTAGACGGTGGTACATCAAGTGACTCATATGACTGACGTTCTATGTGAAGGTCTCCCTTTCTGTGAGCTTTTCCTGACAGCTGTCTTTCACTTGACAGCTGGCATAGGCTTAAATGTGAATACTCTTATATGCCGCCCAGCATCCATGATGCTTGACAGCCCGCCACTACAGAGATAAGATTGAGGCTTGGAAAACTTGCGAGTGCCCTCAATAACCACTACGAGCCCCTCAGTGTTACACACAGCGTGGCTGTTGAGCAAGTAGATTGAATGCAAACCAGAAGTACTGCCTTGATCACTGGGTATAACCAAAGCAGGGTACGGACCGTGCGCCCCTTGCCCTTCCAGGTGTCTAAGATGCTGCCTCCAGAGCTTCGAAAGAATCTCAGACTTATGCGCGAACTAGACGCGCAGTCCCAAGGTACGTAATCAGGATAGTTGTTGGTTCCTACAGAAAGATATGGATGGCTGGAACTCACCCACCTGTCTTTCTAAGAGATGTTGGCACACGTCTTCGATGCTGTGTCATTGCGGAGGTTACCAACGTAGTGCGCAGTCGAAAAATTTGCATTTTGCCCGTATGGCATACTGTTGGGCTGACTTCGAGGCTAGAAACATTGCACTCATGTTTGTGTTGCCTGGTTGCAACTCAATTGTTGCTCATCCTGGTTGCGGATGTGTGTACGGTTTATTCCTGAACCGCCAGGTGATGGGTGCCAACTTTCTGTTTCCAAACCTGTTTGACAAAGAGTCCACTCACCTGCTAAAGGCGTGTTCATGATTATGCCCCATTTTGAAGACGAACCCCAGTTTAGAAAAGTTGACGGTTGAAAAGTCGTCATGAAACACTGTCCACTGATCAATGGATACAAGGACTCTGGACGTGGAAAACAAGCTCCACTTTTTTGAATGCTTTCAAATTTCTGATGGAAGCTGTTTGCGAAGAAGTACCCATGTTCAGAGAGGAGACAATCGACCTAGCCTGCCCCTCTTGGCTTGCTTCAATGTGCTCCATATTCCATTTCCCTCGAGAAAAAGAATTTTACAACAATCAGAAGACGAATAAACGGAATCCCCGACAGAAGAATCGCAATCCGTTCTTTCCATCTGACGCAAGAACTCGAAGGTGTTCTTAAAAATGATTGGATAGTCAGAGAACTTGACAGCAAGAACTTCACATCGTTTCTTTTTTGTAATGTGCTCAGATCTCCAAAGGCGTATAGAAGACACGCTCGCGGCACGGATTGCCGAGCTCAGGGAGCGCGCGGAGGGTGGGTCGCCGAAGGAAGGGAGTGTGACCCCCGGAAAAGATGCGCATGGGAAGGAGCGGCAGATCGAGAAGGATCATGACGCGTGCGCACAGCTGGCGGATAAAAAGGTTGCTCTTGCGGAGCAAACCTATAACCTGGTGAGCGCTTTTTCGGGTTTGCGGGTAACCCGACCTCGACCCTAAAAAAGTGATCCTAAGAGTTGCCCTGGCGGACCAAACCTATGGTGTGGTGGGCTTCGTACATTGTCAGTCGTTGAAAAGGGATTCCAAATGGGTCCCAAATGCTTCAGGTTTATGCCTGTTCCCGGTTGCCTTGCTGGCGGAATGAAACCGGGCGTAGATATTCTTTGATCTGGCGAGCTTCGGGCGCGTCTTTTGCTTGGAATGATGCCCTGAGCTTTGGGATCATGTTTAGCGCCCGAGATAGCACTGACTAACCGTAACGAAGTTCAAATGGCTGGCATTCTTTGTTTTGGGCGGAATAAGCCGAAAGCGTTTGGCAACATACCAGATGCGCATTAAAGCTTGACTGGCATTGCTGTGCGTAACACGCGAGTTGAAAGTGGCGCTTTGATCAAAGGCGCAACCATTCACAATTGGACCTTCCGGATCTATTAGCACTTGACGTTGAAAAGTAGACGGCTGTTTCTTGGGGTCTGATATGTACGTCATCGGAATCTCGAAGTTCGAAACCGATCGGAGGTGACAGTCTGGACAGCTTTAGTAACGCCAGGATTCGAGATAACCACACGATTGATCGCCCTCTTTGATAAACCCACTGTATCTCAGCTTGACGTAAAGCTTCGTTCCGTTCCAGATTACTCCTTGCATAATCTCAGCAAACGAGCTTTTTCGTCTCGCGTCGGTCGAGCCTTGCGGAGCAACGTTCAACCGAACAATTCAGGATCGATCGAAACGGTCGAGCAAAATAGTCCAGCCGCATTTTTTGTTTTTGGGGTCGTGACAACAAAGATCATCAATCTAAATTTTTCCTTTTCGTGTTTGTATTTCTTTTCGCGGTCGTTCATCTACTAATTCCGAGTAAATACGAGGAAGTTTTGAAAAGGAGAGCTTTTCTTCCCTCACGTCAAGGTCCACTCCAATCGTCACTCAAATGATTATCGTCGTCAGATCGACAAGCATCTCAGACGTTTGTGTGCGGTCGTTCCTTTCCTATTTCTCGCCAAAATCATAGCCGCTCCTTCAATGATGAATCAATGCGCTTGCAATCAAGAGTTTCTCAACTGGGTGTTTTCAGATCGACAAGCACATACGACGGTTAGACACCGACCTCCACCGCTTACAAGCGGAAGTCAAGGCCGAGCGCGCCGCGGCCGCCGCAACTGCCGCCGCCGCAAACCCCCCCCTTCAGGAGCAGCCGAAAACATCCCCCCGGGACAGCAACGGGGACGCACACACCCCGGGGGGCACTCAGCGGAAAAGGTGCGCGAGCAACGAGCTCGGAGAACGGGTTCTGCTTTCACGCAAACATTGCAAGTTTTGCTTTTGCGATTTTTTCGAATGGATCGCATTCAGTCTGGTTCGGTGTGATCCAACCGGAGCGCTCGTACGTTTCCGATGGACGTTGAGCGTGAAATTATGTTCGCAGGTTGCGTCGGTCCGACCAAGTCTGGTTGGCTCGCAAATGGCATCTATACTGAAGGAGACTTCAACTGTCAACCCTCCTCCTTGGCAGCATAAATGACGCGCTTCATGACGTTTAGGCCACCAATTATCGCAGTCATCTGCCCCATTTCTAACCCACGAAGAATGGCCGTCTGGGGAGGACAATATTCTCTATCTTGCAACACCGGAAGGGAGTCTGACACGTGTGCCTCTGCAGAGGCCACGTGGCAACGGGCGCCCCACCAGTGGTTCCGGAGGCGCCAGAGCCTCCCCCTGTGGAGATCAACCTGGAAATAGATCCAAACGAGCCGACCTACTGTTACTGCCAACAGGTGGGTTCCAGGCAAGCACATATTTCACTTCATGTGGCATCGAATCGTATCCTGGCCCCCTCTCTCAGATACGCATGAAAGCATCGGATGACGGATCGGTTTTCTTGGAGGCCTGGCTTTTCTGTAATGCTTAGCATGCTCGCTTGACAATTGACGATTGATACTTGTGCAATGAGAATCGATCTCCGTTTCTTCAGAAAAGGTGGGTCCGAACAGGCGACTTCTGTCTCGACGTCGTTCGCGTTTGCTGTGCTTCTGGTTACTCTCGTTCTGTCCTTTTCGAAAATTTCTGCGACAGAGCTTTCCTAAAATTGGACGGATCTCGAGGGTCGCACTTGTTTAGTTACACGGCATATCTGCCATTGCATCGACGTATCTTTGATTGGCAGGCGAGCGTAACCTCCACGATTTGAAAGGGGACATTTGTACGTCTTGATATCCCCCTTGAGAGCCTTGTGAGCACCGCTTGGTCGACTCGGCAAAGGAATCCCTTGCCGTGCCGTAAACGGCCAAAGCGTCTTCTCGCCCTTACCGCCAACGAGTTGCGCCAAGAAGAAGCGTTCCCCATCTGACGACCGTGTTCCGCTGGAAATGGCGCGGAAGTAGACAGTGGAAACATTAAGGACGGATTGACGACTCAGTCCCTCTTTCCTGAAAGCCAAGTCTCAGGAACGTCGCGGTCTTGCCTTGCAGGTCTCGTTTGGCGAAATGGTGGGCTGCGATAATAAAGACGTGAGATTCCCGACTCTTTTGACCTTCTCTCCAGCCAGATCTTCTCCGTTTGGCAGGCCTGTCTTGTAGATTGCTTGTATTGACTCCGCGTTAGTAGGAAACGCGTGCTTAGACTGCTCACCTTATTTCTCCACGATGGAAGGGTGACATCGGTTTGGACATTTTGTAGTAGCGAACCTGATTTTGAGTCCTATCAAAGGAGCAACTAGAAGTGCGTCTCTTTCCAATGTCCCTCGGGCCTACGTGGTATTCCATCTAGTGACGGGTTGTGGTGTACGATACACACTACTGCCTCGACTATGCATACGAGACAGATCCTCGAAGCAGACGCTTATGCAAAGCTGTATTGGGCCGGTGATTGTCTCACGGTTCGCCTTCCCTTCCAACAGTGCGAAATTCAGTGGTTCCACTTCGATTGCGTGGGACTCACTACCAAGCCCCGGGGCAAGTGGTACTGCCCCGACTGCATAACAAAAGTCAAACGGAAGCGGACAAAGTGACCGGGGTGCAGGGCGGCGGTCGCCCTGATAGACAGGGTTAAGTTCTGGTTAGGGCAACGTTAGGCCCAGGTAAGGCTCACGTTAGGCTAAGAGTAAGTAAAGGGATCAGAGGCTTTCGGGAACTTATACGCCTTGGACGGAGGCGCCATAAGTTTCGAAAGACTCATCTATGGGCGTTGCCGGGAAGCGTGTTTCTGATGCGGTTTTGCTTTATAGGCAGTACTGTCGGCCATATGCTGATCTGGGTCTGCAAGTCATTGTTCGGCGGCCGCATCGCTTCATCTGTGAACCAATACATATCTTCACAATGGTGGTTGGTTTGGATCCTAGAGCCTTCTTCGCTTTCCAAATGCTTGAAGTACCTAGCTACTTAACACTGAGAGATGACTGGCAGAAGAGTGCTCTGCCAGAGGTCGGACGGAACAACGTGTCTGACATTTTTTGCACATGTCATGGCTCACATCAGCTTGCATAACAAATGTGCATGGGCCCCCACTGGTTTAACAAGCTCTTCAGGGGCTGTCGAAGGCCCACAATAGTACAGTTGCCGTATACACACTAAGTGCAGGCAAAAGCAGCTGATTCAATACAAGCGCGGGCCTAGCTATAGCAGTGCTGATCGAGAGAATTCGTGTATCAAGGCCTGGAATTGATATGTAGCCAATCTCAGCATGATCAAATCTCATGACAGTGCCCGATTATAGCTACCAGAACTCGACCTTTTAGTATCCAGGCGCGTTCGCATGCAATTTGATGGTTGGGTTCTTGTCTGTACGCCAAAAGTTTCAAAGGGATTGCGATCCCATACAGGGTCCAGTAAACCGGCCGAGAACACAAATCTAATTTGTGGTGACCAGCAGAAGCTTCTTAGCCGTGTCTATGAGTCTAAAGTTGCATGCAAGAAGTAGAACAAAGATTACAGCAGCACACACTGAGCCTTGCAGGTCAATGCAACACCAAGAGCATGAGACAAGCTTTGTTTGGACGGCCAATGAAGAACGATCAGGGCGAAGGCAAACGAATTCACACAACACAACACAACACACTTTTAAATCATATACAGTTCAAACAATATCGTTCCCCTTAAGCTTATGGAGGGGGTAACACGCGATGCAACTGTAACTACTCTACAGGCAGTTTGCCGCACTATGCAGGCACTCGTCACGCATCTATTTGACTAGCTTCTGGTTCTTAAAAGGCCACCTCACTTTCTTTGTACTAGCTTTTGCTTCTGGGAAGCCATCTTGCTTTCAATATAGCTTGTTAGCACAACTATTCGCTTCTGGCCCCGGAGCATTTGCAGCCCACTCTGAAACCGCCAGGTCAAACCTGCTCCTGCTAGATACCGGCTAGTGTCTAGTCAGCACCACCTCTTTATACCCAAACCTTGCTAGTCATATTGATCACTACACACCAGTCATTAGCTGTCCTACCTTATGCTAATCTATGTCACACACAGTACGGGCCACCTTGGAAGGGGCAAAGAATTAGGTACACGAGTATAGACAATCCGCGATTGTGGGACTACTATAGGTCTGCTGAGCTGGTGGGCTTTTCTGGTCTCAGGGGAGGTGAAGTGGGGCAGCTCTAAACAGTTTGCTTTGCTGCAAAGGAGGGAACAAAGACCATCTCAGGGTTCTGATTGTAGAGAATCTATTCAAGGACAAATGACATGATCATCAGAATCAGCTAATTATTATAATAAGCCCAGGGTCACCGCAGCAAGTCATACCACAGGCCAGGCTCGACAAGAAAGTCTGGCTTAATGAAGCTTCAGCTCTCATGTATTCAACATGCCAACTTTCTCCCAAGAACGGTTCACAATCACTTCCAGATATAAAACCATGCAACAAAAGCTTCGCAGAATTAGGAACTACTTTGGGGGCCTGCATTTTTGTTCACTCACCTAACCTTTGCCCGTCGCGGGCATCGAATTGCATGTCACCCCCGAGCGTTTGACTGCAAAGCCTTGCAGTGGCTGCTTCTAGAGCAGCATCAAAGGCCTTGGCGCGGTTTTTTGTCCTTGTGAGGAGGTAATGCTTGAAGAAGTCAGAGTTCTCCTTTTCCAACCCCTTCCAAACTGCACAAGTACGAGGACTAATGTCAACCAGCTCATAATATGCAATTGTTGTCCTGCTTTCTTTCTGACTCTGCTCTCTGACTTACTGATAACACAGACTACATGATCCAAATACTAGTTGAACGAACTACCCAGACTGAGCTCAGTTGAGTAGGAAAAGCGAAGTCAAACACAGCACCAAACCTAACAGCTAACCTTAAGCCAGCCAAATACACAATCAGCCTCAGCTCCAACACATTCAGCACTGCAGGACACTATTGTGAAGGCTGATCGCAACACAACTTTTGATCAGCACAGTTGATCAGATCAGGTGCCTACAACCCAAGATCATTACCTGCAATTGTGATTGCTGGTTGGACATGGGCATACTTTGCCAAACTCTTGCAGCAGCCTTCTAGATCCATGTACATAATCAAGCACTTCTCAATCAGGTGCTGAACCTGCAGAATGCAACAGGGGTAACCCGTGATCAGCTTTTACACAAGTAAGAGAAACCAGTTCTGCCATCCGGAGTGCTCGTAGAGAGACCAAGGCAATAGGAAAGACTCCACAAGGTAGAATTGCAAAAGACAGAAATGCATGGTGTACCAATTCTGCGATCAACTCAAACCCCGCGCAAGCATCTTTCCACAAAATGGACCAAAGATCATTGCCACATAACCCAGCACCAGCTCACGAATGCACCAACCACCTAGGAAGTGACGGAACAGTAGAGCAGCTGATTGATCAACATGCTGATTCTTGTCAGGGTGAACACGGACCAAAGAGCTTGAGAACCTTGCAGTTGCATTGGATGCTTACCATGACGATGTAAGAGTGTGAGACCTGCTTCGTGCCGGCCGCCTTGCCTGAATGCACCATCGCTGACACCTGATTTCGTTTGACAGGCACCCTCATGATCGCTAACTTAGGGCGTGCGCGTCAAGCGCTTCAACTTGGCTGATCTAAACTGGACTTCCTGATCCGACTCCAAAAGCGCTCCCCGTCTACAAAATGAACCTGATCAAGACCGCCTCACGACTTTGTCCAAGAAGTAAGGCCAACTTCACTTGTCAAACCCTCAAACACCAGGATCGTCTTCGTCTCCGCGCTTTGTACTCCGCCCTCGTGAACGGAACGTGTTCTCCAGCTTCACAGCGGTGCTTGGAGGCGGGGCAGACGGCATCCCTTGCGCTCCAGCAGGGCTCCAGCTTCCGAGCTCATGCAGGCGTGTGTCCTCCCTGCCTTTTCCCAAAAGTGACGACGCGCAACTTTTGCAGCAGTCGACGTGGGTACACGAGGAGCCACGCCGTTTGAGTACACTTTGAGTACTCTGCCTAACCTGGGTACTTCAAGAATCGTCCATCATGCAGATGGCTTGCTTCATTCAAGTTCAAGCTTCAGCTTGGCGCAGGCAGGGCGTACAGCTGGCAACTCGGTAGTGGGCGGCGCTTCGACTCCCTTTTCCTGGACTGCAGTCGTGATTGAGTGCTATCGCACCCTTATAGGGTTTCTGAAAGAAGTACCCACAGATGGTACACCAAAATTGGTTGCAACCCTCCGAACCTTTGACCGTACGTGACCAAGCCTACCCGGTGTATTGCCCCGGTAAGGCTCGCCGGCTCTGTATTGTCGGGGGGGGTGAAAAGATTAATTGGCCGCGCGGTAACATCGCTTTTGTAGCAGGAATTCCTTTCCCGGGCAGCATGGTCCCTACCGACGACCCTGATAGCACCGGTGCCATATACTGAGCTCGCGCATGATAACTGAGTAGCTATGCCTACGTGGCCGGCTCGATTTGATAAAGGGACGGTTCAACTAAGAGCCACGTCAAAGCCAGCTAGATGCATCAACGTGGCAAATATCTGGGGCACGAAACGGTTACGCACTTGCTTCAGGCCAATCAACGAGCGGTAATGGTAAACGCAGCGTCCTTTTCACGTGTGCTTTTCCCGCCAATTCGCAATGTGTTACGATCTCGAACACGTCAGATTGATTGCCACCGAGGTCTTCTCTGACGTCACAACATTGTTCCGTATCCGCAATCAGATACAAGATTGTGTTTCATCGGATACCAGCAGGGATTCCCATGGACTTTCGTCCCGGCCAGCCAGCCACAGGCAGCCCCCCGGTTGTACCAGCTGTGGGCTAGGCGGTTGGCTCTACCGGCCAGCTGAATTCCCTACAGACCTGTCAATTCTACCAGCTACCGAGCTGGCGGGGTGCCTTCGGCACCAGCCAGGGGCCCTTCCCGGCCAGCCAGGTCCACCCCAGGCTGCCAGTTGTGGGAATCCCTGGATACCAGTACCAGACGATGGATCCAAATCGACGGTCGATTTAGGGGATATTCCGGCGGAGTTGGTTGGAGTTGGAGTTGGTTGGACGCTTTTGCATCGACGGTCGAGCTGCATTCCAGAAGTAAGAGGTCGCCTCTCCAGCCTTCAAAAATTCGCCTTGCCGTCTGATCGGGACCTGATCAAGATGTCATAACTTATATATACCCACAGAGCGGGTGTTCTCTTTTAATCGCAGATGGGGCGGCCGAAAATTGAAGGTGTTGTTTTGCCCAATTTCCCCCGGCCTGCTACTTAGCGTTGTGCCGAGGCCGGTAATTCCCGGTCCGGCGCGCAAAGTTACCCGGTATACAACAATCTGATTGCAACAACACCATATCCGGCCTACCGAGATCCTACCTTGTCCGGTGTCCGTCAAGTCGAATTCAGACTTTTATCACCGGCCGGGTGCATGGTCGTTTGGAACACCTCGGTGTTGTTGCTGACGTATAACCCACGATCGACGCGGTGCTTTTCGGCGGCAACAGCACCACGATCATCGCTGTATACCGTCGCTGCGCAAAATGAAGACAACGTGGTCCTCTTTGCAATGTGTTTATATTTATATAGACCCCTAGTAGCTAGTAATTAGAAACTCATAAGGACTTCTTAGCAGGTCTAGCTTAAAACATGCGCCAATCACTTATCATGAGCCAATTATGTTGACAGGTAGAATTGATGAGTCAGACATGCCGACTACTTCGAGGACGTACCAAGAGCTTGCTTGTTAGCTCATCATTGCTTCTCAAGCATGGGGGCATCGGCCACTGATCATAGCGTTTATGGCCCCATTAGTTCCACCACACCCCATATGGACGCAATTTTGTTCGCTTAATTTCCATTTGCGAAAGCGGACTCTATCAACTGAGGTCTCTAGTACAAGCGAGCTTCAACTACACATACTTATGAGGAACCCAAGACATCTGATTATTGTACATATATAACCTAAAAGCACCATTAGTTTCAATACGTCATCTGGCTCCGTGCCTCATTGCGGGTTTGGTGGCCGACTATTGGCGGCTGCAACGCGCGAGCCCCACTCGAGCAATTCTTTGCTGCAATCATCTCGGTGGATGAACACTTCGATGAAGCACAGCGACTCGTGCTTCTCCCCGAGCGCTGTGCTGATAGCCTCGGTGAGATCCTCCTCTGTTTTCACCTGCACGAAGGTTAAGATAAGCGCCTTAGCAGGAGCTCATGAAACGAATCATATCTGGATTACACCATTTAAGAGGAAGACGTCCCGTTGTCAGCTTCCAAAGGGGGATCGTCCGAGATTTATTCTCAAAGGTAAGCACTCTGAGAACAGCTAAAAAAAAACCGTGTTTTTGATGCAACTCCGGAAAGATAACGGTCTAAAGAGGGTTCGAGTCGGATGAGGTCGCACGCAAGAAGGTCCTCCGTTTTGACCTGCAAAACTTGCAAATTGCCATAGATGCAGATCGTTATCAGCTTCGAGATTGAGCCGAAGTGGGATGCAAGCCATAAGCTTCCTTCTGCAGCAATGCCGGTCAAAAAGAAACCTCAGTCTTAACCAAATGGACCCCGGCAAACGCGGTTACCCAAAACGACCAAGACGTGAATTTTTGACCTTCCATGAAACGTACGACTTTGAGAAAAAGGGAGTGCCGCGGCAGTCGCTGCTCACCTGCGTGGTCCAGCATTTGCCTTCTCCGTTGTGAAACGCGTTGATGAGCGCGGCGTAGTTCCAGCGCTTGATGTTGTTATACGGGCCGTCGTGGATCTCGACTTCGATCGTGTACCCGTCGTTGTTGATCAGGAAGATAATGGGGTTTGTCCCGTACCGGATCATGGAAGAGACGTCCTGTGCTGTCACCTGGAAAATAAAAGGCAACGCTTTATTCCAACAGCTTGAACCAGAATGTACTTCCCATCGATCCCTTATCGTTGCTCAAAAGAGTTGACTCTTTAAAATGTCATTCATCGCCTTTCTGCTCCCTTTGCCCACATCTTGCAGAAGAAAACTGATCTTCGTCAGACCTGAGACGAACCGAAATTTGGACGAGACGTCCTGTGCTGTCACCTGGGCACAAAAAGGCAGGGCTTGCTTTGGATCAAGTACAAGCCCCCTGGATGTACCTCCTATGAATTCGATCTGCTGCTCGAAAGGATCGGTCTCAAAGGGTTCATTGATATGCTTTCCTGCCCCCTTCCTCACGACTATGGGAGGAACTACTTTCAACATGCGTACTCTTCTGCAAAAGCTCTTGGGAAACACATGTGCGAGTACTCAAGAACCATGGCGCTTCAGAACCGATTTGAGACGCGTGTGCTTGACAAGAAACTAGGTCAATTACTGGACGAAAACCCCTGCGTAGTCGCCTTGAAAAAGGCGCAGCATCTGTTTAGAGAACCCGAGTAGCACGTTCAGGGTGACGTCGAGCACCTTCACCCGCAGGATGAGATGACGTCACCAGAGACGTCCAGTATACTACTAGTGGGTAATGCAGGTTTGACAAGGGCCGTGGGCTTAGAGCATGTGTGACTGGTCCACGAGTTAGACGAGCTGCAGAGACATTTGAACCCTTGCGTCACCCTCTGCTCACTGCATCTCTTCGGCTTGTTTGCGAACGTGCCAAATGGTGAAACTCCGTTGGGGGGCAGCTGAGGGCCCCTTACCTGGAAGCTCCCATCGCCGATGCACGCAATCACGCGCTTATCCTTTGCTCCGATCGCGTATCCGAGCGTCGCTCCCACGGACCACCCAATCGACCCGTACTGCATTTGGAACTCGTACCTACAAAAGTTGGATTGCAGAAAAGTTGTCAATGGCCGAAACGGCTTTCAGATCGCCCGATCGTTGCCCCGGCGAGTACCGTATCTGGGATCGCGCAATCCCCGCAATCGCACGTTCGCAAACCTTTCGGGCACCTGCAAAGGTAGAGTCGCACAAGCGCGAGCAATGACGACTGATGAAAGTTAACGTGAGGGGCAAATCGATTCGAGTGTGCGAAAGTGATGTCGGGAAGACGCGACCACAAGAAATACCTTCTGGTGAAGTGCAAAGAGCCTCTCAGTGACAAATCTTCCTTTGACTCGTTGTAGTGTGCAATGAGCTTGGAGAAGACAAATGCACGAAGTAACTCAAAGAGCGAGCAAAACGTTACTCCACACCGCAGCCTTCTTTTCGAGTGCATCCTCATGTGTCTGCTCCAGGCGACGTCCTACAATATTGAGCATCTAGTCACGGAAACGCGTACAGAAAACGACAGACGAACGATTCCCAACATGTCTGATCATCTCGTCAAGGAAACGCGTAAAGAGAAAGACGACAAAGGAACTCCAGCGTGTCTCATCATCTCGTCACGGAAACGCGGAAAGAGAACAACGACGAAAAACCCGAACGCCGGTATCGCCTTACCCGCAGCCGTCCGGCAGCTTTAGCTTTTGGCAGTTGAACCACGAGTCGCCCGTCTCCGCAATGACGGCGGTGTCGGGCGTGAGCAGCTTCTGCAGTGCAATGGATAAGAAGAGATCTCAATGGTCTGAACTTTCGAAATTTTCGCAGATGTTACCGCTGTTTAGATCCACTATTGGTTTCAATAGCAGCTCTGTACTCTGGCTGAGAGCTAAGAAGCTCTACAATGCACATGTAAAAAGAGCGTGGTCAAAAGGACTTCTGAATTCCTGGTTTCCAACATTCGCGCAAATATTATTGCTTTCCAAATACTTCCGAGGTCAAAGGGAGAAGCCGCTGAAACGTATGCAGTTGTATCAAGAGTTGCCCGTTTAGGCGTTGACGGCTGTGTTGGATACAAGCAGCTTCTGTAATGCACAAGAAAAAGTGCCTAGTCAAGAAGAGGACGCCGGGAGGTCTGTTTGTAGGAGCTCGTCGCAACGGAATCTCGAACGGATCCCTTACCTGCACGTGCTAGACAGAAGGTTGGTCACGAAATTAATCTGCATGCTCAATGACGCCTGGTAATCGGGTCGAATGTCCGAACGAAGAGATTGATTCGGACGCAACCCTTACCTGCACGTGCTGGATGAGGATGTTGGTCCGGAGCGGTTCGAAGGGCGTGGGCGTCCGTCAATCTCAAACGGACGTCCGAACAAGAGAGGATCTTCCGGACGCAACCCTTACCTGCACGTGCTGGAAGAGGATGTTGGTCCGCAGCGGCTCCCCGGCCTCGCTCGGTTGGGGCACCCCGGGCGGAATGAACATCCGGCGGTAGTTGTCGAACGCGGTCGGGTTCTTGTTTAGCTTCGCGCTGAGGGCGGCCAGGAAGTCCTTCATCAGAACGCAGCCGAAGGTCGCGTATCCGCCGACGGTGACCTAAGATGCGGGGCAAACATTCAGGTCGATTTTGGAGGGTTCTGATGCTTCGGAATGTCTGTGAAGGCACAAGTTCACAACAGCTGCAGAGATGGGTCTGGACTTACTCGAAAGTTGGCTGAAAAGCATGGGACTGGTCAATCTTCTCAAGCAAGAGGGTGAGAGAGGCAGGTGGGAGGGGAAAAAGCTGCAGCCGACGACCGGAAATTCGTGAAAGCTCTCAGACAGCTCAAACGTACCGCCAAGGTCCTTCAAAGGAGAAAAGATGCCCAAATCTTCTGAGAGCGCGAATCGATGAAGAAAAGACAAAGAACCGAGGCCTAAGAGAGTAGACACCCGGTGACGAAAAGCAATAGCAAGAAGGAAAGGAAATAACGACGGCTCCTTGGCAAGGTTTCGTTTCTGAAGTCCTCAGAAACAGTGGAGAATGTCAGGAAAGTTGCATTAGAGAGAACGTGAAGTAAAACATGTGAACGTGGGCGCTCGGAAAGTAAAACATGTGAAAGAGTGCACTCGTTTGTGCAGGAACTCAGATGAACGGCCCGTCGTATCACGAGAATAAACCTTCGTTAAAGCACTCTCGTACCGGTCAGAGCTGGTGCCGCCCTGGTCATAAATCTTTAGCACCACACGGTTCCGATACAAAGACTTGTGAAAAAATACTGCGTCTCACACAACTTACAACGAGCAAGCCCCCCTCAGCAATGACCAACTGCAGGATTGTACTAGCAAACTTCACGTCGGACTACCAACTTCTGCTCACTCTGTCAGTTTCGACCCGCACCACCTTCTCGGGTTTGATGAGCAGCGAGTAGCCCACACTGCTGTAGTCGTTGAAAATGGCCCCCGCAAACAAATAGGCGTCCGCAGATTCGACGATCTCCGAACAATACGGGCTGCTAACCTGGGACACCAAAATCCGTTCATCAGGGATCATTGGCAGCGGAAGATGAAGCTTTTGATCGCGCAATTCGCTTTTCGGTTTTGAGTAGCCCACGCTGCTGTAGTCGTTGAAAATGGGTTCAGGTCATATTTGCCAAAAACGCCCGCAAACAGGTAAGCATCTGTGGACTCGACAAACTTTGCACAGTAGGGACTGGCTGACCTGTGGGGGGAGAGGTTCCAAACATTCGAGAAGACATTGCTATTGCAACCCGTGTGGTTACCGTCGTTGAAAGGCCCCAAAGAAAAGTCGGTGTTCGCGGTTTTAACGATGTCAGCCCAATACGGACTGTTCACCCGGCAACTTTCATAGCTCACAAAGTGCTTGCTTCTACGGGTTGGGTGCTTTTATCATGTGACTCGCTTGTTGCACATGGGACGGTCCAAAGGCGCGAGTCGGGGCATCATGTGATTGTCACTGATGCTGAGAATTACAGCCCGGAAACGGAACAGAAGTACGGTATGAGCTTGAAACCCTACCCAACTGACACGTTGTGAGAGCGGAAGCTTCGAACCCTGTCGTCCTGCACCAAATACTTCTTTTCGGGGCATCCTAGCATCCGAGATTAGCTGCTAAGACAGCCTGCCCATATCTGACTCAAGAAGTGGAAGGGGAGAAAGTTGCTGCTGAGACAGAGTGACACAAGGGCAGGATCAAGCTTCTGCGAAGAGTAAACTATTAACTCGTAGAGAGGGAAATCTTGTTTTTGGTGGTGAAATAATCAAGCAGGCAGGGTGTCGAGTGATGATCAAACCGAGACGCAGGCAACCCTCCTCGATAAGGTGCAAGCAGGGAAAACACCCCAAAACTTGACAGATCATCTGATAGATTTGGAACGGGGTTCTCACGTTTCCCCAGTACGTTCCGATGAAGTGCGGGTGCGACTCCGACACTTTCCCCTTGCCGTCCGGCATCATTGACACCGGATAGTCGCACGCGTCCATTAGCTCAGCAAAGGCTTGTTCCGCCCCGGAGCAGCGGAGCTTTGGACCTGCGGCGGAACGGAACGGAATGAAATTTGAAAGTTCGCAGTCTGGTGATCCACAGGGTCTTTAAGTGCGGCAAAAAGACTGTGCTTCAAGACTTGGTTTGGAGGCTCCGACGGGAAAGTTATTCAGGGCACAAAGGTCCATCGTCACGTCAAGATGGTTCCGGTCTTAAGCAGCATTTGGATCGAGAGCAGGAGCATCGAAGAAGAAGTTATCTACGTTGACAACTGCAAGCTACCATGTCGCTCATCCGCGCAGGAGAACCGGTGGCCCTCTCTGTACCCAAGAGAATAGACGTCACTGCAATTCACGTAAGCGGTGACTGGTGCAATCTGTGGAGAAAGCCGGGCTTCATGGCTAAGCAGCGGAAACAAAAAGCTTGTCGTTTGCATACACAATTCTTGAACCACTTTTCCGCGTTGCCCAAAGCCGCTTCTGCCTATACCATCCAGGCAACCTCTTCTGTTCCCGTGCGTCAACTGCGATCCAGCTTAGCGGTACTCAATCAACCTTTCAAGTTACCTGCGACCAAGACCGGCTTTGCAGCTCCATTCAAAAACGCCGCCGCCGCATCAATGGCCGCCTCGAGGCTCTGCTTGTTGCTTGCCTTCTTCTGGAGGGCGTATGGCACCGGGCCTGCGCATGAGCAGAACTTTTGATGAGAATACGCCCCGACGCTTTTGCGTGTTCAGGCGCGTGCTCCAGAATAGAAGACCGCTGAAAACGAACGGTGAACCGAACTGTTCTCATCGGACTTCTTTTAGAAAATGTTCAGCAAGGAGGTTCTCAATTCCTTCAATCGACACACGTTTGCTGGGCGCATCTCCGCACAAGAACCCCGAGAATGCTGTAGAACCAAACTCCATCAAACTCAGAAGTCGAGGTCTGCGGATGTTTTTCCATGACCACTGACGCTGAGCTCTTGCAAGTTGGCACTGCTCCGTCTCTTATGCTTTGCTTGTCAACGATCTGTGTTGCAGCTTTCTTCTCAATTTCTGATACTGAGCTTTCGCGGATCTGACTCTCCCATCTCTAATGTTTTAGTTTACAAATCTCTTTTTCAACATTCTGAATTGCACGACGCAGGCGGCCTTCCTGAGCGCGGAGCCCGAGTGCGGCACTCCGGCGAAGATGCAGCAGACGCTACGGGTGCATCAACCGGGGACCGCCCTTTAAATCACGGCCTTGGGGCTACACAGCATCTTACCAAGCGTCCTCCGCTCGACATTGGCTGGAACCATTCAAGAACATCGAAGCAGGCTCGAAAGGAGTGGCCGGTGGGTGGGTACTTTTAAAAAATGCAAGAGTTCCGTGTTTTGAAGCCTTGCAAACTGACAAGGAACAACTTTTCAAAGGTAAGGAGGCGCATCTCACTGAGCGCGAAGCTTGGATGCGGCAACCCGGCGAGGTTGCAGCAGACGCTGATGTATACGGGCTTGCTCAGAAGCAGCGCCTGCGAGATGGCGTAGTCAATCTGCTCTTGGGCGCTGTCCAGGTTCGAGATAACCACCTGCCGGAGAATGATAAGACGAGGGTTAAGGTTCGAAAGTCAGATAGTATTCAAAAAGTCGAGAATTGAGGGTCACAGTTTCGTCTCGAAAGGGAGGGTTACAAGCATGGGGGATTACAAACCGAGAATCAACGGTTAAGGGTTACGGGCTTTCGTGTCCGAAAAACATCCAGATCCGAGAAGTGCCACGCTCAGCAAGGTCTTGGCTGAAGCCCTCTTGACGGTTTCTCGGAACCGGATCAGTGTGGTCCACGGTCAAGGTTCGAGTAGACTTCCTGCAACAGAATTAAGAGGGAACCTCGTGGTCGCAAGCGCACTGCCGAAATTCATGAGTTGCGAGGCTCATGAGTCATTCTGCTCGCTCCTGCCGCTACGACGACTCTCACCACCAAAAGCCAACGTAAAAAATTGGACTAAGTTGAATAAGCTCGGGACCAAGAAAACAAGGTCTGGGCGGAGTGAAAAGAAAAGGTTGACATCTGACCGCTCCGGTCTGCCGATGGAAGACTTCGATTGCGAATCAGATTGATAAGCTGTAGAAGCGCAAACAAATTTGCCTGCGTGAAGCTACTTTAGACCGAAAGTCAACAAGCTCACCTGTGCGCACGTGACCTGCTGAAAGCACTGCAGCTCCTGCCCGAAGTCCGGCAGCCCAATGGTGTGGTGCAGTATGCGCTTTGTACCATAGTCGTTGCCTGCGAATGATGAAATGCTAGGTTTCAGGGCTCCAACATCCTTTGTCGCAGACTTGTGGGTGTGATTGCTACGTTTTTGAGAATGCTCGCTTGAACTCCCCAACTGGTGACGGTCTCTGCCAGGTTCCTATGAAGAGCGGTGTTGCAGGGCTTTTTCGGGATGTCATCACCGGACAGCTGGCAGTAGTTGGCTATGAGACTTATGAGAGTAGCCATTAGTGCAGATGATAACCAGGCGCGACTTCTGCTGAAATCTTCTGGATGAGTACTTCAGCCAAGAACAAGCACATCGTTTCTCTTCGAGTCGTCAAAACTGGTAGAGGCTGGAAAACGAAGATAAGAAAAGCGGAGGTCTCTCAAACCGGTCTGAACTTTCCGCGGCCTCCCAAACCAGGACAACCATTGAAAACTCTTTTAATGGAGAGGGCCATCTCAACGAGGCGGCTACAACAGAGGCTCGTAATAGACTCGACTCCACAACAAGCCTGTTCTGGGCGGCAGTAAACTTTCGCATGCCAAGAGGGGGGTGGGTTCGTAAGCGAAGCGCCGAGAGGGTCCCTCACTGTTCACCCCGCCAACGAGACAGATGACGGGCAGGTTCTCGCTGTACGCCCCTGCAATGGCGTTGATGACACTGAGGCCCCCCACAGTGAAAGTGACGGCACAGCACCCGACGCCTTTCGCACGGGCGTAGCCGTCCGCTGCATACCCAGCGTTGAGCTCGTTGCAGGTGTTGATCATTCTCAACTTCGGCTCCTGGAGGATGGGATGAAAGTGCATGATATCAGGCACAATCGATCCTTTCCGGATTGAACATATCAAATACTTCTTCGTAAAACTTGCTAGGTTGATCAGGCGAAATATTGCCTGACTCCTAAAGGACACCTCATCGAAGTTATTAAAGTGATTACATATGATTGAGATTCTAGCCCCAAACAAGCTCAAGATCGACCTGTTGCACAGCTGAGTCCGTTCCCCCTCAAAAATAACACGCGAAACATTGTACATAACACATTCTAGTCGACTTTATGACCCATCCTGGGAAGAGTGTCTGGTATTTGAAGCAGTTCAGATAACCAAGTCGACGGTTAATAAGGTACCAGAACCGCTGAAGGAGCGGCTCCTCTGAAGGTCCCCGAAGCTGAGGCCTATGGGCCCCGGTTGGAGTGTCCGGGCAGTTTGAACGCCCCCAACTTACCTGCAGCAACTGGTCCAGGAGCACCAGGTTGAAGTCCCCGGGCACAGTGAAGAATTCGGAGCAGCCAATCTCCACCAGGCGGCTCGCGATGTGGTGGCCCAGGGTTCGCTTGTGTGCGTCGACGGGCGCCATCTTTGTGGGGGGATCGGATGTACAAATGCTCTAGTAATCTGGTCAGCCTGCAAAGAGAGACTAAGTTCAAGACTTAAGGAACAGTAATCGGAATCCAACAGCGATAGTGATTTGATGCGGGTGAGATTGAAATGAGAGTGATGACGCAACCTGCTGGACAATAGAATCGCAGATGAGCACTGAGCTGGCAATTCCTTGCCTGAAGGTGGATCGAAGTGATCAACCGTACGAGCAAGCTCGGCTTTCTAGTGTGGGTTGACACATTGTACAGGTGCTAGAAACGGATTTCTGTACTGGGTCAATATTTGGATCCCATGTTGGCTCAAAGGTCTTTGGTAGGTCTTTCAGTGACAGCAAACATAGGGGGCTAAAAGGTCATTCAGTGACAGCAAAGAAAAGTCCATCAGGTCAGGACAAGGAGGGGACTGACATCTTTCGGGACCAAGTTGGGGGGAATCAAGTGGAGCTATGCAAGCTAGCTTCAACGAAGGCGGTCGGAAGTTGTGTGTATCCCATTAGTTGAAAAGGAAAGTTAAGTCCAAATAGATGGCATTTCCAACAGCGATCAGCCACCAAAAGAAGTGGAACTTGGTTTCAGGGGGCCATGTCGATGGTTCCATAACATGGAGCCCTGAACTGGACGAGACTCTGAATCGACACCTCTAAGCATTTGAAAACCTGAGGTGCTTAAGCAACCACCAAAGTCAAACAAAGTCAAACAAACAAACTGGGTCGCAAAACAAAGTCATTAAAGAAGGTTATCTTCTCGACCTCAAGTAACAGACTACCCAAAGTCCTCCCTCCATTGAAGCTACCCAGTTTCTCATTTTATTCTCATCTTGAGTGATGAAATCACTTAAACTGATAAGAAATGTCCCATGATACAACTACTGGATTCTTCTTCCTCAATCAGAACTTGAAGCAAGTTATCATATGCTCTATATGATGATGTTCCAGACTCACGCTTTGCGCCCAAGTTCTGGCTGAAAGAATGTAGTGATCAGCTGTTCTCAAGTCTTTTGGAAGTAATCAAAGTACCGTGCTGTCACCCTAAAGAAGATCTCTGAACTCTCACAAATGAGAGAAACATGCGGCTTGCAGAGGCCCCGGAATTGTGTAGCACTTCTGGGGGCCCCAGTAATGTCAACAATCAAAATATCTGTGAGGGGCCTTGGGAGCGCTTGATTGTCTTGTGACCCCACAGCATTGTGTCTGATTGTGGCCCTTCACTTACGGGGACAGCATTGCATTGCTACGGACACTCTTCTTCATCTCTTTATCTCACAAAAAGTTTCTTTACCCTCTGACAGTTCATATACGAAAGTCTAACATGAACATCTCTTTGCCTTTCAAGAAATTACATAAGCCGCAGTTGCCAATGAAAGTCTCACCTGTTGTGGCACCTTTGAGATCAGAAATTCCCCTCGATCTCCAGCTCAGAACCACAGCAGATTGATGCGGCTGCGAAACATAAGATCACTTCAAATACCTGAAGCTGAACGAGGAGGGCATGGCTCACCAATAGCACTTTAATCAATGCTACATTTGAAACAATGGGGTCGCATGGCAGCGAAGCAGAAATGAAGCTGGTGGTATCGGAATGTGAGTGCATGCATACGTCTCTGCAATCCTGGGGAGACGTCTTCAAGACGTCATCCTCCATGAGCATATGCATGGCTGGCGCTGCTTGGATTGAGCTGATCAATGGGCTTGAAGCTTCCTTGTAAACCCTAAAATGCAGCGTTAGGGTTTGAGCTGGTGAGAGCTGCATGTTTTGAAGAGTCTGTGGGCAGGCTCTGAACTTGAAAGTATTCTCACACATGTGCATGCAGCAGCTGAGGAGTCTTTTCTCCAAGCAACTCTTCACGAGTTTGGGCCCCCTCTTTGCAAAGATCAGGATATCACACAAAAGCACGCTGTTGCGAGCAAGAGCTGGCATCGACGGTGGTGGTGTTTAGTTGGGAAACATTGAGGTGAGTATCCTGATCCGTTCAATGTATCTAGGACTTCGGAACCCCACTTCTCTTCATGTAAGCTGGATCTTCAGGTTATTCATGCTTGTGAACATGGTTACTCCAAAGGCAAGCAAGAGAAAGGAACAGGGGTTTGGAGAGTGTTTCAAAGTAGGGCTACTTCAGACAACTAGAGCGACAACTATCTCAGAGTCTGTTTGGAGGCCGTCCCTATCTTCAAAAGTGCACCACCATATTTCATCCTTTCTTATGATTGGGCTTCATTTATCTAAGTTCCTTTATCATGCTTGGCGTTCTATCACTCCAGTTTATGCATTTCTGCTCGTTTGACGTTTCCAGTTATGTTTGCTGTCCAGTCAGAAAGTTGGGGTCTCGGGTGCAAGATGGAGGTCAACAGTGATGACAATGACATGGATACTAAGCTTCTGATCCTAATACAAGTTCAACTCAATCCAGCAACCCTGGTTGTTCTCCTCTTCTGGTTGTTCTCCTTTTTGAAGCATCTAACCATAGTTGCATCTGATGTTGCAAGTGATCTGAAGCACCTTGAAACAAGTCATCATACTTGACTGTGCGATTGCAGCTTTGGGAGCACTGAAAGTCTTTGCACCCTTTCTTTCCAGGGCTTGAACAATCTGTCTTGCCAGAGGCGACTCCTGCTGGTCATGCTCAGCAGCGCTGTTCGGGGAGCGGCTTCCACCAGTCTCTTGGTCTTGAACTATAAGCAGCGAGCGCTTCCTAAGAGATACTGGTCAAGAGGTGTACCAAACTGGCTTCCCAGGTCCAATTGCTCCACCACAGCACAACAGAGTTTGACAGGCCACTGGTTGCTGTTCGATTCCCTCCCTCCAAGGCCAGTCCTTCCTCCACCCCTCCTTCCCAGCTGTAAAAAGGCAACTTCAAACCTTCGCAAGCCGGGCAGTAGTGTTGCGCTCTCTTCTAAGATGGAGATGCCGCAGTCTTCAGCTGGCAATGTTCAGATTCAGGCCAATCAATCCAATGAGCCAGATCGTCCCAAAGTGATTGTTGTAGGGGCTGGTATAGCAGGCCTTGTGGCCGCTCACAAGCTCCAAAAGACGGGGCGTTTCAACGTTGTTGTTCTCGAGGGCTCCGACCGCGTCGGCGGACGCGTTTACACCTCCATTTTCCAGGGCAAAAGGGTTGAGTTAGGCGCCCAGTGGATACACGGGATCAAAGGCAGTCCTGTGTACGCACTCGCCAAAGAAGAGGGGCTAATGGAAAGCGAAGACGACTTGGCAGCGAGTGAGGGCGACGAGTCTGAAGACGAGGAAGAATTTGACTTTGACGAGATGCTCGCTGACATCAGCGTGACGCGCACCGAGACGGGGGGTGTGATCGACAAGGCATTGCGGCGGGAGGTGGGGCGGGTGTTCCGAAGGCTGCACAAAGCAACGGAGACAAAGGGGACGTTTCAGCGGGGGGGCGTGGAGAGCGTCGGTGAGTTCTTAGACGAGCGTTTTGAGGAGTGGCTTAGCGGAGAGCAGACTGAGGGTGGAAGTGTGGAAAAGGGCGGTGGTGAAGAGAAGAGGCAGGTTGTAGGCGGCGACGAAACGGGGCGGGGTTTGACACAAGCGCCAAAGAGAGGGCTGGGGCCTGAGGTCGCCGGTGCCGCAGTGCCAAGCTCGGGTGCGCCAACTGACACCGGCCCTGCGGAGGGGAGTAACGCCAGTGGGCAAACGCCTGGGGAGTTACGCGCCCTGAAGCGGGCCGTGTTTGAGATGCGCAAGAAGCTGGAGTGCAACATCACCGGCTCCGCTGACCTCACGCTGCTGTCGCTCGAGGCGTTCCCTGACTACTTGGAGTTCCCTGGTCCCCAGCTGCAGATTCCACGCGGTTATTCTGGGGTTGCGGAGGCGTTGCTCCGGAAGCTGTCGCCCGGGTCCGTGCGTTTTAACCAAAGGGTAAAGTGCATCAGGTGGGGTTTGATTGGAGCGGCACATGTTGACGTCAGCTCAAGTGACGTCAGCTACAAGGGAAGGGCCGAGGTCGGAGGAGGTGCACGGGTTTCGGAGAGGTCTGCCGGTGCCGAGGTCAGGTCGGAGAAGGAGGGGGTCAAGTCGGACGGTTTAGGTGACCCCGTTCGAGTGGAGTGCGACAGCGGGGACCATTTTGCGGCTGACCACGTGATTGTCACGGTGTCTCTTGGTGTGCTGAAAGAGCGCGCAGCCAGCACGCGTCCCTGCGATGCGTTCAGCAATCAATCGTCTGAAGCCGGGGAAGGTCTTGAAGCCGGGTTAGCGAACCGGGAACCCGCCCCTGAAACCTCCGGGGCAAGCGACCGGAGCTTCCAACCGAGCACTGGAGAAGAGACCGGGAGTGCCCGGAGCTTTGAACCGAGAACAGCGCTGTTTGACCCACCGCTCCCGGAGGAAAAGCGGGCAGCGATCCGGAGAATGGGCTTCGGTGTGGTGGATAAGGTGTTCGTCGACTTCGAGAAGCAGCCGCTGCCGAGGGGGTGTGGGTCTCTCGAGCTGGCGTGGTTGTCAGAGCCATCAGGTGAGTTATTGGCACGCCCATGTGTAAATCGGCTCAGCAGGGGGTGTTGTTTCTGGTTCGATCTGATGTGCCAGGTTATCAAACGGTCTGGATCACAGCTTGTGTGTTTATCGTTCTTCAAAGCCCGCAAGATAGTTTCGATGACAGGGCTTTCGCGAAACAAACAATAGTGGCAGCGAGTCAGACGTGTCAATCTGCAAGCGTCAAATACTTCCTAAGCTTGCCACGGTGGCAGTCTGCTGAGGTGCGTGGCTTTATGACTTTGTACCGTCTTCTCAATCTCTCAAGACCGTACGTATCGTCTCCGATTGCTTCGAAATCTCTAACAAAGTCGTTCTAAATGCATAGAAGCTTTTCCGTTGAGCTCATCGGGCTCAGCGAGACTTCGTTGCCTGCTATGCCTTTAGCTACATCGGGCTGCTTAGCCCTTTTCTGGCCGCGTTTGGTAGACAGTCAATCCGCAGTTCCGAAGCAGCTTGGTCGTTCAACCTCGACCTGTTTCCAGCCTGACGGCCATTTCTTGATCCATTGTCGGAGCTCCGGTTCAAACGTGCCTCGGACTTGTTGCATTGTGCTTTCACTCCTTAAACCTGGTTTCATAACGTTATGCAGATTCTGAACCGTCCCATTCCGAGTGGGTGCGAGGCCTGTTCTCCTTTGGAACACCAAACGGGCTGCCCAAGTCCGTCATGTGTTGGGTCAGTGGGCAAAACGCCCTCGGAATGGAACAGCTTCCTCCCAGCACGATCGCCGACGACGTCGTGAGTACACTACGACGGTTGCAAGGGGACACGACGGTACCCACCGTTGCTGACGTGGCGCACAGCAACTGGGCGACGGATCCTCTGTTCAGGGGTTCCTACTCGTACGTGGCCGTCGGGTCGAGTGAGGAAGATATCCACGAGCTAGCCCGGCCCTTGCCGTACCTGCAAAATTTGAAGGCCGTAGATGTGGCCAGTTTTGGCGAACGTCTTTCTTTGGACAACGAAGGTGCGGGTAGCACGGAGGAGAAGAGGCAGAGAATTATAGGGCGTCAGGATGAGAGCGGAAAAGAAGAGGGGATTGAAGAGACGGCGCGGGCTTCGAGAATTCTTTTTGCTGGTGAGGCCACGCACCCACACTATTACTCGACCACGCATGGGGCGTGGTTGAGTGGTTTACGGGAAGCGGAACGGATCATGAAAGCTTACAGGATTCAAGCCGATGATCCATGAGGCTGCGTGGAAGGCAAACTCGGAGTGCTTTTCAATTAAAGAGTGTATACCGCTTTCGAACCTGAACAACTTCTACATGAGACATGGGGTATGGCTTTTGAATGGAGTTGCAGCAATATCGCAAAAGGGTTGTCGGTAACTTTCAAACGTTGAAGACTTCAGTACATGCTTCCAACTAATGATTGCGAATATGGCCGTCACGTCTCGATAAGTACACAAACTTGAAACGTAGCCTATGCATGAGCCATCAATAAGGTAATCAATACATTTGTGAGCTAGGCATGTCATGCTCGGGCCAATGCACGGCCTTCAGTATCGTGCCATGCGCCAGATGAGTCCGTGGCGCGTATTGCATGGCCAAAGGTCTTGACATCACTTTGATCGTGATCACTGTCATGCAAGGCAGCCGATACCGACGCCGTGAGTCGATGCATCGAATTCCGCAATCTAGATCATGTCTAGCCGCTGCGCTGCGGCGTCCAGGGGTACCGGTATTCTGAAACTTGACATCCACCGTGACTGAAGTCCAAACGTTTGCTTTTGGGAAGCTTTTGGCCCTAGCTGTTGGGAGATCAGCGTCGGAATTAGCTGTCAAGCATGGGCTAGCCTAGGTACTAAAAAGAAGGATTCGTGCATTCGAAGAGTTCCGCTTCTCGATACGGTATGGCGAAACACTGCATGGGCAACTTTGAGAAAGCCAGAAGAACCGGGAACCCTGAAGGGCATGGTCACATATGGCAGATGCGTGTAATGGACTCTCCAAGGTCTGTGGATGGTGTCAGACCAGGAGGACATAAGATCCGTCGATCCGTTTGAGTTCATCATCCGACGGTCCTTTCGCCTTGCTTTTGGATTAGGCGTGCACACTGGCAAACAGCGCAGTGTGCACAGTGTTGTCTGCAAGCTGATGTCAGATACATGATACCATAATCCTTAGCTCCGATTCGGCAGGGGGCCCAAGTTTACGCCGGTTTTACCCCCCTGACGATGAATGTTGCACTCAGTCATAAGGCAGCGCCAATCACAGGCCGTCGTACGGAAAGCGAATCTTGAAAGCTAGATTTTCAATCATAACAACAGTACCGTAAAAGTCGGAGGTTGAACCTTCGAATCAGGAAGCCTGAAAGAGCCAGCTCACGGTTGCCCTGAGCAGTGAGCAACATTGAGAAATTGAAAACCAGGGCGGCGCCTCTGGCAGTAGGACACGGAGACCCTGAAAGCTACTACGCCGTACGGTATGCGTTCCTTGTAAATACGAAAACGGTGATTGCTGAACCCTGTCTGATTTGCGAAGTGTTGGCAGCAAGGGTTTTGCCCTAGCTATCAGTGTAGAAAAGTGAGACGGATTGGGAACAACAGTTGGAAACGCTGAGGTAACACGTCGTGAAGTGTTTGAGCATTTCAATCCAGCAAGGGCCAAAGGTACCTGCTGGCTGGGAAGGTGAGAGAATGCTTTTGTTGCAAAGAAATTTTGTACCGATGACGCTTTCCTGCCAGAGATTCGTTACAGATTGTGCTTTGCCACCACTTTGCGAATGTGCTCCTACGGGTGCGTTTGGAGGGGATGCTTACGTATGGCAAGTAAGGGTGTACTCAAATCTCAGGGCAGGTCTCTGAAGATGTGTGTGAGGTATCTGGACGGCGTATGTTGCACTTGGCGGACAAACGCCAAGCCAATGGACAGGGGTGACAATGCTCGAACGTTGCTGACTGTCTTGGATGCCCACTGCTACAGAGTTGGAGTTACAGCATTCCTCCCGTACTCCAAGCATCTACACAATGCGTCGCAATGCTGTGACATTCGTCTAGTCTGCTCGAAGACAATGTGTTACAGGATGTGATACAAGAGGTCACTTTCCTCCCAACCATTTAGCTGGACCATTCCTGTAGAGGACTCTTGCTTCAAACGAGATGGAGCTCACTTCTTTCTTTCGCTTGGCGAAAGAGCTGAGCTCGCATGTTGCATTCTGAAGACAGCTCACGTGGCTGCTAAAGGTCCCATGGCTGACAGCTGTCGGCTTCGGAGCAGAGAAAGATGTAGAAGACACTTCCACTCGTGCTTTACATTATGGACCCTGTGCTTATTCTGGGCGTTTACAGATAGCTCTAGCGGGTTCTCCTTGTACTTGGGCTGTTCCTATACTTCGGCAATTAGCTTCTGCAACGCACTTCAAAGGCGGCCACTAACAGATAACCAGACAATGTAATACGCTCTGGTATTGCATGTTTTTAGTAGTGGCGTGCAACCAGACTCTCAGCGAAAAGTAATACTCAGAGCTCAACCAAACATAAAGCGGTGTGGAACAATGGTGAAGTGCATTGAAAACTCTCACCTTTTTTTCTACTGCAGATACGGCTCAACGGAATGTCCGAGGTTAAGCGGAGCTGAAACAAAGCTAGGTGGGCATTGGCTGCGTCAAACCACACCCAGCATTGCAAAGGATGTTTTATGATGTTGGACAGATTCAGAAAGGGCACCAGTCGGCAGAGCAAAGGGCACGGCTGTTGTGGTTCTGCAGAATTAGAGACGGCGTCTCGGTGCATCTGTGGAGATTCGGCATGGTTGCGTGTTTGGCCGCAGATCTCTGATGACCACCTCAGTATCCTCTCAAGAGTGCTTCCCGCAAGACCCTTGTTCGATTTCCGTAGCTGCCTGTGAAAAAGCGCAAGCTTGGGCGTTGATTCTGAGACTGTTGTGATGAGCAATCTGCATGTCAGGAACTCGTATCAAAAGTGTAAATCATAATCCTGCAAACATATTTGAGAGCGCAGCTGCTAAACTGGCCGTTCCCAGTTTTAGCCTCCCAATGATTCTCTCGCCGGCAGAACTGCCAGTCACCGGGTGCGCAGCACAACTAAGGATCTCCGATGCGCTTGAAGAATTCAGGCACACCTCCAATTGGACTATCTTTAGACAATTGGCCCATTTCTTTGAGTCACTCCCTCTTGCTTCTCACAGGTAGCTGCTGCCTCCGGTGTCAATCTCTTTTGAGGTTCTCTCAAGAAGATAGACGTTTTTGGATTCAGGATAAAAAATGTCTGACGCTAATAACTTCAGAGACTTCCTTGTTAAAGGCAAAGGAAGAGCCTAGATTCTCTTTGACTCCAGATTCTGCCCGAGATGGGGGCCGTAGTCATCATCGCGGTGGTGGTGCCAGTTTCTGTTATAGCGCTCCTGGTTTTCGTCGCGGTGTTTTTGGTGTGGCGGCACAAGGAGGAGACCTCGAAGACGGTGGATCACACGGCATTGGCCAAGCGGTGGTTTGTGTGGAACCAAAACCAGGATCTGCCTGTGGGGAAGAACGAAAAGCAAGGTGGGGGCTTGTAGTTTTCTGTTCTTCTCTCTTTCACTGTTATCTCCCTCTTTTTCGGTTCCTTTCCTTTTCCCTCAGGAGTTCTTGTTACCTTTTGGTGCAAGCCCCTGGTGTATTTGTTCTGATGCGCAGACTCGCCAAGGGGACTTTTGGGGCGGCCCGATGAATAGTTTCTTCAAATCTGAAGTAATTCAGGAGGGGGACCCAGGCAGTAGCGAATAAGGATACAGAAAGCAGTCGCGGGGCTATGAAGCAGCAGCCAGACTGCAAGTGAACACGTTTGCACTGTTTTTGGGGACCCCTCTCGACAATAATCAGCAGCATTTAAAGCCAGGAGAAGTGTTTTGCCCTCGTGTGCCATGCTGACGAGGAGGGATTGCTGGCTGCTCTGCTGCCACTCCGGCACGCCTGTCTTTTCGTTTTTCTTTCTCTGTGTTCCTTCTTCCACTTCTCCTCTTCATCTTCATTCACCTTCATTCTCCTCCTCTCCTTCGAGACCTCTTTCGGCTGCAAGATCCCAACAGATCGGGATACGACGTTGAGCCTGTAGCGTTCCATAGGTGCCCCTCAGCATATCGCTTTCACGAAGCCAGGTCTGCTTATTCCACTCCTTGCTTGCCAAATCTGAGGCGATCCCTCTTTGTTGCTTTCAGGGCCCTCAAAGCCCGCAGATTCAAAGCCCGCCTCCAAAGCCCCCATCCCCCTCCAATCGGTAGTCGTCACCACACCAACCGGGGGGCGAAGCGTGGGCGAAACCCTCCCCCCCCGGCCTCAAACCACCCCCCGGGACTCCCCCAGGGGCGACGGGATCCCCCGCCCGGAAGTTCTTAACCGACCAGAAATCGTTAACCGACCGGATATTGTTAACCGACCAGAAACGAGCCCCCGGGTGGGGGTGCTGCCGCGCCCGGGAATATCTCCCCAGGAGGCCGCGAATCAGTTGGCGGTCACGTCGCGGACGCCGTGGAATGCCGGGTCGGCGAGCCCCGAGTCGGTGCGGTCGCTCGGGGCGTCGTCTGCGGATGCCGGCGCGGTGGACTCGCCGTAAGTATGGAAGGAAGTCGTTGGACGTGCAGCGGAGTTGCTCTTATTTTCCGATATTTGACAAGCTCGAATCCGCTCTGGCCTTGTGTATGGCGCGTCAGTGTTGGCGTGGCTATGCGGATACAGATGACTCTGCTCTGAGAAGGAGTTTCAAGACAATCTCAATGGGCCAACAACGTCAGGTTGGATAGACTTTAACGCTTTGAGCTTCGGGGAGTTGGGAAAGCAAGACGAAAGACCCTATCCAACTTGTCAATCGAAGCGCTAAGGCCGAGCTTCGACCCGCCTATGCGCAAAGATAAGAGTGCTGCATTCATGTTCCGAGCTAAGCACCGAGTGACTTACATTTCCCGTCGTGCAGGAGGGCGCGCATCGTCCCGCTCAATCATGGGGGAGCCACCGACTGGCTGTCAAGCCGCAGCTTCACTCTGCGGGAGATCCTGGTTGCGACCAACTATTTCAATCCGAAGGTGAGCTTCCATCTTCTCGATCAAAGGACTTTGGGTGCAGTGACTCAAATTGAACGAGTTTGGGTACACTTTGAGTTTGAAGGACGATTGGTTACACTTTGAAAACTGCGGGCGCTCCGGTGCCGTGAGAGCTGCATGGAAGCGAAAGGAACGAATCTGTTGCCGGCTTCTCTGTGCTTTCTAGCGGGCAACGGTAGGCTCGCATCTGTCAACAATGGACTTGGGATAAGAACGCCACAATGGATCCAGCACTGGGTTTGTTATGCTTTTTCCGTACCGTTGCCTCTTTTGCATACTCTCTTGTTTGGCAGACCTTTCTCCCTACATGTGCAGTACCAATCGCTCCGTTCTTCTTCTCAGTGAACCGCAGAGATGATCAATGGACGGGTCTCTCCGCGTGCGTTTTTCTGGCTCTGGTTCGCGCTCCATGTCTCATTCTCCCCATCTCCTTCGAAACCTCTTCCGCTTTTTCCGGCCCGCAGTTGGAGCTGGGCAGCGGCGGGTTCGGCAAGGTGTACCACGGGCAGCTGCGCGACGGCGGCACCGTCGCGATCAAGCGCATGAAGAAGGAGTCCAAGCAAGGGATGCGCGAGTTCATCAACGAAGTGCGGCTGTTGGGCAGACTGCGCCACGTGAACTTGGTCCAGCTGGTGGGATTCTGTGCGACGGAAGAGGAGCAGCTGCTGTGCTATGAGTACATGCCCAACGGAAATTTGGCGCAGCACTTGAGAGGTGGGCATTCTTTCCAAAACGTCTGGTTCTTTCCTTGTCAAGAAGGCCGGGAAAGCCAGGAAATGTAGCAATTGCATATTTAATGATATTTTGGCCCTTCTCCATCCGCCTATTCATTTTTGATGGCTATAGACGTTTTCCCGCTGATTTGAGGGCCTCGACTTATGCCCAACGGGAACTCGGCGCAGCACTTGAGATGTGGGCGGTCGCAGTCAAAGCTGTGCGAGTTTCGATTCAGCGGATGATTGGCCAAGAATTTCAGCAACAGGCCCTATGTGTCTCCGTGTTCTTTACCTAAGTGCATTCTTGTTTACGATTCACAGCATATCGAAGACGACAACGGGAAAAGCATACCTTCTTAAAGCATACCTTCTTGAGCCTTCCTTACTCACCTTTCATCACAGCAGCCCTTAAATCGGTTCCCTTGAGATTCGGTTCTTCGCCTTTGATGGCCCGGTTTGAGAGGCAGGGCGTCCAGCCGAATGTTTCCTTGAAATGAACAGGTGTTGAGATAGAGATGTTAACTTCTGATGACGGAACGGTCAAGCTCCCTCCCCTTCCCCGTTACGTTGCTTGTTCTGTTCGTAACCTCTCAGATCGTGCTCAACGAAGCTTGCGGCACTCGCGGGTTTAGTCGTCCAGTATCAGATATTTTTTGCCACTCTCGAGAGTCTCTGATCGCAAGCTCTTGTCCTCCGTTTCGACTTGTGGCTTTGTGCTGGAACCGAAATCTTCTCGAAAGCCCCAGGGTGTAGAACCTCAAAATCTAAATCTTATCACTCCGCTACCAATATGACTGGGCTCTGGGAGGTCATATTTTGCTTCTTGAAGTGCCGATGTCAGGCGAGCACTGACTGCTAGTCCACCCGAAATCATACAGCAAAACCCTCACTGCTAACCCCAAATGATTTTGCCGACTGCAGGGACGAAGAAACCGCTCTCATGGCGGATGCGTCTGGAGGTGGCAATCGGCGCGGCCAAGGGCCTAGATTACCTCCACGTCATAGCAACGCCACCTGTCATCCATCGGTGAGCCCAATGGTTTACCTGCGCAACCGGCTTGTGGCACGGGCAAAAGATGCTCGTCATTGCGGTGGTTCCTGACGTTCTTCATAAGGGACAAAGCGTGGGGAGCGATTTGTTTCCTATTGAATTGATCCGCTCGATCTGGACGTTCTTATCTTGGGATGTTTCGTGCAAAGACAATCCGATTGAATCCGCTTTCCAAAAATTGTGCTACGCAGCGATGCTGACTATCCCGGCAGAGATCTAAGTTGTGCCGCTTTCAATTGGTGTGGTTGACCTGATTGGGACCAGAGCCGTTGATTGACCTGTTCCTAATAAGAGCCGTTGATCAACCTTCCGCTGATCAGAGCCATTTGTCTGACCTTCTGCTCGAGCCGTCGACTGACCTTCTGCTTATAAGAGCCGTTACTTCACTGCGCAGAGACGTGAAGAGCAGCAACATCCTGTTGGACGAGGACTGGAACGCCAAGGTGGCCGACTTTGGCCTATCAAAAGCTGTACCGATGAATTCCAACATCGCCTCCAGTTCGACGTTCGTTAGGGGAACGCCCGGTACGTCGCTCCCGGCGATCCCAGATTCCTCCGTATTTTTCACCCGTTCTTTAAATTCCTAAATTCCTGTCTTTCTGCTCTGAACGCGGTTTGCTCTTTTACTCCGAGTTCGGTACCAGCTCTTCTTCAGGTCGATTGTTTCGATGCCTGACTCTCTACTCGGCTGCACCTCGCTGTCCCGCTCGTTGCGCACCTGTCCTTGAAGGTTCACTCTCGTAACTTCCTTTCCCTCCTTTCAATAAACTCTGACTCCCGTAATCCTCTTCCTGCATCTGTCAAATCACTCGCGGCCTGTTCCCCCCTTCTGACTGTCGCATCTTCCCACAGCCAAGAGCACTGACATGTGTTTCTCCAGATACTCTTCGCTTGTCTTCCCCCGGTTGGCGGAAATCTGCGGTGCACTCCAGTCCCGCACAGGGGTGCCCTTTATAGGCTTTCTTGGCGACCGGCTTCGACCACTCGAGTCTCACCTCCATTTCTTGTTTGCCGCAGGATATTTCGACCCCGAGTATTACGAGGGCCAGCGACTGACGGAGAAGTCGGACGTCTACGCTTTCGGTGTGGTGCTGTTGGAGATGCTGACCGGGAAGAAGCCCATAGACGAGACGCTCCCCCTTGCCGACGGCAGCCTCGCGAAATGGGTATGCTCTCGAACCGTCAAGTTCTGGCACGGAAACTGAGAACGCGCTTGGAACCGCGCTTGAGAATGCAAACCCTTGCGTCGAAGTTGATTACGCCCTCCTTACAACCTCAAACCCCAAGATTCGACATCTTAAAGTGTGAACGTTTGACCCCCCAAAATGCATCAGAGGTGACTTCGCTCTCGAACTCAAACCTCTGGCCGGTTAAGCTTTTTCAGCCTCTAACTCTCGTACTGGAAATGGGTCCCCCGTTTCTTTCCACACACGTTGCGTTTTCAGTCAGACGTCCGTGTACTCGGTCTGACTCAGTAAGGCCGTGGCTTTTGGAACCGGTCATCGCAATGGTTACACGAAGCTGTTTTGTTTGAGTTGTCCCACGCGCAAAAAGACGAGAACGTGGGCCGTTCCTGTCGCACCAGGGGCCTGTTCAATCTGGTAACTTTAATCGTACGGTCAAAAAGCTCCGATAGACTGCAGACAGAACGACGAACGGATCGCTTGGAAGGTCCTTGGGGGAAGCAAAGCAGGGTACCGAGAATAACTGAGGTTCAAAATCTCGCAGCCCATGTGAGCATAAGACTTCAAATTAGGTGAAGTAAGCTTAATGTAAAGTAAGCCGAGCAGCCTAAGACGGGCGGGGTTAGTTTGGGGTTTAGGGTGGTTACGGGTGCGGAGCGGGTGATTTTGAGGGTTAGTTTTCAATGGCAGACTAGGAGCTTTCTATACCTAGAGCTTTCTATACCTAAATTGAAGAAACATCATTTGAGCCCCCTGCGTGATTGACGTGCAGGCGCGGCCGCATTTGCGCGACCCAGAGCGCGCGGTGTCCCTGGTGGACCCGCGCATCCAGGGCAGTATGACGCGCGCATCGGTGCTCAAGTTCGCGTCGCTCGCGCTCAACTGCATCGCATTGTCGGGCGATGAGCGACCGTCGATGAGCGAGGTCGTCCTGCGGTTGCAAGAGGCCATCGCTTCTTGAAACGATTTTCGTCGTATGTCAGTCAAATGTGTTATTGCTTTGCGGGATGGTCCGCACGAGGGGGTGAAGTTAGGGAGTGTGTATTTAAAACGTGTTTGGAAGTTTGTTGTGTTTGAGCTTAGGCCAGATGAATTGAAGCTTTCGTCGAGTGGGCGCGAGATAAAACAATCTCTTTTACTGGAGAAGTTGTGCATCAGACTAGGCAAAAGTCGATTGGGTCAAATTCTTAGAATTGTGAGCGGATCAACATATTCTCTCAGTCAACGCTATCTTGAAGCCCGTTGATTCTAGCAAGCCCGTGGGCCGGGCTGCTTGAGCTAGTGCGTAAAGTGAGAGGTGCTGATGCGTACGGTGTACAATCAAATCTGACGTAGTGCGTTCACAATTACGTGTTAATGGTGGGTGCCGTCACCGTGTAGTACGTAGAACGTAGATAGAGCGTGCGCGTGTTGAGTTGTGGATACAGATAGGTTAGTTGAGTAACCTCGACAATGATTTCTCTGTTCTAATTCTTTAAGCTGCAACGGGTGGGTGTTGATCTGGCACGACCGAGGGTTCTCTTCTTTTTGGTAGATTGGATTGCTAGCTAGTAACCGTTGCATTGCTAGCTAAACATCAGGATGTCACCATCATCAACCAAGTGACTGCCCACGTGGATAAGCTCCGGCTGGGCTAGCTAGATTGAACTCATCATCGATCTGCTTTTATGAGCCCGCAATGATCCAATTGATTGTTATGGCATTCCGATTTGCGGTTAGTTGGACATGCATGTAAGGTGATCACCACAGCCCTGCAATCTCAGCAATTGTGAGCTGTAAATTTCTATACGTGGTACGAACCACAAGAATTGAATTGATCAAAATAAACCAATCACAAAAGGGTCTCATCGTCTCAGAATGCATATTTAAGAAACTGCACCGTTATAAAGATCGTCGATCATCTGATTACGTGCCGTTAGCTTGCCGCCAATTTTAGAATGTTGCATACGAGATCCGATCCTGGCCTAGATCGTCCTTATCGGAGTCCTTTCAAAAATCTTGTGCATATGGCGGTATATAGCTAGCGCTGCCGCCACTTGCAGTGATTGCATACATACTAAACTTAACTAGCATACCGTTAGCTGGAACGAGGCTGGTGGAACTTACTTAATCATATTGTCGGATCGCAGCTCTATACCCGCAATGATCGTTGGCTTGCGCGCGGGCGGGCTCTATCGCACTATTTGAGTGGAAGCTGGCGGGATTGTGCATTAATTTTCATATAGTACAACCCTTTCAGCAAGAAATACTAAAACTGAAAAGGAAAGTTCTAACAAATATACAAGATGAAACATTCATGCTCCCCTCAGAATGTTTAACCCCGCAACTCACACCCCCTGGTCACCGCTCTCCTTATCCCCGTCTCCATCCCCTTCCCCAAACATCTTATCCATCAGCCGGTCCGAGTTGCTCATCTGCGGCCTGACGTTTGCCCCGTGGCGCTCCGCGCTTAGATTCAACCCGTCCCCGCTCCGTGAGGCCGCCTTTTCCGCTTCCGTTTCCGTTTCCATCTCGACGGTGAACGCCTCCATGACGAAGGAAACGAAGACATTCATGACCAAGCCTGTTCCCAGGCACATGAAGGCGAGGAAGAAGGTTCTGGCGGCGAGCGCGCGGTGGCCCAGAATGGCGTAACCCTCCATCCAATCCTGGAGGAAGTGAATCGACGGGGCACCGACCGTTAGAAACTATCACGACAGTGCAAGCATAAGGCCTGGGCACTCGTTGATTGCTTGGTTCGAGCGGCAGCTTTTCTGGATGGCGCGGCATAAAATGGATGTCAACAGCTACAAAGGGGGAAATGGATTGGGGCAAAATCCGAGCAGGAAGCTGCTCGTAGAAACGCGGCTGGAAGGGCCGTGATGGACACGCCACCCGGAGCACGAGTGTTCGCGTTACGCTCCTGTTCGCTTGTCAGCCAAAGACTTTACCTGCCAGCTGGCAGGCTACAACCGCAGGTCACTAGAGCACGAAACGCTGACGGCTTGCTGACGTCACTCACCTGCCAGTCGGCCTCCGACAACAGGTTGAAGAGTGTGACCATGCCCGTGGAGTAGTCGTTGAAGTTGTACGGCTTGTGGTCGCTCAGGGGGGTCGACTTCAGCAGCGGGTTGCTCTCGTAAACCAGCCCCCCGAAAAGATGAATTCCGAGGCTGCGGATGTGGGGGGGAAAAGTCAGGCGAGGGTGGAGAGGGGGGAAAGAAGACGGAGAATGGAAGTACAATCAGGATTTTAGGAAGAAGAATAGACCTCTGGCTACGAAAGCGGACGGAAAACCAAGATTCGAAGGGAAGAGGGTTTGGTGCTACGGCCAACTGAGACTTTGAAGGCAATGTTAAGGGTATGCAACTCGTAAATGGTACTTGCTATCGACTGACTTGCAAGACCACGCAAACGGGGGATGCTAATTGGCGTTTCACTAAGCTGGATATCCACCTCAAAAGCAGACACCTACTGACCAGCGGACCGATCTGAATGTGCAGGGAGCTTCACTTTGACGGATCTAATCTGTGCTTCGCCCACGTGATTGCATAAGATGTAAGCTTTAGGACTACTAAGCTCTAAAAAGGTGAGGCAATCAGCGAAGCTGAGGGATTGCTCGTCATGTTTGCGAACTCGTGGAGCAACCATCTAGAAAGACTCGAATGCCCGACGTGAGGGAAATGAATTGCTTCCAAACGACGTTCAAGCGTGAAGAGAACAACGGTAAACGCCTGATAAATTAAGACGAGAATGATGAGAGAAAGAGAAAGCCGTTGAGAACTGAAACGAAGATAAGTAATGACCGAAACATCAAGAGCACATAAAGCCACCAACGAAAACTGGACATGAAGGTCCGGGCTTACCTGTTGAAAAGCGAGACGAAGCCGAAGAGGACTCCGAAGAGGGGACCCATTGCGGGGATGAGTTTCAGGAACGTCTTAACAATTGCGCGGTACCGCTCGACGTACGTCAGCAGCCGCAGGAGCCGCAGCATACGGCCGATCAGCAAGTAGCGGATCCACTCCTGCAACACGAAAATGGCTCAGACGTCGGCGCAAGTGAAAGACCACTACCTTGAACGTTGTTTTATTCCATGAGGTGAAGACGCGGCTTTGACGCTTCTTCTAGCCTTACGTCGGTTTACCGACAATCCAGGGGGAAGTACAAGGATAGTTTGACACCGAGACCATGTACTCAAGAACAGTCAGCAGATTGCTTGGAGTAAGCGCGAAGCATTCCACTTCTGCAACAGTTCACGACTCGAGGATATGAGAACCAAGTCGCTTTTTCAAACTATGCCGCAGGACCGTGCAGCTTGAAGCAGAGCACAAAGTGCGTTGGGGAGGAAATCCGAGCTTCTAACCATTCTGGATGATGAAGGTCCATTTCAGGTCAAGCAGCAAGCGGGCAAGCCGCACTTCGGAATTGCTTTCTGTAATGCTCCTACTATGCACGGAAAACTCAACGGCCGACGTTGATGTCGAATATCTGGGAAGTAGTTCTCTCAACGTTGATGTTAAAGTGCTGGAAAGTGGTCTTCATGAGAAGACGTCACAAAGAATCTGAAGTGAAACGAGAAACTCACAGACAGGCGGAACTGACAAGAGAGAGTCATGGACAATCAGGCTCGACCATCAAATGAACCAATACGACCCTTTCTTAAGCCTTTGTCTGGAACACCCTTCCACCGCTAGCCATGGCTTTCCTTTGCTCAATAGGGTTAGGCCTTGACCAAGCACGGCAACCTCTCAGATTTCCACCCCAAAAACAAAGAAAAAGGGAAACAGAAACAAACCCACGCCTCACCTTGTTGGCGACAGTCTGGTTCGGGTCCAGGATGAGCGCGGTCTGGCCAATCAGGATGGTCCACGTGATGAAGAAGTCGAAGCGGTTGGCGGTCTCCCGCCAATAATTGCTGAAGCCGAGAACGCTGACCTTCAGCAGAGCCTCCAGGACGTAAATCCACCCAAACACGTACTCAATGTCCTGCCGGAGGGTCAAAAGTTAAGAAACGGGAATGAGGGGTTAAGGCTTGGGTTGTATTCAACGGTTAGAGGTAAGAGTTGGAGGGATCGCGCCAAATTGCCCAGCACTTTCATTGCAACACAAGGGAACTGGTAACTCTAGCCGGTTCATCCCACCCAAGCGCGTGCGAGAGCAAGAATTAGAGTTCAGACTTTTGGTTGAAATTTCAGACTAAGGAGAATTCTAGAGGTTTGGTCTCACAACGTTTTCCATGCCAATCTGAGACGCCGAGAGGCGGGAAGCAGCTCTGAACGGTGTCCAGAAAGTCGCCTTCTACTGTTGAGAGCGATAGAATGATTGGCATTTGCGGGAAGGGACCTTTTACGAGGCCATTGCAGTAGTCAACCCGAATGTGGAGACAATCGGAGCGTTAGGAAGAAAGGATACTCAGTTGATAAGCTCCTGCGCGAACATTCTTGCGGGTAGAGATGCAGGTCTGCAATTCCGAGCTTCATCTGTCGCATTGCTCGCACCAGGACCCACTATCCGCCAACTCGAAGCCTCTCACAGCCAATGTGGACTTCTGAAATAGGATTGGGCGTAGAAGTGCAGCTTACGTTTCGGTCTATGCCGGCGGCTCAGTTGAAGAAAAGAGAAGGCAATTCACGAAACCCGTAGAGCTTCTGGCGCATGACATGAAGATCTAGCAACCGCACGAACCGGAAGAGTGTCCCACCTGCCAGAGGGCCTGCGAGGGCAGGTTCCTCATGTCGAGTGCCGTCTCGATTGCCACCGTCACTAGGTTGGCCAGCAGGATCGACGTCATCACGTACCGGTCGAAGCGGGGGTCCTTCACAAAGTCTCGCACCGCGGTGAATGCGCGGCTGTTGAAGATGCCGGGCGCCACGATCTAGAGGAAAGACGAACGAAGCGAGTCAGAGTGCGCGAACTGTCACCCCTCGTAAAAACGAAGCGGGTCAGAATGCGCGAACTGTTCCCCTCGTAAAACTAAAGCGGGTCAGAATGTGCGAACTGTTACCCTCTGAAAGTTTCCACCAACATCGTGCAACTGAGACCGGGACGTTCGAAAGAACGACGATGAACAAGTCCCGTTCAATCCAGGAGGATGCGAGTTGGCGCAGTCCATACTGTCAGTCAAAGCGGGTGCTACCAATGAGAGAACGAGGAGAACTACGTCTCAGTGTGCATGGCTTTCAACGCATACTCTACGTTTGGCTTCTCAGGCAATGATTTTCTTGCGGTTCGGAGCGAGACCCTGGGAAAAATGGCAAAGCGTTCACAAGGCCATGTGCTTGGGCGGTCTGGGGCTCGCCTCAGAAGCAAATCCCGCTAGGTTGCAAATAAACCAAGAACAAAAGAAATCTGGTGACCTGAATGCTTCGCATATATCTGATCCGGAATGTAAGCATCTGAAACCGAAGCGCCTTCCATGGGAGAAACTCGTATATTCTCGACACCAACCGGGCGAGCAAAGCAGAGGCAACACTACAAAGGCAAAGGCGATCAAAGGTCGACATCAAGGTCAAGAATGACCTTAAAGAAAATTATTTCACATTGTTTTGGCCTCGTGAAACACTTTCAAATCGTTCTGATTGGAAATGTTGCATTCTACACCTTAAAATCAATCTTAAAGCGGCGTATCATGTTTCGTGCAAGGTACGCACCTTCAGAAAGGGCGGCTCGTCGAGCTTGATGAACTTGGTCCCGATTGCGTCGCACAGGTCCGAAAACTCGTCCTCCTGGATTTTGTAATCGCCGGAGTCGTCTAATGCCAGGAAGATATGGCGCATGTCGTCCTTCTCGATGTGAGGCACTGCCCGGTACAAGTTGAGGGCGTGCATCAGCCCGGTCAGCTGGTCGCTGCAACCGGGAAACGCGGGAAGTTTTGGCCCTTAACCCATGGGTGGTTATGGGCTGGCTATGGGCTGGTTCGAAAGTGGTTGACCGTCCAACAACCAGAATGGGCGGTAACCAGCTCTTGAACGAGGTTAGAGCCCGGTTAGTGGTCCAATAACCCGAGACTAAGTCTGCTAATCAGCCTGGTTAGCAGCCAACATTCCTATGAAACGCAGTCGGATCCTTTGCTGCTGAAAACCTTGATATCGGTCTTCAGAAAGCGGGCTAGCTGTGCTGACCTGTCGATGTAGCCCCGGTTGTCTCCGTCGACGAACGCAAAGGCGCGGGACAGCACACGTCGCTTGTTCGCTTCCTTGGCTTTGCGAGCTTGGCCCAACTGTTTCTGGAAGCTGGCAAAGAACACGGCCAGAGGCTCTCAGAACGATGCCCCGCAATTGACCTCTTGAGTTTCTGTGTTGATTGTAACAATCTTGAATGACTGTTGTGCTCTGTAGGAATTTCAGATCTACGTCCTCAAAGGTCTAGCCAGGTCTTGAGCGTCATTGATCACGTCATGGAAGGCTTACCCTTTGCTTTGCTAGGCCAGAGGAACCGATTCAAAGCCACACAGACGAAGAAGGTTGAGATTCTTATGAACGGGCTCACACGCCCTTTTTCTAGGTAGAACCGGTCTTCTCTAGTTCTTCAAGCTGCCTTAGCCTAACCGTATGCAGAGAAGCAGCTTCCAACGAAGATTCGTCACGGAAATTCGATATTCCCTTCCTAAATCGAAGAAAGTTCTCTCAGCTACCCTCAAGCGACTTGGACCGAGACCTGCAAGCAGCCAGCATTCATAGAAGCAAACCGGAATCTGCAAAGAAGGCAGCAATGACAGGGACTCAACCGAAGAAGCTCACCTGTCGAAGATGACAGCAAGAACGAGGTTCGTCAGGAAGTATAGGCCCAGCAGGAGGTAGACGACGAAGAAGATACTGCAAACGAGAGTGCCAGCTCGACTTTAGTTTGAATCAAAGCTGATGGTGAGAAAGATTGGAGGGCTGTGTTCTGAAGTTTGATTTGGTTTGATGGTTATGCTTATGCATGATAGGGTGTTCCAATATAACTGTCCCCAATCGGCGACGGTTGGTGCATATTGACAAGACCGTTTGAGACGAGGAGCTTCAATGATCAAGCGCTAGCTCCTTAAGAGATCTATGCCAGACCTGGGCAATCTGTTGTTCCTGCAAGCCGCCACTAAAAAGCAGATGGTAATCCTGACTGCGGTTTTTGACCAGAGTCCAACTTTACCCACCGGCTCTTCTTCAAAAGGTCATGATTTGCCATGCACACATTCCACCACAAGCGCTGAGAGACAAGGATTTGTCGGCATGGTGTAAACACAACACTTTTATTCTACTACACTAGATACTCTGAAACTCCATGAACCTACTTACACAATTATCAAAGGTACAAACTACTACATTAGAATTGGATAGGCTTTGATTTTGGACCTTCGACGAGGAAAGACTAAACCCCAAGAATACGCACATTTGCTTCGAAGCCCGGAGAACGCTTACCTGTATGCACGGTGCTCCTCGTAAGCTTTTTGCCAGACATCTGGATTGTTGGAGCCCGTAAAAAGGATGACCATCTTCAGGGAGGTGATACTAAAAGTGGTGAACTCTTCCTTCCCCTGCAGCAGAATATGGACCAGCTCTGAAAAGATATATAGATATGCGCGGCTGCTCTGTCCCTTCTCATTTTGTTCCCAAAACTGACAAGATTCTCCAACGAAAGGAAACTCACATTACACCAGATGCACATGCCAGATGGACTCGGTTTTGCAGAGCCTCGCAAAGGCTGACAGAAAGGCGTTCTGCATTGTCTGTGCGTCTGAACACTGGGCTTTGGGCTTGACTGCAATCATCCTGTTTCTACGCCAGCTTTTGAAAGTCAGCTCAGAATACAACCCAGATCTGGTAATGTTGATGCACCTTTTGACACTCTTTGAAGACGCAAGTACTCTGAAAATCGACAGTGAGACAAGACAAGATGAAATGAGTTCTCACCTGGAGGGTATCCTCGAACAACACGTACGCCAGCCACGAGGAGAATGCCACGTAGACGAAGCCCAGGATAAAGATGTCCATGAAGTTGGGTACTATAGTTACGACCGTCCACAGATTGTCCCGCACCTCTTTCACAGAGACAAGGAAGATTAACACGCGCAAATACGGCGCGAGCCGCACTGACTCCAGTTCCACAACCGGAAAGTCCGTCCACACAAAGAGCATCTGGCGCACGATGTCCAGACCCAGGAGGAGTAAGAGCCCTGTGCTGATTGCATCCTTAGGGCTCTCTTTATACAGCTTGGGCCCAGCATAGAGGAGTGGAAAGAGGACGTGTGCGGCAAGGAGCACGAAAAGGACGAGCTCAACTATAAGGAAGACGGTGGGGGGCAGGTATGGCACGTCACCCAGCCAATACTCTTTAGGGTCCCCGCAGGAGTGCTCGTGCCTGGTGAGACACCAAGAGGGTATCTCTACAAAGTTGAGCAACAGCAGGGCCGCGTACGTTGCGAGCCATAAGGGCCCAGCAGCATTGTAAAAGAGATAGTAGTCTGCCTTCTCAGAAAAGTGGGGGCTATCCAGAAACGATTCGGGCAGCCCTTCACCGTCATAGGCTATGTCCACCAGAGCCGCCGCCTGCTGCACTTTGGACCCTGTTTTGAATGCCTTTCCTCTCCGATCTATCGAGAGGGCATTGGGAGAGGATTCACGGCCAGCACTTTGATTATTGCCGCCAGGCGAGTTGCGGTGGCTGTCAATGAGCGGACGCTCCATCGCTGCTCAATTGCAGCTCAAAGACGTCGCCGGCCGCCCCGCAAGTTGATTTGCACGCCACCACTCCTGAATCATGAGCGATCTGCAGGGAGAGGTTTTTAATGTGTGGCTTCCTTTCCAGTAGCCTTGTACCCTTGCAGTGCACTGCAAAGCCTTGATCTGCTCCACATTCACGAACTCGTCAATTTGTCAATGTGGGTTCTGAGTTTCATAGAAGATCTACGCTTTTGCCGCTTTGCCTCAGCCTCATGGGCGCTTGTAGGATTAGCATGGCAGCGCATGGCGACATCTTCAAATTCTACAAGTGGTCAGATTCGCGGTGCAGGAGGGCCAGCTCGTGCTTCACAAGACCGGGACCCTCTAGTATATGACTTTGCGCAGCCGCCTACACCCCGTTACAGGCTCCGGGTCTTCAGTGCTAGTGTCAGAGTACCGGTTTACGTGGGGTTAGTTAGCGGGTCCGGTAACGCGTTCTACTACAGTTCTTGAGGGGGGTAGTCGAAGCTAGTGTGGGTTAGAGGTAGTATGAGATGTTTCGATTCTTAATGATTGCTTGCATGCAGGACTATTGTGACCATGTCACAACCCATGTAACACTTGCGTTCGCTTTGCGAACCATTGTAATCGAGGTCGTATGTGAAAGGAAAAAGGTGCAGTGGCTCAAAACAAAGGTGCAGTGGCTCAATCTGGCATGCACACTGTTATCACCTCGGCTCGACTAGCGTTACCGGCTTCCAAATGGCACAATTGGGGCTGTTCACCCAGGATCGACGGTTGGGATCCACCTGATAAATGTGGGGATCCCCCTCACGAGATGCAGGCCCCGATTTGGAGGGCCGTCAACGGTCAGAGACCTCTGCGCCATTATATGTGCGAGTGGTCGCACCAATGTGGAGCACTTCGGCACCGTCACTGCCAGGCGCCTTTCTGCATCAGAATAGCCGGCCACTGCCTTTGCCATCATGGCTTCCGTCATTTATAGAGACCAGCCCGCGGCCACTCCCCTCAGCAAAATCTAGCTTGCAATGTATCATAAGCCAGGCTTCACGTAATCCTGTGCCCAGCTGCTAGTTCCGAGCTAGCTTGCACACTGTCGGACATGTGCCGCCAATGATGATGCATGATAAACATAGTTGGACCGAGGGCCCCATGCATGCATGATATGCATCTTGTGCCTGCATCATCCAGCAGCAATTAAGTTGAATAACCATGCGGTATAGTTTATAACGATGTTGTAACATGACGGCCTACTAATTAATTCGTCTTCATGCCTAGCTAGCACTGTTCGGAGATCTCATGACCCGATTGCATGGGGCTCATGCATGCAATCCGGCCAAATACGCACGAGATCTTTCATACGCTGCAGCTGTCGCTACTAGTCAGATTGGCGCCAAAATCATTGAATCCACAACATGATGCACTTGCACACGGTCTGCAGCACTCGCTTGCGTCGTTAAGACGGTAGTGCAGCAGGCCTTGAGTAATCGAGTCTGCAACCAGACCGTTCCGACATGCTTCTTATATGACCATGTCACAATGTTGAATGTGCATTGATGAATTTTGGCACCACATTTTCTCTATTGGGCTTCCGGCTTCCGACTGGTTATTATTGTCCAAAATTCTTGATCAATATGAGGACACAATAAATGCACGAGGTTGGTCAACTGAGGTGCACCCGGTTCAACTCGGCAATAAAGACCGTCATGAAAGATTGCAGGCATACGAACAGGTTCTTTGTAGACTTTACAACAAATCATCACTACAAAATGGTCATCAGTGTCCCACTTTCACTAGACAATTACGTATACAGGGACTACGCGGTTGAGTCCGTTGTGAAAGGGTCTGTGAGAAACCAAGGCGATAATATGGTCAACAACAATGAAATTCTCGTCGATGGCGGCGCTCAGAGCACCTAGCTTCCCCTCAAACAACTCGGGCAGTAATTATCAGATTGAATAAGAGCCCGCTTATGTGAGCGGTCCCTCGCAAACACGATGCTCATTTCTTGCCCGCTTTTTCGAAGAGCGCCCCTAAGAACTCCACGCAGGGCCGCGTCCACCAGACCTATTTACAGGAAAAAGAAAATAGAAATTGAATTACAAGAAGAAGAACAACAACGATAATGACAAAAAAAATAATCACGATAGCATCCCAACGAAGGCCGAACCAAATTCACACGATTACCAGGTCTCAAATGGTGATCGCTTGAGCATCACTATGCCTTGTGCCTGCAACTGTGCTATCGCGAAAGGATCATTGCGACTCACCTGGGTCGGCAGCCACCCCTCGTAGATAGCCAGGTGACCACCCCGGGCGGCAGTCGCCAAAACGACGTTCGGGTTAAGGCGGATTTCGTCCCGGGGAATGGCCTCTTGAGTGCAGATTGGGTCGTCCAGAGCACTGACGGCCAGAAGGGGCACCCGGATGGACGTCACGACGGGGGCGCAACTAGACTGGCGGTAGTACGAGTCGACCGTCTGCAGGAGGGGAAGGGTTTTTGAGGAGAGGACTTTGGAAGTGGTTCGTCGCTGACAGCTAAGTGCGCAGCATCAGTGCGGGGCAGTGCTGCGGACATGTAAACTTACGCCCAAACCAAACCATACAGTTCCGAAATGCAGAAAGTAAGTCAAGCACTCCTGCCTTCTGATCGAGAAGGAATGTCTTCGTCGACGCTCCAGAATTGAAGGCTGGTTTTGGCGGCTGGATCGCCTTCTGACATTGTCAAGTCAAGGCCGCGTACCCTCAAACAGCCAGAGTGCGTCATGCATCTGTGCACAAGCATGAGCTGCTACGGTAACAGACTAGGGCCACGAATATCTCAGGCACACTCTTGCAGAGTTGCGGAAAAGAACGAGACGCTGAAAGCAATAAGTCGGCCGCAATAAGTCGCTGGGTGAGAGAGACTGAACAAATAAGTCTCTTTTTGGCGCTCAGATGCCCTACATGCTCGTGATGGATTGAAAAGGAAGGGAACGATTGAAAAGGGATCCAATCCGCAAGCAGCACAGTCCGCTTCCTGGGCAATGGACAAAGTAGAACCGATACAAGCGGATGACCGGGAAACGAACACCGCTTGTCTCAACGCACGGTGGACTTGTCCAGAAACGACACCGTATTCCCACAAAGCGCCGTCACGACGATTTCATAGTGACATGGGTCGGACTTTCATTCCAAGATTGCTCCTGCTTTGGTTAGGGAATTTGTCCTATTCGGCTTGTCTCACAGCGCCGGACAAATTACACCTCAACCCTTGAATTGTCTGACCGCTGAGCAACTCGAGATCAAATGCAGAACCCAAGAAATCTAGGATGTACGCTCTGCAAAACTTTATCAAATCCCGCCATGTAACCCAAGAAAACAGATGCAAGTGACGCCTCACCTTGTACTTGGCAATAATCCGCACGCACCCAGCCCTCCGTCAATTTATCACAAGACCTCAACCAACGCCTAACCTTGCATTTAGCAATAACCCGCAAGCTCCCTAACCCCTTCTTAACCGACAATCTAACCACAGCCTCACCTCGTATTTGGCGATTACCCGCACGACCCGGTCGTCAAACTCGTGCACGGTGCGGCTCGCCATAACATGCGCGCGATCCGCCACCTTCGCGAACGCTTCCCGGTTCTTCTCCGCGTACTCTTTCATCCCGTCCGCCATGAGCTTGCACCAGATCTTCTGGATCAATTTCCGGTTGCAGAACCGGTCCACGATCAGCATATCGTATGGGCTGCCGCATGTAAATCCGCCCACGACGGGCGTCTTATCGCCCTCTTCACCCAGATAGCGTATGGTCATGTTGGCCCCGAGACTGCAGCCGACAACCGCAAGGTGCGCGGCCGGTATGCGTTTCTGGAGCAGCGCGACCACTTCGCGGATGTCGGTGGTCCAGCCGGCGTGGTGGGTTGCGTCAGACTGTGAAGAGAAGGGCAATTCTTTTTAGTAGAGAAACTCGGCCTTTGGTAAGCAGAATTCCTTGATTTAGGATTCTCAAGCGGCGTTCCTAGAGCGGCGAGGCAAGGGCACGGTGCTTCGAATCTCAGCTTATTATGGGTTGCGTCAGACTGCGAAGCGAAGGGCAGGTTGTTGTTAGAAGAGAGGTCGGCGATATCATGATGCAGACTCCTTGATTCACGATTCTCAGATGGCGTTCCTAGGTCGGGAGAAAAAGGGCACATTAATCTGAATATCAAGTACTCCAGGTTGCGTCAAACTGCTATGAGCAAGGGCAAGTTGGCACGAGAAGAGGAAAGTCGGCACTTTCAATCAAAGGATCCAACAAAGGAGCAGGCTTTTCGAGCGGCATCCCGTAGAGAAGGGCAAAGCGTTTTGGGGTCGTGTTTGGGTCGCGTCAGAGTGCAGGAAGAGAAACAAGTTGACCAAGTGCGACGTTGTCCGCTGCGTCGGGACTGCAGAAAGCTTACGCTGCCAAACCTCTCAACGAGCTCCTGATTGGTCGTGCATCGAGCTGAAAGAAATTCAATTAATATATTTGCACCCAGCAAAAGCTGCAAGCTACTTCATGCAAGATTGCAACCACTGATTAAGAGCTGCTTTGCCCCCACATTCTTTAAGTTTTGTATGTCCAAGTCGGGCAAGAAAATTGCATCAAAAGCAGATAGAGACAGGTTGGTCAGAAACGTACCGTAAAAGAGACGCCACCCAAGCCTCGGTGGTTAATCACGACTGCCCGCCAGCCTTGCTTCACAATGGCGGCGACCAAGTACTTGACGTATGCTGGCGTGGAATCGCTCGTAAGCCCCGGGGTGATGATGACGGTCGGCGTATCTGGCTTCTCAGCGCCAGCCCAGTCCAGACCCACCGAACCGCCATCTCGCTGAATGACAACTTCTCTGCACAATATAAGACAAGGAAAATGTCATGGAAACAACTTTCAGTGCGATGGCAGGTGCTCAATCAGTGCAGACAGATCTTTGGGGCCCGTCAAAGTGAGTCAGCTGTTTCAAGACAATGCGGAAGTTGGACCACACGATCATTTGTTTTATGAAACACGCAAAATCTTGCGTGCAAGGTGAACTGAAAGCGTCCTCCGTGCAAGAGGTTCTGTACGCCTTGTTCAAGTCAACATTGACGTTAATCCAGTTGCTCTCGAGTTGACAAATTGGAGGAGCGGAGTCAAAAAGCGGGGGAGAACGAGGGGTTTGGATACTGACCGTCTGTACGTAACCTTGGGTCCCTTCTCGAGAGCAAGGTAAACGACTTGCAGGTGGGGGCTGCAGAGGAGGGGTGTGGATCGAAACCTGCACAGAGAAGAGCAAACTGTATACACTCCAAGCGCAGAGGTAGAAAACCGTAGGAGAAGCCATATACACAAGATCATGCTGACGTGGAGAAAGTCTGATTGCAAGTTCTTGAGGTACTGTTTCCTTACCAAGGTTCGGTTGTGGATTGTTTCTGGTGCAACCGGCTAAAAGGAAGTGAATGCTATCTCCAATGCATTCTGAAGTCAAAACATACTGTTAAAGTGAATACGAAAATCCAGCATAACCTGGGCTTCCCTTTCAAGACTGACTTCTGAATGGACTGTTTGGCGTTAAAGCAAATGTGAGCGGTTGCGACTCCCAAGCCGTTCCCTTAGTAGCTCCAAACTATCCACGTGTTGGGCAAGGACGGCACTCGTGTTTCGATGATGACCAGCGCAACACACGCCCCTACTTTGCAATGACACAGCTCCTTTGCACAAAGATGTGGAGCTTTGCGCTTGATGTTTCAGAAAAGATCGTAATTGGCATCATCTGTCGCTTTTTGTGATGTAAATGAAGCTCAAAACTAAAGGCCTACCTGCCACGGGTGAGCGACTTGCAGTGTTTTGCGGCCAGCTTAGTGATGGGCGAATCACGATCCCATTCCACCTCAACCTTGGATGTTCCCAGCAAAGCCTCTAGGAGATAGAAGTCCAGCGCCCAGTACAAAAAGGCGCCTATCCCCACCAAGACCGCCACTGCCACCCACACCCAGTCCGGCTGGTGCGAAAAGCCCCCTGGGCAGGTCTGTGAGTCCATCGCTTTGCTGGCCGCTGGCCGATGGGACAAGCGCCGATCGCTTCGTAGGTGAGTGCCTGATGCGGGAAGTATTCGTTCAAGAGATTGTGAGTAGGGGTACTGAGATACAGTGAAGGACATGGACCTTCCATCGTGTCTTCGTTTCACATTCTGTCGGTGGTTTGCTTTTGCATAAAAGAATGCTGGTCTTTGGCCTTTCATCTTTGGTACAGGTGATGAGGACTTTTGTCCCACATAAAGATGTTAACATTCCCAGGCGGATTGAAACCCAATGATCTGGGTTCTCCCAGATGAGCTTACTGCAGAAGCTCTTCCACTGTCAACTAATACCAGCTTTTGCGCCTCCTGAATGTGCAGAGGGACGGAGCCAGCGGGCTGACATCAAGATCTGGCATGTCGCATACGAGTATGGTGACCTGATCAGTCTCGCCTGCAAAAGTGTGCATTTTGATATTGCAGATTTCCGTGACCTCTGATCCCGATCGTATTACGTGCTCTGAAAACATGCAGAACCAAAGCCGACAACAATGTGATTTTGCACCACCAGCTATACATCTACCCAAGAGGATTCAAAACCCAATAAGGAGCAACTGCATTCACAACAGAGATCCACCTGATTATTTGATTTGGCGGCGAAACACACAAGAAGAAGGTTTTCTTGCATGGCCCTTACTTGAATGCAAGCACAGCAAACTAATGGAATGCTTTGATTGAATTGCCCAAGCACAGCATTCGAGATTGTGAAGAATTAAAAGGTTGGACACAGCTTGTGAAAGACAGTCCGCACAAGCCACAGAAAGCTACCCAAGCTTACAGATCTGGGCGCATTCAACCACTGCTGATTCGAGATCGCAGCATTCGAATGCTGCATTTAGCGTCTTACTGAAACCATCTATAAACGTTGGGGGTCAGATTGAGAAAAGCTGACTCCTGGGGTGGGTATCCTCGAGGAGCCATACCTTGAAAAAGTTGCTGCGCTGGGCTTCTTCCAAGTCCACTCTTTTTATCGGATTTACGATGTTGCAGAATGCAGGCCTCAACACTCACGGATCGATAGTCAGATGGTGCATGCCACTTGCTGTTTGAGCAACATGAATCAAAGCACTGATTCGTGGAAGTCAGATTGAACCCCTAAAGCAAGGATGTAAAGCTAACTCTCTCATGTAGCAGACGCTTTGACCTGCACGCTTGCACAATCGCACTTTACAGTTGAGCTGCAATGCCGACTCAACGCCGTTTGCAGTCCCACTGCCCTGGCGCCCTTCTAACCTGCTTGGAAGGGGTTTCTGGCTGAATTCGACAGACGGTACCGAGCTAGGGACAGGGACTACAGGCCACCACCCTGACCATCCTGCAGCACCAGTTTGACTCGCTGGCACAGCTTTCTCTCCTCCGCTTTCAAGCACTCAGCGAGATGGTCTGTATCCTACAGTCTACTGCTCAGTGCAAGTGCAGCACTGTGAAGCCTGCCGTGTGCACATTGCAGGGCAGGCTTGGCAGGCTGCCGTTTACTAGACCGAGAATCTATAAGCTATGAATGGGCTAGCTAGACGATTCAATGATTGTTTCCTGGAGCGGCCCGGCGGCGAAAATACCGCCGCGCCGCAGTACGTACCTACTTGTAGCGGTGCCACCGTCCGCTATTGAATGCCCGGGGCGCCCCGAGAAACCGGCCCCCGGAGTAAGCTTAAATCCAGGGTCATGAACACGTTATTCTTGAACCGGTCGACTAGGGCCGGTACCTATCCTCCTAGGTAATTCCAGATCGCCACCAAGCGGTACTGTACTACCGCGGCGTTTAGGTCCGTATCCGTCTGCCGCCGGCGCCGAACTGACCAGAACCGGGCGGTGCTCGGGCATCGTGGGCAAGTCACGGTATGAGTGCCCACTTGGCACTGCCTGACAGTCGCAGGATACGTTCATCGGTCTGGCATGCGTAGGACGCCCAACTTGAAGTAGGCAGTGGCAAGAACTCGAGCTAGCACGTACGTCTCGGTCCAACATCGCCATAGGTATGCAGTGCGGGCAGAAGTGCACTGCATGCATTGCAATTTAGCAGTTGCACAATGACAAGGATGCAAGGAGTGACACCGACGGAGAGCATTTGACCGAGATGCTAAATGATATTTACCCCGGATGCATGTCGTATGGGCAATACTATCCAGACGACACCATCCGACGTCTCTAAATTTTGAGCCACTTCGGTTTTGACTTGGGCGCTCTGGCCCCCCCCTCGCTTTCCGTCTGCTTTTTGCCAGCAGCTTGCATGGCCGCCCGTTTTCTCCCCGCCTCTCGCTCGGCCTCACCAATTTTTCCTAATCCCGGTGGCTGAGGCGCCTCCTCCCGTTTGTCTGTAACCCACTTTTGGAGGTACGGGCTTTCCGAGTCGGGTACGCTCGGCAAAACGGCTTCTGTGAAATCCAGAAAAAGGGACCGTCAGCATCTCCTTTTGGTTCTGCTTTCCACACTGGCAGAAGGACCTTCGAACGGCACTCGCTTCATCATGCCAACACGAATCTGCGCATCTCGTTTCAATTGACTCGAAGGGCTGGGGTCGTCGTGCGAGTTAGGTGAGCAAGGGGACAGCGATTGCAAAGAGGAACGCAGGCAAGGGTTTGGAACGAAGTTACTGACTGAGCGCTTTCAGTAGCCTCGCCTCAAAGAGCCGATAGCTGCTAAATCGCCACACGCGAGTAGATGGGGAAAATCCGTTGTCCTTCGCTCTGGTCAACGTCTTGCAAACCCGCTGATGATGATTCGCGACCAGCAAAGCAACTGATGTTCAGAGAACTCACATTCGATGAGCATTTCTGGGGCGCTTTTGCGCATCCAAGGAACCCCGACAGAAGTAGCCGATGGAACATCATCTCAGCCTGGTCGCCGTTCATCTGACCAAGGCCCTCAGCAAGCCCATCGTGAACAAAGACGACAAAGGATATGCCTCCAGGGTGATCAAGACCCAAAAGTCAGTAGGATACCCCCACGTGGCACCTGACCTTTGTCATCGACGGCCCAAAAGACCTGCGCGAGCGGCACTAGCCCCGCCTCCCACAGCGTCCGGCTCCGGTCCACTAGCCGCTGCTTCGGTGGAACCGTGAAGAGATGCCACGTAGCGACGCCTGGTCGCACGATGGTCGAGATGAAAGCGTACAAGCCGTCGATTGTACTCTCGCTTGGGAAAGATGCCTCGACGACGTACAGATCTGGAAACTGGACTCTTATTTTTGTCTGCATGAGAAGGGATGTCACGTCAGCGAGGGAGAGTGACGTCCGCGCAAGGGGGCGATCATCGATGTCGGTGCCAACCTGAGCGGCGGACGGCCGCCACACGTTCTAGAGGTGCAGAACAGGGCTTCAGTGGGATAAGCGCGTGGTGGGGTGAAAGGATATGAAAGGTTTCTGGCAAGTCGATGCAGTGTCAATTGAAGAGGCGACTGCGACTGAGAAATTTGGCGATGAATAAGAGGCATCAGACAAACAGGCTCGTGCAGGGGAGATCGCACTTGGAATGTTGGTAGGACTGTCAGTTTCTGTCACATTTTGTTCGTCTTATCGAGGAAACATCGGGCTTTAAACAGTTTTCGCTTCAACTCTCGACCAGAAACAGGAGGGCACAAAAGATCAAAGGACGCTCCTCACAGCTTGACCTTAGAGATGATGCTATTGATGAAAACCGCACTACGGATTCTAAGGAGTAGTGATGAGGCACCACAACTTAGAGTAGGCGCTCGTGATGAGGCACCACAACTTAGAGTAGGCGCTCGTTTCTCTGAAAGGTGCAGTTTGAGAGGGGAGCCTTACAGATGAGAAGCGCGCACGTCGTTCTCGTTCCTCCTGCTCTCGCATCGCACGAGTCTTGAGCACCGCCTCCCCTGAACCAACGGCAGTACGTTTCTGATAGATGACATAGGCAGGGTGGAGAGTCTACCAATGGATCCCTTCTTGGGGAGACCACACCGAACGCATCGGTAAACCTGACTGTCAGCCTTCACACATCTGACACAAACTAAGGCCATTCGTTATATTCAACGGCCTAGTTCCGCAGGCTTTCTGATTTGCAGAATGGTCAATGAGAAATCGGCCAAAGATTCTGTGCGGCTTTTTCAGTAAGACAAGTTCGCAAAAGAACAGCTTTGATTATGAGCGTTCGAACTCTAGAAAACGTCCAGAAGAGGCTCAAACTCCTGCTGTCTGTAGGGCAACAGAACAACTGATGATGACCAGCCCAACGTAGGGACATACATCAACAAGTCAAAAAGACTGGTCTCCTTGAAAACAGAGTGGTTGCGAATGTTGGTATATTGGACTTCCAGCGTAATGGGCCACAGGAGAAGGACAAGACATGAACAAGTTACCGAAGAGGGGCTGCGTCAAGCTGTAGATACAAGCACAATTCTGCTGAAACGTTCTTACAGACCACGATGTTTATGGTCTTACCAGGCCTGTTCCCTTTCATTCTAAAGTAGTCCTCCGCTGTAAACTCATAGAAGTCGTCAGGCAGCTCATCTGCAAAGGGCAGCCACACCACTGTGATTGACAAACATGCCTGCATAAACCTATGACCATTCCCTCAATCCTGGCCTGTCTTTTGAAAGCCTCTCATAGGGGGTTGCCACATCTCCTCTGCAGCTCCTTTGAACATCCTAAACAGGCTGACTCATCAATCAGAAGCAAATCGCCAAGCACAGCCTCCAATGAGTCGAGGATCTTTGCACGTTTTGCTACGTCCATGTTCCATTTTAAAGCCACTATAGCCATACATGGTGTTCTTATTGGAGCTAGAAGAGCAAAGACACAGACGCAAAGTGCAAGAAGAGTCTGATGAAAGATGGACCATTTCTGCATTATTCTTGGAGAAAGCAACTATCAACTGACGTGCTGACTTTACTGGACAACGTGGAAAAGAAAGAACGTAGAGAAGAAAGAAAAGAGTGGTCACATCGAAAGAAGCGGGTCGCCAGCATTACGGAGACAAACATAGACAAAATCTTTTGAAGATCATCAAATTCTTGCCATTAAGACCACCACCTTATAAATGGATTGCAACCTTATCATTCCAATGCTCTCACCTTGCTGGCTGGGACCAGCCGCCTCGTCCGGTGCCCCTGTGGTGCGCAGGTTCGTGCGCTGGAACACTCGTTCGAGGTGTCCTTGAAAATCGTTCACGCTCACGTTCACCTCCTTCCCTTCTTCCATTGTGACACTTCTCCAGGCGCGATAGAAACGATCGAAACCAGGATTGGCCAGAGCTGTCGTTGCAGCTTTGTATTGGCCCGGACGCAGCCTTGATTGTTGTTAGCTGCAGTGCGGATTCTGAAAGCCGCTGATGTATAAAGAGTAACGACCGCACAAGCAGGAACGGGTAGGTCCTTGGATCCGTGAGCAGCAACTGAACGCCAAGGAGCTTGTCCTACCGTATGTAGAGCTCTGCTTGATGGCTGCAAGTGCTTGCACAAGTTGGGCGATCGATGTGAAAATTTTACCATGAGAGAATTCTAGATGGGTCTGGTGCCGTCTTACTGCCGTTTAATAAGAACAACTAACCAACAGGTGAAAGGCATAAAATGGACCAACCCCGTTCCGACACGTGTCCCCCCTGTTCAGAACAACTTACGCGCCAAGTCTCCGGTCGCCATCCACCGGCCAGGTTCCGAATCCGGTCAACTTTCCTAACTGGCCGTCCGGTTCCAGTTGCGCTCCGTCCGACTCGTCCAGTGCCCAAAGAGCTGCTTTTTGGCAGCTGCTCTTCGGCAGGTGGCCACGCAAGTCTGCCTGTTCTTCAAGACTGAGCTCAGTCAAGCTACATAGTTTAGACTTGTCCGGACGGCCAGGCTACGTGGCGCAGACTCCCAGGGAGGTCACAATGGCGTCCCCATCATTCCAAGCAAGCGCAGTAGCCAGCAAGCAGCATTCTCTCCACTTCATCTTTGCACAACCCAGAAGCACCAGCTCGCTGTTCACCTTAGAAGACCGCGACAAGCTGTCTGATCTGCCACTTCATACGGTGGCTCAGGGACTGCAGGCTGAGCTGGCCAGACGGTGCCAGAGGGCAGCTACGACATGGCCCAGCAATTGCGAGCAGCTGCAGAATGCAGGGCGTGCTTGCTATAGCTGCTGGCGTTTAGTTTCAGGCTGCCAATTGTCTAATTCAAGAGTAGTCAATGTCAAGCGGTCAGCAGCTTGCAGCTTGGGAGCACCTTCATCACTCTGGCATAAGACAGCTGGCAGCAAAGTACCACTGAGTGACGCTGTACTTTAGAGCTGCTGGCATGGCGTCCGACCTGCGTTTCCGCTGGGAGAGGTAAGCGATATTCTTAAGTGAGTGTACCACGCATGAGGCAAGGGACGGCTGTTGCAAAGAGCGACTTCTGTCTGAGGGCTGGCAAGCAGGTCGGAGGCGGCCGTTTTCAGTCAAAAGGGAGTCGCTTTTCCTTTAGAGATGGATGGCGACTTTTGACTGCTGTCTCTGTGATGGCTGTATCGTGAAAGGACTTGATGATCGCTGAGCTGCTTCGCGCAAACTGTTCCATGCGAAGCTGACTTGCAACTCAAAGTCTCTCCTTTTCAGTGACCCGTCATCTCCTGAAGGATCAGAAGAGGACATCGAAGGTGTTGAGTATGCTCCTCGCTCTATCGACGGTTCAGATTCTGGACGCTCCCTGGAGGACTTCTTTAGTGATGGAGACTCTGTCAGCAGCCAAGCCCCGTCGTTCTACAGGGCGATTGACAACGAGAAAAGTCGAAGCCCGCTTCATATTCCAAAAGGTCTCGCTGGTGTTCTGAGCAAGGCTTTGGTGAGCTTGCTCTGTCTGGTTTTCTACTTCCCTTATAGCAGTGCCCGCCTCTTCTTCTCGAAAGGACTTTCGGATGCTGCTTGCGATGCCGAGCCTCTTGGACACGTTTGATATCTGGGTTGCAAGTCGCACAATCTCCATGAATCGGTTTGAAGGTGCTTTCCGGGCGGAGTTCCTGCTTGTAGAAACCTATATCAGCTGATTAGTCCATCCACTGGGGCAATGAAGGGACCCTTTGAAGGGGAATCGGACTTGTGCTTGCATCATGAGTTGCTCACCACGACCATGTATGGTGTGCAGGGGTATGTGACTACTTCCCCATCAGCTTTTTCCAGCGGCAGCAGCTTTAGAAAGCGGACCTGCTTAACGCCACCAGGCAACCCCCAGGTGAGAGAACAAGCTAGTACAGTTTCTGGGTGACTTGTGATTCAGGGGTAAGGTACTTTGCAACTGATCCTTGAGTACGAAGAAATCGAGTGATATCACCGCCCTGCCATTGGAAGCTCAGTGGGAACAAGCAACTGAAGTTCGCTTCGGATGCAGATCGTATCTACTCGGCCCACATCCTGTTCGAGATCTAGATTTGTCCCTCTTTGTGTTCTCAGGCGTCTCCGCGTTGCTACATCCCAGCTGGTCCTCAGAGCTTTGCGAGCAAGAGGGCTTCAGTTGAAACCTCAGTTGGCGAGCCTAACCTCGGTTTGCCAGTGCGGAAGCGAGGAGGGCTTGGAAGGAAGCATCGGCGGGTCATCCTCTCGCTATGACTCGGGCAGCGACTTGGATATGCTGACGTCAAAATATGACGACGAGAACGAGGAGAGCATGCCAGTAGTGGATTCGAGCGCTGAGCGTATCCTGGCCGTTGATGGGAAGGTGCTCCAAAAGGCTGCGGAGCGCGCGCCTTTCTCGCAGCTCAATACGGCCCCGGACCTTCAGCGCACAAGCGAGGTCTTTGCTAAGGTGAAAAAGAAACTTGAACGCTTTTCTGACATAGTCTCAATACAGTCTACAAAAAGACGGCTAAAGATGTGCTGTCAAAAGAAAAGGTGTGGCCCAGAATCTGGAGCCTTCAGAGAGGAGGGTTTTTGAGAACTGTTCTCTGTCAAGCAGAGAGTTCTAGAACGACAAATGGAGCTTGCTACTTTGAGAACCAATTAGGAGCACAATCAGACGGTGACAGGCTGAGGAAAGACGGCCATCCAAATTCTAATCTAGCTACGATACAAAAGGAAGAGCGTTTCGTACTTCACCAGAGCCTGACGATCTCAGAGCACATCCCGTAGGAAAGCTGCTGGACTCCTACAGCTCAGGAATTTCTGTCTGAGCATTTCTAGTTCCATCTGGTGGCTTGGCTGTGCATGGGCATTGCTCCGTAAATGAATCAACAGTGCGGTCGAACAAGAAAAGAGGCCTAAGGCAGAAGGGGCGTATCGACGTTTTCGCTTTCACCTGCAGTCCCCCAGCCCCATTCCCAAACAAGAGGGACATCAAAGAAGACCGCTGCTTGCCTGCCATTCCAGAGAGGCGCATGAGCAGCCGCTGTTGAAGCACGTGACCTTTCCATTGTGGATAGCATATGTGTGCCCTGTATCAAAGCGGATAGCTTGTAGTACGAACCGGTTTAAGATGGCAATGAAACTGAGTGGAGACAGTGAAAATCTGGACGACAAGGATGTATCGTAAGCAGTCAAGAAAGCCATGCGTGCACGTTGCATCATTGCAAAGAGAAGCTAGCAGCTGGGGAAGTGCAGCAATTTGATATGAGCATTCGAAAAGCTAGCTAGGATTGCTTTGTCCCGTGAGGGACGCGTGCATGGTAGCACGAAACTTTCAATGAGTCAAAATATTGCAATTTCGCACTTCACTAGATGCTTCGTCATACAGGAATTATTCCTCATGAATGATGTCGTTGTTATGGAGCAGCTCGCAATATTAACGCTGCATCGCTTCACGTCCAAACGATCACCTCTTTTCTTAGCTGACCCCCCTCACCAGCAATGATGCATGCTAATGCCAACGGTGAACAAGCATCGAGGACTGGCCACAGAGGCAAAATAAGATGACGGTGTTCATGACGTAGCCTGTCAATATAAGGCCAATGCTTACCCAAGATTCGTCGAGATCTAATTATGGACAATCCAACCTTCAAACCTCGTTGAAGGACACGTGGTACCTAAGCAATGTAGGAAAGACGGTTTGGATCTAATTCTGCCAGCATCCCTTCTCTGAGGCTGCTAGCATGGGCTTGAGCGCTCCTGTAGCTCGGCAGAGCTTGGCCGCTGTTCCTAGCCATTTCGTTGTAGCAACACTCGTCAATGTCCTCTCGTACGGCGGCATCAAGGTCGCTTTGGGCGTCGGTGTGGTGCCAGATCTTGAGTGCGCCGGGTGAGAAAGTGGGGCCAGCCAAAGTCAAAGACTTCAGCGCGTCATCAACTGGAAAGGGAGAGGTACTGTATCAGTTGCCAAGTCAGGAACGAGTTTTACCATGATCTTCAAGCCCTGCCATCTTGTTCATGGGACTCAATGGATGGCACCACCTATGGCCTATGTTGAAAACAGGGATTCGATGCAAGCACTTAGCAGCGACGTGGCAAAGCACACAGCAAACATGCACAGAAAACGATCCTTGAAAACAAGTTTCCCTGACTCACAGTCAATCGGTTGAGCCAGCGCCTTCGAAGCTTCTTCAATTAGGCGCCCCAGGTACTTGAAGGCCTGTGCCTGGTTCTGAAATACCACCTCCTTGGTCAAGAGTTCTCCTCCGCTGGTCTCTTGATGGAAGATGTGGCTGTTGCCGTTGAGATCAGTCATCATGGCAGGCAGATCACGGCCCGTCCGATACGTTCCGATCGTATACTGGGATAAAACCTGCCCTCTGTTCTTCTTCAGGTTTGGAAACCAGGTTTCGGGCTTTTTCAGATCCACCATTGTATAGATCTGCACCGAACATGCGTGCTTTGTCAGGTATGTTGTTGAGAGAAACAACAATGCCTAGGAAGCAACTCTCAAGCACAATTGGGTGACAGTAGGTTGAAACCCTTACAGTTTTGCCTGATCTTGAAAGTCTTTGCAACCATTGGGTAAATCACAGAGGTGAGAGTGGAAAGCACGAAGCTGATTCAGAGTCAAGTGCAGCCCGGCCCTTGAGTGCTGTGCACGGGGATGAAAGCCACAAGATTACTTTGTTCAAGCTGCGACTTCCCACCTCATCCAGGACACTTTCGGGTTTCTCTTTTGCGGCAGCCTTCCACTCCGGAGGAACAATAATGATGTCTGTCTTGGTCGCTTTTACTGCAGTCCGCTTCTGTGGCGTAGCCTCGCTCTTGGCAAAGACTTGTAGGGACTCCACCCCCAGCACTTCGACAGGAACACTGCAGCAATCAGCCATAGCGCTTTGGACAAAAGCGACCGCTCCCTCCATGTTGGAAGAATCATCTTCCCGCGCTGCAAAAACATGATTACGTGTTATTCCAGTTGCTCTCGGTCAGAAAACACCTTACAAGATGTCACTTCTCGAAGTTCAGCGCACAGAAACCAAGCTCTGCAGCCAGGCAAGAAGGACATGAGCTGGCACACAGTTACACACTCAGTGGAAGACAAATGTTAGAAGATCTGGCGGAACAGTGAGACACTTGCCAGCAGCGTTCCAGTTGAAACTCTTTTCCAGTTGACCGTCATTCTTGACGAGCTGCCGCACTCTCCGTCCTAGATGGTGACGGACAAGAGCTTCATCAACATCCCTCAGGTCAGCACTTGAACCGCCGATAGTTAGCTGGTCGTCAAAAAGCTCTCCTCGTCCCTTCTTCTTTGCGACGATGCCTATAGGGTCAATTGAAGTGACTGGTCAGGAAGAAGAACAACTGCGTTTCACCCCTATTAAGGAGATGCCAGGGAACTACAAGTTAGAGGAATATGGTAGCAACTTACGGAAAGTCTAGACAGGATGCTCAAGAGCAGAGGCAGACAAAGACAGTGCGGTTCAAGGCAATCTAACTTACTCCAGAACTCAGCAGGCAGGTGAAGCGTTGCAGGAGTGGAGGGACCTGAAAAAAGCACGAGTTCTTTGTCAGCAAACTCCTCAAGGATGATCTGCGCTGATCTTAGCATTTGTACGAAACCTCTGACAATTGGCATCTATGCGAGCACCAATCTTTGCCAACAAGGTGAAGCAGATTGGTTGTTAACACCTCAATTCAGTCACAAGGTTTTGTGAAGGACTTCATTGCAATGGGATCACCAACATTAAAGTGCCAAAAACCCGTCTACTTACTAGCTCTTTGATCTGGCACTACCAACTTCAACCGGGCCCCTTCGACAACCAATTTCCTGGTGGTGTTGTCCACCTCATTCCAACAATCATGATCCCAAACAAACAACGTTCTGTCAGGAAACGCCTCTTGCAGAGACTGCAATGTATTGTCCTTGACTGCTTTCTTGTTGTCGCAGTCTGTTGGCTTTGCCTTGGTCGACAGGCTTGCAACCTCCACAAAACGAACTCTCATTTTCTGAGAATCTATCCGTACCCTGTACTTGACTGTAGGTTCACCTATATGTCATACTCCTGCTCGTTTCTCCTAAGCCGCTCTGCTTTTCCCAGTCAGTATTTTACCTGCGTGAAAAAACACCTTCAGCGACAGAGAGCAACAGATTGAAGAAGCTACCTGGTGGCCTGTTCCTTGGGCCTCTGACTCAGACTTAGAGTTCGACTCTCAGGAAGTGCATGGACCTTGCAGCACCTTTATGCCAAAGTAGTTGTCACCTTGGAAGTGAAATGTGTCGACAAGGTACAATCTAGAGATGAGCAGGAAAAGCAGGAAACGTTCAGCTTACAACATGGGAAAAGCATCTCCTTCCTGACGACGAGTGTTAATGTTGGCTTCGTGTTGACCGGGTATCACTCTCTAAGTCCGAGTCTCGGACTCGCCCGTGTCAGAAGTCCTGCAGTCGCAGAATCTCGCTGAGCTCAGTCACTTGGCACGATGTCCCACCTCCTCAGTCAACCCACCCAACCTCCCCTTGGCCCAAGAATCTTTGGGAGCTGGCACCAACCAACTGACCAACGTAACGAGGACCAACCCCGTTCCGATACGTGTCCCCCCTGTTCGGTACGGCTTATGCGCGCCAAGTCTCCGGTCGGCCAGGTTCCGAATCCGGACAACTTTCCTAACTGGCCCGTCCGTTTCCTGTTGCGCTCCGTCCGACTCGTCCAGTGCCCAAAGAGCTGCTTTTTTGGCAGTCGCGCTTCGTGGCAGGGTGGTCACGCAAGTCTGCCTGTTCTTCAAGACTGAGCTCAGTCAAGCTACATAATACAGACTTGTCCGGACGGCCAGGCTAGGTACGTGGCGCAGACTCCCAGGGTATAAAAGCAAGGTCACAATGGCGTCCCAATCATTCCAAGCAAGCGCAGTAGCCAGCAAGCAGCATTCTCTCCACTTCATCTTTGCACAACCCAGAAGCACCAGCTCGCTGTTCACCTTAGAAGACCGCGACAAGCTGTCTGATCTGCCACTTCATACGGTGGCTCAGGGACTGCAGGCTGAGCTGGCCAGACGGTGCCAGAGGGCAGCTACGACATGGCCCAGCAATTGCGAGCAGCTGCAGAATGCAGGGCGTGCTTGCTATAGCTGCTGGCGTTTAGTTTCAGGCTGCCAATTGTCTAATTCAAGAGTAGTCAATGTCAAGCGGTCAGCAGCTTGCAGCTTGGGAGCACCTTCATCACTCTGGCATAAGACAGCTGGCAGCAAAGTACCACTGAGTGACGCTGCAGAGTGGAGCTGCTGGCATGGCGTCCGACCTGCGTTTCCACTGGGAGAGGTAAGCCATATTTTAAGGTGAGTGCACCAAGCAAGAGGCAAGGGAGGGCTGTTGCAGAGAGCAACTTCTGTCTGAGGGCTGGCAAGCAGGTCGGAGGCGGGCTCAGTCAAAAAGGAAGTCACTTTTCATTGGAGATCAGATGGCGACTTTTGACTGGGGTCGGCAAGCAGGTCGGAGAGCATTTTCAGTCAAAAAGGAGTCGCTTTCTTTTAGAGACCAGATGGCGACTTCTGACTGCTGGCTTTGAGATGGCTAGATTGTGTGAGGACTTGACAATCGCTGGGCTGCTTCGTGTAAACTATTCCATGCGAAGCTGACTTGTACCTCAATATCTCTCCCTTTCAGTGGCTCGTCATCCCCTGAAGGATTAGGAAAGGGCATCGAAGGTGTTGAGTACACGCCTTGATCTGTTGATGGTTCAGACTCTGGACGCTTGCTGGCATGCTTCTTCAGCGATGGAGACTCTGCCAACATTCAAGGCCCGTCGTTCTACAAGGCAATTAAGAATGAGGAGAGTTCAAGCCCGCTTCATCTGCCAAGAGGTCTTGCTGGTGTCCTGAGCAAGAAGAGGCCTGCTTCGGTAAGCTTGCTCTGTCTGGTTTTCTGCTCACCTGTGTCCGCCTCTTCTTCTTGGGAGGACTTTGAGATGTTGCTTGAAATGCCAGGCCTCTCGCACTTGAGTGATAGTTGGGTGACAGATCGCGCAGATTCATGAATCACTTTGAATGAGGTGCTTTGTAGCGGAGGACCTGCTTATAGAAACTCATTCCAGTTAATTAGCCAACCAACTGTGGCAATAAAGGCACCACTTGGAAGGAAGTCTAAGTGGTTCTTAAATCATGAGTTGCTCACTGCGACCCTGTATGTACAAGGTTATGTGCCTACCTCTCTATTCCCTTGGTCCTACGGGAGCAGTTTCAGAAAGCGGACGTGCTTAACGCCACCAGGCAACCCCGAGGTGAGAGAACAAGCTAGTACAGATTTTGGGTGACTTGTGATTGAGGGGTAAGGTACTTTGCAACTGATCCTTGAGCACAAAGAAATCGAGTAATAGCACCGCCCTGCCATTGGAAGCTCAGTGGGAACAAGCAAGTGAAGTCCGCTTCGGATGCTGATCGTATCTACTCAGCCCACATCGTGTTCGTGATCTGAATTTGTCCTCTTTGCGTTCTCAGGCGTCTCCGCATTGCGGCATCCCTGCTGGTCCTCAGAGCTTTGCGAGCAAGAGGGCTTCAGTCGAAACCTCAGTCGGCGAGCCTAACCTCGGTTCGCCAGTGCGGAAGCGAGGAGGGCTTGGATGGAAGCGTCCACGGGTCATCCTCTTGCAAGAGTTGGAGGAACAGCAGCAGCTGCCCCCGCGGCCCTCTCTTGAGGTGGGTCGTGAGCTTGGCACGGCCTCCCCCGTCTCCATTCTGCATGAAGTTTTCCTGTCTCGATTCTGCGCGTTCAGGACAGCTGTTTCCTGTGTCCGCCTTTTCGCGTGTGCAAGCTCATGAAGTGGAGTCTTGCAAGACGCCGTAGTAAACAACGCTGTTTTAGATCTCTTGCTCGGACCTTGTCGTCCGATTTGTGGGGAAGGCTAGCATTTAACGGTCACCCATTTCTTCCTGGTGCAGGAGGAGAAGAGCCCACAAAGCGGTCTTGGATGCGATCAAGAGAAGGGGTGGGAAGATGATCGGCAGGCCCAGGTACAACGCCCGTAGTTCAAGAACGATTCTAGATCAGCGCGCAGACCAGTCGACTGAGTAGAAGTCACCATCTATGTAGCAATGATGTGGACATCAGCCTTTGTAGCCACTTGTGATACGGACCTTTTGCTGGTGCGTGTTCTGATGTAAAAGACCCATATACCGAGCATCTTACAACGATCTTTCAGTCCGGCCCCATCAATTTTGAATCCTCACTGCATCGCACTTCATTTGCATGAGGCCCCTTCCAAGCTCAGTGTGTGGTTTGAGTAGCTTCTGCTTCCGCTGCTCGTCGGACTCAGCCAGCCCCATTTGCTAAGAGCATTTTCTGCAACCTAGCATGAGGAGGAATGATGGATGCGTAAGAGGCCACAGCCGCCGTTTTGCTGAAGTAACCTGCGGCTGACCTTGCGACCTTGTGACACCCAGACCATGCTCCCCTGTCGAGCTTCGGACATCGGCCAGTCGGTTGTTGACCTTGGAGACAGCCTCCCGCTGGCTGGGCGGTTCGAGGAAGGGCATGACGAAGCCGTCCCGCTCTCTTCCGCTCTGTACGCCTGTCCAAAACCCATGGCGTCCGAAGTTGCTTCGACAAGCGATGAGGAAGTCCTTTGTCAGGTGGGTTTGCTGGCAAAGTCATCAGAGCAGCAGTCAAAACTCTCCCTCTGATCTCTGATGATAAGCCACTCCTTTTTGACTGAACTTGCCTCCGACCGGCTGCAGAGCCCCAGTCAGAAGTCCCTCTCTGATCTCTGATAATAAGCCACTCCTTTTTGACTGAACCTCGCCTCCGACCTGCTTGCGAAGTCAGCAGAGCTCCAGTAGAAGTCGCTCTCTTATCTCTGATAATAAGCCACTCCTTTTTGCCTGAATCCCGCCTCCGACCTGCTTGCGAAGTCATCAGAGCTCCAGTAGAAATCGCTCTCTTATCTCTGATGAAAAGCAACTCCTTTTTGACTGGGCCATCGTCCTTAGTAGCACCCTCTGATTGGTTGATATCAACCTGTCCACTTGTCACCGTTCACATACTCTCCAATCCCCAACTGCAGGTCGCCGCTGCCCCCGCCTACTCTGGGTGCGACACCCTTCGAGCGACTTCCTGCGTAGACGACTGTCGGACTGCCGATTTGCTGGTCGTAGAAGACGCGCTCATGGACGACGCAAGCAGTCAGCCGACCGAGTGCTTTGCAGCCCTCAAAGAAGAATGCGAGGCGCCAGCAAAAACCATCTTCGCCGCAATCATGAACCTGGCGGTAAGGCATCGTGCGCCCCGTGCATCCGCACTTGCATACCAGTTATGATAGAACTCCTTGCTCGCAATAAGGAACGTGCTTTCCCTCGAGAGGTTCATTTCATCGATGCCTCACCCTGGTCACCTTGACTTGGGATCTCAGATTCAAACGAAACTGGTCCATGCTTGCTCAGGCTACTCCTGCAAAGAGGGTCAGTCTAGATGACAGAAGGTTGCTCCCCAAGAAATCGCACTCTGGCAGCATCTGTCGGATGGAGCAATGACTTCTTAGAGGCTTTTGCTGAAGCAATCCGTTTGTGTTCAGGTGTCCCAGGGAGCTCCGTTCAATCTGGACGAGTGGGGCCAGCTGTGGTGCTTCAAGCTTGCCCCTGTTCTTGCCGCCTTCGAAAAGCACGCCGGACCGTGCCCCGGTGCCTTCATCGCTGCACGTGATGCTGGGGGGAATAAGGGGGCCAAGGGGTTCACCGTGTTCTTGAGCGCAATGGAGTTTGAGACGTATGTTGCGGGCGTCCAAGCGGCTGGCCTCACGCCGAGCCTGTACGAGGTCCTGCTCTCCTCTGAAGCATCCTGGCTCTACCTTGACCTCGACTACACGTCATCATCCGAGGTCCCAGGCGACTTTGACGAACGGTGCGAGCATCTGCACCGCCTTCTCGAGCACTTTTGCACCCACGTCCTCAAGCTGCCCCCCGGCCAACTCGGCGCCCCTCAGATTGCCGCATCACCCGGAGTCGTTGGGGTTCAGGGGCACTTCAAGAGCAGCGTTCACGAAGTTTTCAAGGGGGTCTACTTCGAAAATTTGGAGGCGCGTGGAGAATTTCAGAAAGCCTTGCTTCACTTCCTCGACCACCCTTCTGCGAACCTAGCGTTTAGCGCCGAGTTCGTGAGGTACACAAAGCCCGGCAGTGAGGTCATTGACAAGATCTGGGACGACTCAGTGTACAGCAGCAATCGGAACTGGCGCACTCTTGGTTCATGCAAGCTCCATGACCCACGGATCCTCTGCTCAGAGGAGGGCAGCTCAGAGCGCGCCTCAGACCACTTCATTGGCATCCGGGGCGGGTCCGAATTAAGCGGCGCGCTCCAGGTCGACGTCGATCTGCTGCGGGCTTACAACGCAGCGGCGGGGGTGGCTGGGAAGTCGGGGCTTAGACAGCGGCAAGTCCCTGCTCGTCGCAAGTGCCCCGACGATGATCTCGAACGGGATGAACCGATGCAGAGGGACCTTGGGCCGGAGGAGAGGGCACGTCTGCTGGAATGCGCTCAAGCAGACCACCCTGGGGCGACCCTGGGGGCGGAGAAGCAGACCCGCCCGGGCGTCTTCACCGTCAAGATCTGCGCCCCCCCCGGTAGTCGCACCTGCTGCCTTGCTGGACGCGAGCATGGTAGCGAGGGCAACAGGCAGTACTTGCTTTACCGGCGGGCGAACCCTGGAGAGGTGTTCTACCGCTGCTTCGCCCCATCGTGCCAGTGAGTTCATTGGCAAATTTCTGCCTCATATCTGCTCTTGCGCAAGAAAGGCAGTCAGCGCCACTTCGATGTCTTTTAAGGAGAACTTGATGATCCATTTTCATCAGAAGGCAGCGCCCTTTTCAGTCAAGATCGCTCCCCTCTTTCTATGATGAGACTTGGCCCGGATTGACTAGGTCTGTTCTCCCAGAAGCCGCCATGTCAGGGTGCAGTCAGAATTGCTCCCTTGTTTGAACAATGAGAGGCTGCCTTATTGACTGGATCTATTTCCCAAAAGCCGCCACGTCAGCGTTCCAATCAAAAACCGCTCCCTTGTTTCTATAATAAGAGTCGGGCCGGAGTGACTGACCCGCCCGCTCGAGGCCACCGCCACTTAGAGCCTAGCCTGAAACGAACCCTTGAAACACAGGCCATGATCGAAGACTTTCCACTGCGACTAACGCAGGCTGATGTGCTTTGTGCAGGGGTCAGAAGAACGAACGGCTTCTCTCTCTGCGAGCGACCGACTTCGGTTGGAGCGAGGACTACTCCCTGTCAACGGGGATGCGGCCTTACCCCACAATGGAGATCCGCCCGGACCTCCTCCAAACAATGCTAGTGAAGGCGAACAAAGGGATCGGAAAGTCGAAGGCCGGGACTACCTTTCTGGTGGACATGCTCCGGAAGAACCCCTCGGCCACCTGCGTCGTCATTGCCAGCAACGTGGCGCTGGCTGACAAGCACCGCGAGGAGCTCCACCGGGCGGGCTTGACGGACTTCGTTCTCTACTCCGATGTGGAAGGCCCCATCAAGGACAGGAGGGTTGTCGTCTGCATCAACTCGGTGCCACGACTCTCTTCCCTCCGAAAGGACATCGTCTACATGGACGAGATCGACATGACCCTCAGCAACCTGAACTCCGACGTCATGAAGGACCGTAGGATGGTCTTCATGGCCCTGCACGCGCTGGTTGAAGAAGCCCGTGTAGTGGTCGGGTTGGACGCCAACGTCGATAGCGCACGCGTCCTCGAGTGGGTCCAGAGTATCCGCCCTGAGGCCGCCATGCACGCCATCCGCAACTCCGGAGTCCGCCCATCCAAGCGAACGGTGACCATCCGACCGCTGCCTTTCGGGTTCAAGGGGGGCGACCGCTTCGCTCCCGTCATCGACTGGATTCTCGAGAAGGTGGACGCAGGGGAGAACGTTTGGGTGAGTTTGGAATGGAGCTGGCCGATCAGCTGTAAAGTGCTTCTTACAGACCTCAAACCGTGACGGATTCGCAAATTTTCGTCTCTGCGGGCCGTATCAGGGCTGAGCACCATCATGGGCAGTCTGCTTGTCATTGAAAAGGTCTTTTGCTTCGTCAAGCTCTTCTGAAGTACGAAGCAGACCTCGTGCCGCTCTTCCGGACTGCTAAGCCGTTGCCACGTTAGCAGCAAGGGGCCGATCGAAATCGCAAAGTTTAACGGAATAGATGCCCGCTCCTTTTCGCCCTTCAACAGCTGCATCCTTATCGCGACGTCGCTTCTTTTCAGGTCGCATCGGCGAGCCGGTCCTTCATTGAACAGCTCGAGCAGGAGTTCCGGCTGAGATTCGCGGACACAGGCAAAAGCATTCTCACCTTCCACGGGGGGAAGACGGCATCGGGCGAGAAAGAGCAGCTTCGACAGGCGGTGGCCGACCCAGACAACCGCATGGTCGCCCACTGCCTCGGTTACTCTCCGACAGTCGGCCCAGGGGTCTCGATAGAGGTCAAACACTACCATCGGGGGGTAGGAATCGCCCTGAACCGGCCGAATGACGGCCCTGATGTCTTCACCTTCCAGCAGATGCTTCAAAGAGTGCGGGACGGGGGTGATATCGACATCTTCTACCTGGAAACCCCCCCGCCCAAGTTCGTGCCCACGACCAAAGAGGCCGTGTTCAGGACAATCGAACGGCAAGACGCCCAGCTACACGCGCTCGTGAAGCCATCGGAGGTTCTCGACTTCATGCAAGGGAGGGGCATGCACGCTGTCTGCGACCGCACGTCCCCCACCTGCATCGTGTACGCCAACAACGTGCTGGCGCGCTATCGCAGCATGACCGACTACGTTGAGCTTCTGACGGAGGACCTTGAGAAACAGGGCCTTTCAGTCGTGCACAGGTTGGGCGAAGTCGAAAGAGAAGAAGACGAGCATAGGCTGCCCGCGAGGCAGGGTCCCGATGCAAGCGAGAATCCTGACGCACGTCTCTCGGACGAGGAGTGGCGAAAGAAATTCTGCATCTCGCCAGAGCAGAACCGCGAGATTCTGAGCAAACGGGAAGCGCTTGAGGGTCTGAGCGACCTGGAGGAGAAGCAACGAGAGGTGTACTTCTATGCCAACGAGGTGTATGGTGTGGACTACAACCGTGTCAATCGTGCCTTCTTCGCGGACTTTTGCGACGAGGAGAAGAAGCACATGTACCTGAACTACAAGCGGTGAGTCATGCTAAATGCAAGCAATGAAGAAGTGGCATCCAAGTGCAATTCGCTCAGAGCAGCGGATGGAGAGGAGGCTGTGTTTCCTCTTGAGCTTCTGCTGACGTGGCAAGGCTCGGAAAGACTCTGATCCAGTCAATACTTGCCATCTCATTCATTAGAAGGGAAGTGAGAATTGACTGACCTTCCGCTCACATGGCAAGGGCTCGGAGCAAATCCGAGCTAGTCAAGATTCGCCCTCCCTTCAATAGAAAGGAAGTGGAGAATTGACTGACGTTCTGTTCTCTGAGCTAGTCAAGATTCGCCCTCCCTTCAATAGAAAGGAAGTGGAGAATTGACTAACGTTCTGCTCACGTGGCAAGGGCTCGGAGCAACTTTGGCCCCAGTCAAGAATCGCCCTCCCTTCGGATAAAAGGAAGTGGAGAATTGACTTTTCACTCACAGGCTTGGTAAGATTGAGTTCTATATCGGCCCCTTCCTTCAATGCCCTCTTCTCACAATTTGCCTCTCTTACCGGCCCTTACTTGCAGCTTTCTGCGGACGTCTTCGTTCGAGGAACTTCAGGGCCGCTTCGAGTCCTCCATGAGCTATGCGAATGATTGCCTCCCAACCAAGGACTACCTGGAAGAACGCAACCGGCCCAAGAACCTCGTCTTCTTTGCGTTCCGCCTTCTCGCTGCAATGCTCAACGTCGAGCACAACGCTCTTGATCGTTCTGCATCGGGAGCTTCTTATATGGTTGCCGAGAACAGCCTCCAAAACGCCTACTCCCTCCTCGTTGCCCCCCAATTGGCCGAGGCAAAGCGCTGGTACGGCATCAAGCAGAGCAAGGTCCAAAGGAACGAGAAGAACGAACCAATCATGACGGATACGTTGAAGCGCAACGTCGTCAAAGGGATACTAAAGAAGGGCCTCGGGCTGAGCTTCGTGGATGTACCAGGCAAGAAGAGCAACAACGAGTTTGTGAGGCCCCACGAATTTAGCCCGGAGCTCTATAGAGAGGTCCATGCTACATATGGCAAAGTGCCTAAGTGCTAGACTTGGACAGTCAGTCCAAAGAAGAGTAGTGACGTCAAAAAGTGTTGCTAGGCTTAGAGGGTCTTTTTAACGGAGTTCTTCGTAGCAAGCCTTTTCCCTCCACGAAACCTAGTTCAAGAGACCGATCAGTATTTATGCAAGCCTCTTCTAGAGACCCAATCTCCTCGATGTACCCCTTTTGTATGCAACCGTTCTCTTCGAGTAGTTTTCGAGCAACAGCGAGAACATGTTGCACCTCTTGATCACTATATCCAATCTCAATTTGAGAACACTTTGCACAGTTCAGGTAGCCTGCGAGGTAGCTCATTGAAGTCATCGATGTTGCTGGGTTCATGTTGCTCTCCAGAAACATGATGATCCCCTTCCGCAATGCTATTGGGTCTTTGCAACCAAGACCCTTCTGAATTAGGTGGTCTCCGCGCTCCTCATCTCTATCGATACACTCCAATTCATGAAGTAGATGTTGCATGTTGAATTGACGATTGGTCTCTCGGCTGTATTCCATGGAGCAAATATACTTGTCAACCGTGAGAATAATTCATTCGAGCCAGTAGGTAGTCAAGCTGCTGGAATGCATGCACTTAGAAGTTACTTAGAAGTTGAGATCACTCGCTATCAGATTCTTCTTCAGACTCAGACTCACTAGCGTCAACATGCGGCTTCACTCGCTTTGCACCTTGCCTTGCTGCCTTCTTTGCGCCTACCGCAGGCTTCTTTGTGACCGGGGCCCGTTGAGTCTTGCGCCCTTTTGATCAAGATTGTCCTGCGAGCTTCGAATCTTTCGGCTGGACCTCGTCAACGGCCAACTTGGTTGCCGTAGATGTAAAGGTCCCCTTGAATGGCAGATCGTTAGGCTGCTCGCTCTTCTTGATAGGAGCGATGCGAACGGTATAACCATATTGCTTGCTTGCTGAGCCCCGAGTTGTTTCTTGAAGGAGGACGGTGACATTCAACGGTAGCTTTACCTTCTTGCCCTGACACTTTTGGGTTCTATACAGCTGGGAACCCGCTCTTGCCCCCGCCTGGCACACACGCCCTTTCGTGGCATTAATCTCAAGTCGTGTGTCTTTGAGCAGGGCAGAAACGTCACTTCCTTTGCTGTCGAACGCAGCGGCAACCCGAAAGCTTCGCTTACTAAGAGTGTCCATACCTCACCCAATGCACTTCCCTTCTTACAAGATTTTTATCAGCCGGCCCGATGCACTTCTAATGCAAATGCACTGATGACTACGCACAGCAAATCCTACCATTCAATAGAGTCACGAATAGTGCATTCAGCCAACCAATCAGATTGTGACACGTGGCATTTACGTTAGCACTTATGAAGCTTAAAAAAGTCGACTTTTTTAAGACCAGTTCGGCTCCCGCATGCACTTTATGAGAGGTTACCATAGGGGGTGGTTTCTTGTGACACCTTATTCTGACATGGCATGTTGAAATAACTCGTTCGCTTGGCTCGACATATAAAAAATAATCTCCGGCACTGTATTAGGAGCCCACATAAGTATGGATCGAATTCGTGAAGCGCTTTCTGATGGTATCAGGGGCGAAAGTTCCGTCAACCAATACTGCAATGGGATTGGCCTCTTATGGAAGATATGCTTCGATGACGATATGCCAGCCGACCTTTCCTGGCTAAAGACAAAGGCGCGCAAAATTACGGATGCTGTGCTCGAACGGTATGATAATCCAGGCAGTCGGCGAACTCGTCTGGCGCCTTTTCTTGCGGTTTGTCGTAAGTTAGGCTTCTCAGAAGCCTATTCGATCTACTACGAACCATTTAGGAAGCAAATCACGTCCCTGAAGGCGTTGCGGACTGAGCGGGGAAAAACTTCGACCGATGAAGATCCAGCTAATGTGAGGAGTGATGAAGTGGAGCGCTATGCAAAGAAAGTGTCACGGAGGGTTAGGAAAATGAGTCTCGATGGACACGAATTGACCTCAAAGGACTTGAAGATCGTGATGATACACGTTATCCTCGAATGGAACTTGCTCCTAGCTCGAGAGCATCTACCACGTGTAAAACTATACGGTGAGAGTGCTCTTCCCATCTTGTCTAAGAGGCAACACCGAAAGGACAAGGAAGACAGAGCCGTTACTCTCGTGCAGACCTCTCGTTGCAAAGGACAGTACAAGCTCGTATATGACAACGGTGAAGAATACCAGCTTTCAAAGATGTTGTGCAAGTACATTCACAGAACACTAGAATTGGTTCCGAGGGGATTTCTGGTAACCACGATCAAGCACCCGGAGAGTCCGATGACGGCAAGTAATTATTCTATGTTTTGTAGCAAGATAGGCACGAATGGTAAGTTTTTAAATCTTGGGAGCTTAAATTAAAACGCGCTTTCAATTCGAGAAATAAAATTCTTAGGAGGTAGCAAGGGATCCAAAGCCTAGACCATGGATGGTGAGATGGAGAAGGAGTTGCGCGCAATTTTGAAGAAGCAGAGTCCAGACAAGATTCAACGTGGAGCTCCTCCAAATCGTGCAGATTCAACGGTAAATAACTACATACGAGACGTGCGGCACGTTTTTGTAAAGGGACCCTGGGGGGGGACAATGCATGACCTTGACTGGGTAAGTGATTTCAACGCTGTTAAGAAAGTGCTGAAGGGGCTGACAAATTCTCGAGATGGAAAACCCTTGAAAGATCTCACTAAAGGGAATTACGCGGCTCCCTTTGCAATCCTTGCGGCCCACTTGCATGATAACGAAGCGCACGCTGCATATTCTCGCTTCATACAGAAGATGAAACCCACACAGGAGGATCTGGACCAAACGGCTCAAAAAAAGACCCCAAAAGAAGTAGACAACTGGGTGAGTTGGTCCGAGCTGCTCGACAAGCGTAAAGAACTCGACCAACGCATCAACTCTGAGGTGGTGGCTAAATTTCGAGATGATCAGAAGTTAAATCGGCACGATAAACAGCTCGTGATGGATCATCTGATACTCTGTCTATACACAATGCCTCTTGGACCACTTCGAAACGAATATGCGCATTGTAAGTTCGTTTTGCAAGAGGAGGACGAAATCGAGATCAAGCCGGGTGACGAAAATCTCTGCGAGTTGAATGAAAATCCCGACCAATGCTTTTTCTACATCGCACGGCATAAGACCTTGGAGAAAGATGGAGTTCGAAAGCTTGAAATTCCTGAAAATCTTGTGAATGTGATACTCCGCTCTTTCAATCTCATTCCCAGGCAATATCTAATACTCAAGAGACACTATCTTGACTGGAAGGACGAATCGATAGCAAACTTTACCGTTGTCTTGAACGAGTTAGGACAGAGGCACTTCGGTAAGAATCTATCTTGCACATTGCTTCGACACATAAGTCATACTGAGGAGAGTCCTCGATTGCATTCACGCGGTGAGATGCGGGCAAAAGCGAAGTATATGGGGCATAGCATGAGGACAGCGGACGAGCTCTATAACAGACGATACGGATGACAGCTTGGGGTGCGCGTCACCTGTGCCCACAAATTTTCTCAGGCTTGAAACTAAGGAGCGTACCGCCATGTCGGGCATCCACAATCACTCGAGCTCTTCCCCGTGTCCAGCCTGCTTTGAATCGGCGAAGTACAAGGAGGAAGTCCAGGCAAAAGGCAGAAAATATGCCAGATCCTATTATCATCTGCATAAGGAGCGGATCCTGCTTAAGAAGGCCCTCGAACGGATAGAGAAGGGTGTCCGAGTAAGCAGATGTACTAGAGAGCGGTTAAATGAAGCTAACATCTACTCGCTGATCAAGGCGTAGAAGCGCTCATCGGATTGAAAGCCATTCACAAAGGACTGGACCACTTGGTGAATGATGCAGAAGTGCAGGCAATCAATACATGCAACTTTTGAAGCACATGAAAGCTTGTGCTTCAAGGCGGCAATCGTGATGCCACTCGCAGTGCGTTTGTCAATGTCTATTTTTTTCTCGGCTTGAAAACAATAGGAGGCAAGCGGATTTGGGACCATGGAATCCACGAAGCTGATTGGCGCTCTAGAGGAGTACGCACAAGAGGGTCTCTATGCTATACCAGCAAAGGCATCCCTTTGGAAAGACGGCACCAAGAAGGTTTTTGGGACCATGCCGCATGCCAACGGAGACTCAGCTATACGGTCTGGCTCCGATTGGAGTGCTTCTAGGGCAAGAATTCTTGAACACATTGAAACGAGAGGATACAACTTTCTTGCAATCAAGACCGGTGCTATATCCGATTGCTTCGTCCTAGATGTAGACGTGAAGGACAAACAAGATGAGGATATCTTAGCTGGAATGCCCTACTGGCAAAGCTTGATCGAGGAGCACGGTGAGCCCGACACTTTGAGAGCAACCACTGCCAGTGGGGGCCTCCATTACTACTTCTCGTTTAGTAGCACAATCAAAGAAGGGCTTGAATCCGGCAAGAATTTCGTGGGGCTGGATGTTGACGGTCAGGTCTACGGCATTGATGGTCGCGGTGAGGGGGGTATAGCATTCGCTCCACCAAGCACTCTTGGTGAAGGCAGGGAGTATCAATGGAACATGCCGCCTAAACGGACCAATATCAAGGCCGCACCTACGTGGGTTGTCGACCTTGTCAATGCGTCTGCCATAATTGCTGGTCACACTGGCAGATCGAACGCAACCACTCGAAGCGGGATCCAAGCAGTGCATTATCCAGAACCCACTGAGCACCATGATATCGAGACCTTCGCAGATGATGGAGACCTGAACGAGGAATCATTGGACACTCGAGAGGCTGAAGGGTCTGAACACAAGATTGCTGCTGCAATGATGAAGCTGCTAAGAGATGCTGGGTTAGATGAGAACGTTAGCTTCTCGGGGAAGGTTTCCTTTCGTGGACCTCTTGGTTCGATTTACTCCTTCACCTGCAGGGGGCCTAGGCGGTGTATTCACGGCCACCGCCACAACGGCTCAAACAACTTTCGACTCATCAAACGGGGATGGGTCGTGCTTTACCGTTGTTTTGGCGTAGACTGCTCAGAAAAGCCGCTCGAAGAGTTGGGCAATCTCAGCCTTGCCGACTCACTGCTTGATGCGAATCCCACAAAATTGCACCCAACTTTCGACCGTTCGGTCTTCCCAGACAATTGCAGAGCAATATCACAAGACGAATGCGAGTCTTATTTGAATCTCATCAGACGCAACGTGATGCACCGCTACCGGGGTCTTGCGGAAATCTTCAGCGCCATATATGCCGTTGATGGGCGTATCCTTGCTGAGGGGAAGACTTTCCGGTATTGGAACGGACGAAGGTGGCTACTGGATGGTTCCTTTCACGTGCAATCCGTCTTCTCGAGCCACATCGCAAGGATTCTGCGCTGGTACGAGAATCAGAGACTGGCAGCCTTTAAAAGGGAGATCTATAAGCTCGCAAAGGAGTCGGAAGAGTGGGGTTGCATACCGGAGGGATCCGAATATACGCTTCCGGAGTGGGCAACTCATCCGAAGAGCGAACAAGAAAAAGAAACCTGCCGTTGGGCGTGGAAGGCGGTTGCGACCACTTTGCCATACCCAACGCAAAAAGATCTCCCGGATCTGACGCGTTGCTCTGAAGTGCGCATCTGCCTTGAGTACGTTGTTAATTCGCTGCAGATTCAAGAGGAGCTTAACGCCCTGATGGACCTTGCCAACCCCTTTCTATTTGCATGTGCTAATGGCGTGATTGATACTACAACAGGACAGCTGCTCGCACCCCATCCGGCCCAGCTGTGCTCGCGAGCTTCAACGGTTGCCTTCCGTGGTATGCCAAGAAGCAAATCAAGGTTCGCCAGATTCTTGCTGGATTGCTTCAACGGCGACAAGCAAGTGCTCGACTAGTATCAACTCTACCTTGGGTACTGCATGACTGCTGACACAAGCGAGCAGATCTTTTTGGTCAAACAGGGGGAAGGATCGAACGGAAAAACACTGACAAAGGTTGCTTCGTTTGAGATCTTTGGGTCCTACGCAGTGGTCATGGACCGAGACGTAATCATCGAGGCTGGCGGCCGACGCAGTGCGGAGTCTGCATCGTCTCACGTCATGGCCTTAAAGGGGGCTAGATTGGCGGAATCAGACGAATCAGGCGAGAAATCCGTTCTTAACGAATCGACCATAAAAGAGTTGTCCGGAGGAGGCTCGATCACGGCACGAGAGCTCCAAGGTAGGCAAGAGACTTTCATGGTGACCCACAAGGCAATTCTAAACACGAACTACAAGCCGGTCATGGAGAACGCATCATTCAGTCTTATTCGCCGCATGGCCCTTCTTCCGATGATGGTCACCTTTAAGTCTGCCGAGAGTCTGAATCCAAACAAATCAAGAGAGAAGGCAAAAGACTCCACTCTCGAAGCATACCTCAAGTCTGATGAAGGCCGAGAGGACGGGCTATCATGGATTGCAGCAGGAGCGAGCCGCTACTTCGAAATCAAACGGGCAAAGCCAAGCGCCTTGGTTCTCGAGAAACGGCCAAAGGCTATGGAAGACGCACTAAAAGCTTACGTGAATGACGCTGACGTTGCTAAACGTTTCATTGAAGAATGCTTGGAGTTCGAAGAGCTGCATCCCGGACAACGGGCAACCTGGCATTTGGCGGGGGGTGAGCGCTTGCAAGAGGCGTTTCAGACGTGGATCAAAGAAGAAGACGTGTCTAGCTCCATCACCGCAACAGCTCTCAAGAAACGAGTCGTGCTGTATGCCGATGGCGGCAACCATCAAGTTGCGACCGGTCGCTTCACCGACAAGAAGGTCCAATTAAGGGGGCAATTCAAAGGCCTCAGTGGTGTGCGGCTAAGGCCTGAATTCCTCGACAGCATTTCACTGGTGTGACCGGAGAGACGGGCCAACAGACTTGCAAGACGCTGAGCAGCGATCTGTGGGCGGCGGACCGCATACTTGTCATTTGGGGCCTCTTCATTGCCTTGCAGATCGACTTCGTCTACCACTAACATTGCAGACCATAAGTCTAAAAGTCTTATTTCTCAACTCTTTTTCTTTCCAGGTTTTTTCCAACCCCCCCTTAGGCACCTATGTCCTATAAGAAAAAAGATCCGCATTCGAGCTCTTTTGGACTTCTAGGCTGCCACCGGCATTTGCAGATCGGGAGCAGATCACTCGCTCCACTCATCACATGATGCATGAGCTAGCTTCCACCAAAACATGTGCGCTATGCAACTCAATATGTAGCGCCAAAGATTGATTGAAGAGAATGGGCCAACTGGCCATGGCACTTGGCCAAGCAACGTCAATAACTTAGGAGGCAGCCCCGCACTGCCGGGGTCCAGGTGTCTGCTCTTCCGGCTATCCGTAGCTTAGGGTCATCGACTCTCCTTAGCCTCGCATTCCGCCCGCTGATGACGTTGGCTAGAATAACCATGAACGCACTCAAGCCGCTAAACCATGCAAGGACTTTGAACTTTACGAGGAATGAGTTGCAGCTCTCGACGGCGGACGTGTTGACCCAGCGCATGGCGTCGTAGTAATCTGTAAAAAGGAGACATAAGCAAGGTTGACACGTGGATCAAAAGCACGAGGCTCGCAAGAAGTAAGGTATGCTGCACATAATCAAGTTGCCTAAGCCTCGGCCACTCGAGTTGGGGGGCACTCAGTGTGCCCAATTCAGAATGAACAACTCTGGGAGGGAATTCCAGCGGCACACATGCTACACTGATCGAGATCGCTTTCCTGCTGCCCGGCAACAAGGCACGTGCCTTCAAAAAGAACAATCACGCTCACGCTTCGCGAGATCTGACTTCGGCCTGCCCAGGTTCTCACCCGGATTAAACCCTGGCCCACACTTGTGAGCCTCAGCATCAGTTCGTTGGAAGTGAAATCTGCAAGGCAATGAAAAATATTGAAGTGTCCAGCTGCCGTTCGAAGCAGTATGCATCTAAGACTTGTGGCAAGGCGCTCGAGACTGTTCCCATGGACCTCCTACCCAAAAGTGCTCAGCCTTTTTTCGACCTGCCGCCCCCTGCAGTCTGCTACATTATGTGGCAAAACAGCTGGCGCCTTCTTGCGCAGATCATTCTGCCAGACCCTAGAGGCACTTGCATTCGAATCCAGGATGGAAGGGCAGCGCAAGGTTTTGCTCACCTGTCCACCAGAAAGCGCACGTCCGCAAAGAACGTGGGCTCTCGTCTCATGCAGTAAGCCTGGAGCTTGCAGGCGTTGTCGTAAATCAGGAACGCCGGAAGGTTTCGTCGGTGAGCCGCGTGTAGAGCACAGTAAACGGGTCCCGAGGGGACTCGCCCCGCAGCATCACGTGCCAACCGTAGATCACCCGGTGGGGGCAGCAGAACACAAACCCTCCCTTGGTGTGCTGTCGCAGACGCTTGGCAGACTTCACGCTGCTCTTGGCAGCGATCTCAGCGTCGAACTCGCCCACTGTGAGCCCGCTTCGGCAGCGATGTTCTTCCCGGCGGTCAACGGACCTCCCAAGCTCGTCCTCGAACGGCCTGTACTGCGGAAGAGGCCGCTTCTGCTCCCAACCCGGCAGGGGATAGCAACCTAGCTCTCGTTGCTCTTTACAGAACGGATGGTCAGGAGGAAGAGCCTCGGCTTCAGAGCCGTCGGTCTCGAGCCCCAATCTGCCGTTCAGAAGCCGGAGCTCCGCCGGAGACAGAGGGTACTGCTGCGGGGCTGGCGGGGTCAGACTTTCGACTCCGGCCAGCAGGTCGTTGGCACGTGCCTCCCAGAAGCGGAAGACTTCTCGCTGCTCAGCGTTCGGAGGAACTCCCTGCGTGCGAAAATCTCGGGCCAGGCTCACGCAGTGGTCTAGCCCTTCGATGGCCGAGAGCGCCCACCCTGCTCGATCCACACCCAGGCCGCACGCCCCCCGACCGAATAGAGTGAGGCGATAGAGGTGGTGCAGAGCGGGCATGAAGAAGTCTGGGAAGACGTCGCCGTAGTGGTCGAGCAGCCGCCGCAAAACCGGCGCATGCTCAGCCAAGGTGGCTTTGTCTTCGCCGGTTGCAGCGCCACCGAGGAGGAGCTTTCGCACGACGGCCAGCGCCCGTCCGTGCTGAATGAGGTTCGAGTCGTCCGAGACGGAGAGAGGGGCGCCCAGCCCGTAGAGGAGCTCCGACCACTTGCCGGGGCAGAGCGGGGGCCAGCGCGGATTCTCACGCAGCGCCTCCCTCTCGATTCCATCAAGGAGCTCGAACATGGATTGGTTCTTTGAGCGAATCTGGCCGGTCTGCTCCATCAGGATGCGCCGCCTCCAGTGAAGAAGAACGGGGTCTGCATCAGCATCATCTGGGTCCGGCACGAAGTCGCTCACTGCTTCGACGTCAGCCCGCTCGAGCGCAACCTGCATGAGACACAAGGTACCGTCAGTACCCAGCGCAACGTGAGTTAAAAGTTGCTTCATTTGTACATAAGAATTCAGGCAACTTCTGACTGATGTGCCACGTCAGCGCTTCGTGCGACAGAGTCAGATCTCGCTCGCATCTCTAAAGAAGATCACGCGACTTCTGACTTATCATAGATGCGCGTCACAAAGTGCACTTGTGTGGTCAGGTAGTGACAGATTCTTGTCTAGCTTTTGTCAGATGTATATATGAAAGTCTGATGCAAAACCTAGATAGAGGAGGCGGCAGTGAGAAACAAGGATGCCGCTCTGGCCATGTACCGACCACTTACCAGGAGCTCTTGGTACTCGATTGGAGCCAGGGACTTCCCAAGTTCAGGATCTCTCGGATGATGCCCACTGAAACGCGCAAGCAGCGTCCGCAGCTCAGGCTGGATCACAAGACGCCGCTTCATCCCCCGCCCCTCCAGAGACGCAGCGCAGAAGTTGACCCCGGCTTCCATGGTCTTCTCCACGTTAACGCCAGCAGAGTCTTGGCTCGGCGCAGTAAACGGGCGCACAGCTGCTGCGCTGGTCCCTGACAACCCACCCTTCTGCCGCCCCCCATCGGCACAAGCCAGGCCCGCGAGACCGTCGCACAGAAGTACCTGTCAGGGACAAGAAGGCGAATCGGAATGTCAAGCAGACCTCATGCACTGGTGACCCTAGCAACGCGCTGGCGGGGGGCTTCAAACTGAAAACAGGGACACGCCCTCTCGATGGGGTCTCCCTCCTCTGCAAAGACCCTGCAAAGCTCAGCGCTCAGTATCTCCGCACCAAGCGATGCCTTTGAGCAAGCAAAAACTTCGACGTCTTGAGCAAGGGCACTGACCTTTGGATGCAGCCCACAGATGCTGCAACACTCCAGGATGGACCGTCCGCACAACCTGAAGAAGCCCAGGCTCGCCTTGCGCCAGGTCTCTTCCGAGAGGAGCACCGCACTTGGTTTGTACTGCCGCCGGGCTTCCGCACAGGCAGAGATGAAGCCGTTGGAAGCTGAGCCAGACTCTTGAATGGATCGGAGCAGGAGTTGGCACGAGGCTTGAGTGACGATGACCGCTCTCGTCCAGGCAAAGAGGCCGAGGGCTTCACCATTGAAGTGAACCGTGTGTTTCTCGGGGCAGGTGCAGCAGAAGATGCGGACCTTCACCTATGGAGGAGGAGGGTTCTGATCAGAAAAGCCAGCATCAGAAAAGCGATCAACTTGAATCAAGGCCAGAGGGAGCGCGTGCCCTTTTTTACAAGCCCAAGTCAGAAGTCGCCATCTGATCTCTATAGGAAAGAGACTCCTTTCTGACTGACAGTGAGCCCGCTTTTCTGACCCGCTTGCCACGTCAGCAGAGCCGCAGTCAGAAGTCGCCCGTAAATTTCTATAGAAGAGCAACTCCTTTTTGACTGGGGTCTGTCGCTCCCCGACCCGCTTTCCACGTCAGCAGAGCCGCAGTCAGAAGTTGCCCTCTAATCACTATATAAAAGAGACTCCTTTTGACTGACAATGAACCTGCCGCCCTGACCCGCTTGCCACGTCAACAGAGCCGCAGTCAGAAGTCGCCATCTGATCTCTATGAAAAGGTGACTCCTTTTTGACTGAGACCGTACGCTTAGGAGCCGTGACAGCAAGTCAAGCAGGCTTCACCTTATTTGCAACTCCTCCTTGATGCATCAAAGAGCACAGCCTATGCGCAATTGCAGTGCGGCTCTCTTAGACGTCTGTGCGGCCTCACCTCTTGCGACCACTGCAGGGAGTAGATGTGCGCGGATTGCCAGAGCCTGATCCATTTAGTCTTGCAGCGGGGAGGCGCTCTGGGGCAAGGGGCTGACAGGCACTCCATCGTGCTGAGCTCCGCGAAGTCCCGCGCTACCAGCTCACTGACCTTCACAGGTTGGCGCAACAGGGTGACCTCAGGGTCGTGGACATCCCAGCTATCCACCGGGCGCACCAGCTTGGGGATCTCGACCTGGACCGCCTCTGCCTCCATGGGAAGCACCACCGCAACGCGCCCTGACGCGCCATGGGTGCACGGCCTTGAAGGGCAAGCGCAGCTCGTGCACACCGGGACCATGACCTCGCCACGCCTTCCCACGCCGACGCCACTGCAGCCCTCGACTTCTGAGTCCTTGCAGCTGCGCGCACCGTCTGCCACCATCGGCTCTGCTGCGTCGCGCTCTCTGGCCGCCCAGAACGCCTTGCTCCTCCGCTTCACCCCTCCCCTCGCCCCACCAGCTTCCCCGCCGTCCACTTGCTCCGACCGAGCCCGCTTCCCGCTTGCAGACGCAGAGCTACAGCACCTAGACGCACACGCCTCGCCGCCCAGATCGATGCCGCCAAACAGCCTAGGATGCTGCTTGCAGAAGCAGATTTCCCCCTTGCAGGTCGCCTCGTGGTGGCCGCCAATGACCAGCTCGAGGAGATACGCTTCTAGCTCTGCAGAAGCATCCACTGAGGGGGAGCCCTGGTCTCCAGCCGGACCTTGTGCACCAGCCGCGCACCTCTCATGGGCGCCACGCGCTGCCGCCTCCCCTGCCTCAACTTGCACATCACCTTCCCCTCGATAGACGGAAACAAGGGCCCGCTCGAGCTGCGCCTCCGAAAAGAGACACCCGCTCACCCTGTGAATGCCATCCGGGCGCTGCAAGGCTCTCTTCGCCTCTAGGATGTGGCTGCAGTCAGTTGTCTTTGAGCAACCGCTTTGCCTCCCCTCGCAGTACCAGGGGAACTGCTCGCTGGCACCAAAGTGAACCATCGTCCTGTGCGGCGAGGGGGACGCTGCGTTCCAGTAGACACCAAAGACTCTCTCTCCAGGTTTAGAGCAAGGTGCCTCAACCACTCTGGCGCCCCTCTGCAGAGAGATGTGGCTCGCTTGCCTTGGCCCCTCCAGCGCCTGCAGCGCGAGCTTGTGAACGCAGGGCGCTCCAAAGAATAGCCGCCCCCGATCGCAGGTGCAGCTTGCGGCCCCCGAGGTGTCCCAGTAAACTGTCTCTAAGAGAGCGCGCGCCTTGCTGGGCCGGCCAAGGGGCTTGGGCCTGGCGGCGTTGTGGTCCCAAGTCGTCGCCAGGTAGACAGAGCTGGTGGAGTCCTCCTCGCCGATGCTGTAGAAGACGCACTGTCCAGCCTTGATGCCCGCGAGGAACTTGGCAGCTTGAGCGGCGATTGTCAGCCGGCCTTCTGCATCGCGCGCGTCCGTTGACGAAGCACAAGGGGGACTCTGCACAAGGCGCATTGCTCAGTCAACTACTCGATGAGGCGCAATCCACCAGCTTACTGTAGGGCTTCTTTACTGCGCACAGCTTCACCTCCAGCCCTGCTTCCCGTTCTGAAGACTTGCATTCAATGAATCAGCCCAGCTCAGCAAGTCAGCGGCAATACGTCTCCAATCTGCACATCATTCACAAGAAGACTGCGGGAAGTGATTCACATTTTTGACAGTGAGAGGTGGCTCACCGCTGCTAGTGGCTTCCGTGCCGCCTCTCCCACTTTCCGGCCCCTGTTCAGTGCTGCTTCTGCTGCAGTACTTGCGCGGCGCCCACCAATTGCAAGCCGCGCCTCCTCCCCCTTGGCTTGCAGAGCGACAACGTCCTCGCCCAGCAACACCTTCACCTGGCGCCATGGCTCCGCAACTGCTGTGCGCTCAAACCACACCTCTGCTGGACCCACCCAACCTCTTCTTACAACAGTCGCTGCAGTGCTGGTGGTAGAAACGGGTCCAATGAGGTTCTTCACGCACTCCAAACACACGGGCTGCTCCTTCCTCTGACCTTTCACTCTTGAGCTCGGATCGGACACTGCAAAACCCTTGAGCTCCTGACCTTTTCGAAAGTCTAGCTCGCAGCCATTGGCATTGGGCCTTATAAGACTCTGCTTGCAAAGTGCGCATTTGGAGGCCAAAGAGTCAAGTGACAGGAGCTTTGGATCCACCACGAAATCACCCCTGCTGATTGCTTTTAGAGTTGCCGGATGAAAGGCTTGCAAGAGAGCTGCAGAAGGGGTGCCAGCCGCTGGCGCACTTGCTGGTGCCAGTGGCACCTGCTCTCTCCCCCCGTCTGCTGTGCTTGTGCAGGCACTGGCGGACCTGCAGTTCTGGGCTCGGTACTCCGACTGCACTACATTCTGAGCTCGCATGGTTGGATCCTGGAAAGCTTTTGGAGGTCGGGGAATTATGCTGGTTATCGCATTCAGTTGCCTTGGGGGGTTTTTATAGGCGATTGGAACAACCGGTTGAGCGTTCAGTCGAGACTTGGCCCTTAATGGGCTGAAAGGGCCTTTCCCCCGGTCGCGAACGCCCGGCTACGTAAGTCGGAAGCCTCCTGCCTGCTTACGTGGTTTGAGCTACGTGGTTTTTCCTAACCGTCTCAACCGCCGGGCCACGTAAGTGGGCCTCCGGCACCGACTGAAGGCCCAATATCTAGCAGGGGGCTCCGGCCCCATATTCCTCTACGGCACTTGGTCCCTAGTTCCGTCAGATTGACGGTTTTCGCTGCAAGGCTCGCCCGCGGCGCTCAATCGACGCCGTCGATGAGTCATTCGGCACAAGCGCGCATCCTGAGCCGTCCAGATAGTGCCGTTCAACTGTTGGTGGCCAACTAAAAGGGGCGGTCTCGTAGGGTATTCAATCCAAAACCGGCCCGAGAGCGTCAAGCCGGTTCTTTGCCTCCGGCATCTTTGCGTCTGTCCACACCAGTCAAATATTTGAGAGTTGGGGGAGAGACGCTGTTTCTCAGTTTCTCAACTTTCTGGCTGAGATGTGGTTTCTGGCTCAGGACCCCATTTCAAACATTTGATCCTGTTGATCAGCTCCGTTCGCTTGCAGCATGCTCTGTAGCCCTTGTTCACGCTTGCTTGAGCAATGCTACTGGTGAGGTCGGCGTTATACTGCTGGTGCTGACCATACCCCACCACTTCCTGCAATTCCTGCACGAAATGCTTTGCGAAGTATTAGCGGAAGGCGGCACGGCATACAACGGTACTCCACCATCGATCATCGATCATGTAATGCGATTCCCAAAAGCGCTGAGATGCCAGCTCCCACGGATCAGCCAGCCCGCCCCGAAAGGCCCGGCGCCCTTCTTCCGCTCCTAAACGGAGTTCTTGCCACCACTCTTACTTTCACATTCGGTGTCCTAGGACTGATCAACAACTGGCGCGTTCCGCAGCTCCCCCACTTGTTCTTTGGCCTGCTGACGTCATCAGCAGTGTCAGCATTGCTCACGACGCCCCTGGTCTTAGAATGGCTGGGAAGGAGGGGGCGCCGGAGGGCTGCGCCGGTGGCGGTCAAGCGGCCCCAATTTGGTTCGCCCCCGGCGCAACAGGTGAGACTCAATGCTTGCCACAGCTTCATAACATTGTGTCCACCAGCATTTGTCCACCAGGTCCCAACAAGGGGCAGTGTTCTTTCTTTCAACCAGTGGGAATTGCCCCTTGACGAGTTCAGCAGTGGCCGGATTGCCCCTGTCTTTGCCAAGGACCTGGAATTTCTTAATGCTGTTTGCACGGGCAGCTCCCAAAAGTTTTATGTGAGCTCAAATGCCTTTTGGCCTAGTAGTGTGGGGGCATTGTGGAGGACGAGGCTTTGTATGCAGTCCAGTCGTTGCTTGCAAGCTGATTATGTTGCAGGCCTGGATAAGCTGTCTTTGGTACGCTTCTCTATTGCTGCACTCGGTCTGCTTCTGACCTAATCAATGACTGTATGTCAATATGTACTATCTGGTGAGGACGCCGCGTGCATTTAACTCACCTTGCTGGCTCCGATGGTCCTTTCTCTTGAGAGCAATTTACTCCTCGGGCTAGCCTTTTGTTGGGGCACTTGATTAAGCAAGCAATCAATCTGATTACATCGACTTTGTCCAGATCAGATTCAAAGCAGATGCTCCACTTCGAATAATCTCACTTTATTGACAGACTCGACACCATGGATGGCTATCTAATTCTCTGAGAGGGCCTGATTCAACCCTTCGAGCCTATGCATGGATGTTTGAACGACGAAGTTTCGATGAAAGCAAGTGCCAGTCAAGTGTCAATCCCTCATCGTCTCCTTGTAGTTGGTCACTGCCGTGTGCGCCTCTCTGGACGTTGCCCCCGCCAGCGGGCTGCCCCTCTCGGTTGCTGAGGCGCGGTTGCGCGAGTACGGTCCAAATGCGGTGGACCTGGGCAAAGGGCCTGGCTACTGGGCGTTCTTCTTCAAGGAGATCTATGAACCGCCTCAGGTAGGGAGTCACAGCACCTTTTGAAGTGCCTGCCAGTTGTAGTCCTGTGCGAGCTTCCGATCTTGAAGCTTGTCGAAAGCCAACAATGAATGGCCCGAAGAGCAGCTGGGACCTAAAGATGTTTCTTGGTTCGGTGCAACCCCGTCAGCTTAGCGCAGAGGCTGTGGCAAGGTTCCGAAGATGTCAACAATGTGACGAGGGTGCCGTCCGAGTTTCCCCATCCTTTTCTTGAATAATTCCTTGTCCCAAAACCAGGCTTTTCTGTGGACGAACGTGAGGAGAGGCTTTCCAATCTTATGAGTTCGACCTGCCAGAACTTCTCAGCGTGGCGAAGTTTTGAGGTCGTTGAAATCTTCTCCTTGTTCTATTTGAAGCCCAACCAGCAGAGTGGGCTCCCTTTGAGTTTGGTGAATGCATTCCCCTGCTTGCAATCTATTGTAAGTCTTAAGCACTAACTGGATATGCCCCGTTACCATTGTAGGATGTGCTAGGAGCTTCGCTTTGGTACCTTTACACTAAAAGGCCCCCACGTTCGGCTCGTTGTTGGCCCCCTGTTGGAGATCCTGGCCAATCAAGTGGTTGAAACTCGTAGTCCTCAAAAGCTTTCCCCCTTCGGAGCTCCCATCATTCGTTTGATCAGTACATTCCTGGAATCTTAAAAACGCTTTGTCATGTCGCAACATCATCGAAAACGTTGCGATATCTACTTCGCAAACCCTTTGTTTCCAGTTGCTGTCGCTTGATGTGAACATCCTGTCTGTGCTGTGCGGCGGCCTGGCCAGAGACGCAAGTGGCTTTTGCCGCCATTCCCCTTATATAAGCTGCACAGATCTACACGCACTGGCGTGCAGTTGAGCATGGGCCCGTGAAACGCCAAGACCTCAACCCCCGAGACGCATAATTTGCAAAGCCAGAAAACTTCGAAGGTTAAGTCCCTTTGAAATTAACAGATATGAAGCCATAAAATTGCAAAAGCCCTTTTTGCAGCTGCTGCTCCTGGGTGTGGGCGTCCTATACGCGCTGTTCGGCGGGCTGTCCGAAGCCGCCACCGCTTTTGCCGTCATTATCCTCATGGCGACCGCCGAAGTGTTCACGGAGTGGCGCGCCAAGCGCGCGGTGGGCGCACTCGCGAGCAGCACGCCCAAGTATGCGCGTGTGCGGAGGGGGGGCCGAACGCTGGAGATTGGGAGGACGGACGTCGTGCCGGGAGACGTAGTTTTGCTGAAGGCGGGAGATGTGAGCGCTGCTGACGCTGTATGCTGAGTTCAGCAGTTCTGGAGCCGTTTCCCGGTGGCAATTTGGGATTATCTTTATATTAAATTGGATCTTTATTACGAAGTCCGCTTTGCAAACCCGTACGAAACCTGGGAATCTTTTGAAAGCCATTGGTGGCATCGGATTGTGGAGTTCAAAAGACCAATTGCGGACGCACAGTGCATCATGCGTTGCTTGGACATCGTTTGTCTTCCCACGAAGACAGCAACCCCGTGTAGCAGTTCTGACCCGCGTCTCGTCATAGCCCCTCACCACTCAACAAAATATCCCTGTCCTTAACCCGCTTCGTAACATTTCTTTTAGGAAATCCCCGCGGACCTCCGTCTCCTCGACACGCTCTTCCTCGAAATCGACGAGTCGTCTCTGAGCGGCGAACCGGCGCCCGTTCCAAAGGACGCCTCTGCCGTACAGAGCCCGGGGGAAGACCCCGGGCTTCTGGACTGCCCAGGTACTTCTCGATCCACCAAAACAGGAAGCCAAGTGAACGGTATACCCTCAACCTAAATAAAAGCTGAAGTAGAAGGCTTGGGCAATTCGAGCCACTCCTGTGCTCACTCTAACCCCCTAGCTAACCCCGCTGGTTCTTGCACTGTCTTCTCTTTGGTCACTGAATTTATCATCGATTGGGATGTTGCGGAGGGTGGCCCTCGTGTTGACGTTTATTATCCGGGGGAAAGGGACTTTCAAGTCTTAACATAGTTTCCAATACTTTAAAACCCTTTTGTGTTGCCCGGGTGTGGCTTTCGTTGGGGACGACAACCCGGGAGAAGAGAGCTTCCAAACCTCTGGATTTCAAGACTTTAAAACCCTTCTGCACTGCTCAGGGATGGCCATAGCGGGAACGGTGGTTACCCGGGGCAAGGGAACCGGGGTGGCTGTTTCGACCGGGGGAGCGACGGCGATGGGCGGAATGATGGCGCTGGTCAAGAAGGCGAAAGAGAAGAAAACGCCGCTGCAGGCACTGCTGAAACAGGTGGGCAGGCGGCAGCGGCTCGAACGTTAGGAAAATTCGATCAGCATGCCGCACAGTCTAGGCGTCGGTATCGAAACTGGAGTCGAAGGGTCTCCATCTGGGTTTTAAAGGCATGGACTATTCGGAAAGCTGCGTTGACTAAACTGTGGGCGTGGTGATGCGGTTGGCTACGACAAACTTGAAGATTGGAGCGACTGCACTCTTGCTGTCAGGTCTGATAACAAAGAGAAGCTCAGATATCTTCAAATGAGGACCCAGGAAGCGCAGGACGGAATCGAGCTGGGAATTGGACGTCCTCTTCTATCCTGCCGGAGACATAAAAGTCAAGAAGTGCTGATACTCCGTCACGATCCAGCAATGAATCAACATTCTACCTTAACTGTCAGTGGAGAGTCGGAGCTGTGCAATACCTCTGAGAAACGAGTTCCTGCAAACGCCGCCCTTTTGGATTTTGGAAAAGAACGAGAAAGGTCTGGAACTTTAAGGTTGTGGGGTTTAGGCCTTTACATAGGGGTTGAAGCTTTGGCGACAATTCGCTCTGTGCAGGTTGCGGGCACTCTGTCGCTGGTCGCCATCGGGTTGAGCGGCGGCGCGGCACTGGCGGGGCTGGTGCGCGGCCAGCCGTGGGAGACGGTGCTGCTCACGTTCCTGAGCCTGCTCTTTGCGACGATCCCGGAAGAGCTCCCCATCCTCATTGCAGCCACGTTGGCAGTCAGCGCGCAGGTGGGGGACCCTTAAGGATTCGTGTGCAGAGGGTTCCCTGTTTTTGACGTTTTGAGCTCTCGACTGAGTGGCATAATAAAGGCTCCGCAGACTCAGACTTTGTGGGCTTTTGTCAATTCTTCACTCAGAACAAGATGCTTTCGGCCCCCTCTTCGTAGACCTTGGTTTACAGAAAACATATTTATAAGCCTGATACTTCAGAGGCAGTCTGCCGGTCTCGTTTTGTGACGGAAGGTGCGCGTGAAGAATGAAGTGCGGGTCATTTAAGCAGGGGTGATGCGGTTCTCGTGGTATATTCTTCCGTTCTTTCCGAAAAGCGGCCTCGGAATCTAGTCAGCACTGCGAGGCAGAGGCGGAGCTCTCAAGCAAATTGTTTGACAACGTACGCCGCAAGCGGATCTTGTCATCTCAAAACCCTCTTAGGAAATGTTCGCACGCTCAGGAATAGTAGAGTAACTGCACCGAAGAAGAACGCGACGTGTTGAGGTGCGAAGAAGCGAAGAGCAAAAGGCACAGCCGACGTCTCCTCTGACGACGTGGATTGAGGAGAAAATTTGCATGCACGGAACATTGTCTCGCATCAGGTCCTCCCAGGAGCTGCAAAAAGGTGCCTGAAAATCTGCTGGAACCAACAATGAAGAAAAGTGATTCACCTGTAAGATTGAAGAAGCCGGATTGTCAGGATATGAAACGTCAGGTACCGAATCTCCCCTTTTTCGGAGCAGGCCCTGTCCTCCCGGAACATCTTCGTCAAGAAGCTGCGCGCCGCGGAGAGTTTGGCCTACGTGGACACAATCATCACCGACAAAACCGGCACGCTCACGCACAACCGGCTGCGCCTCACAGCCGCATGGGCGCCTGGAAAGGGTGACGTCAGCGGGACGTCGATGGCGGGAGGTAACGGAAACGGTACGTCCTGGCATCTCGTGTCTTCTTTATATCATCCTCTTTGACCTGTCATATCTAAAAGGATGAGCCGACTGGTAAGTCGTCGTTGCGCGTTGCAGACTGACGGCAGACTCTGCGAAACGTTTCTCAAGTTGCGGTAAGTGCAGAGGGCCAACCACGGAAAGATGCACTGTGGCAGCGCAATCCTTCGTTTTGCTGATGTGGGCAATTATTTGCAGCGTGAAGGTTCCTTTCCTTGCTGTTGCGTAGCCTGTGTTGCGCTCTCTTTAAAGCTTGACGTAAAGCCCACCACGTCTCACCACGTATGTTTTCAGATGAAGCGCAACGTGCTCGACGTTGGAACTCGGCTCTTTTGTCATCAACAAAATGTAGCGCCCACTAGCCCAACTCAATTTTGTCGAGGTGAGCTTCTGATTGCACCCACCGGCCCCGTGCAGGCAAGGCTGATAGTTGCGTCACCAATCTGATACGGGCGTGGCTATTCATGGCCGAGATCGGAGACGAATCTGACCATCTCTCGTCAGCGAATGGAAGTTCTCCTTTCGACACGGCCCCGCTCGAAGACTCGGTTCGAGATGCCGGTCCTCTTGACACTTTCGACTTGGCGCTGACGAAAGCGCTGAGCCGAGGTGTGCGCGCGAACATGGGCAGTGCGCTTTCCGTAAACAGTGTCGATGTTCAAGAGCTCTGGCGGGAAAAGCGGGCGGCGAACCTGACGGACGAGACGCCGTTTGACTCTGGGAGGAAGATGTCGTCACGGACGTTTGAAAGTAAAGACACCGAGGTCAGCAACCGTTATGGCCGTTTCTGGTTCCGTATGCTTGCTTCTTTTAGTTTCTAACGTCCATCGAGTTGCGAGTTCGGTCAGAATGACAAACCGAATCAAGCTTTTGCTGCTTTGGTACCCATCCGACCGAGTTTGCGTACAAGCCGGTCCTTCTAAAAGAACCGTGTCCGTACACTCTTGTGATATTTTCGTTACCGGTAGCTATCTTCCATGTATCTTTGCTTGACTCGGTGTGCCAGATTGGTCGTAGGATGCGGAAATGCGCGGAAGGTTGTCCACAGCTTGTCTGCTCTGAAGAAAGCAGATCAACGTCAGATATTCCTTCTTCTTGATCCGTGACTGACACTATGTGCTTAGTTGAATAGAAGCCCACCGTATCTTTGCGTTGGCCAGAGCTGCCCGGCCGCTTTGGGCGACCGTACATGTCAAAACACCTGATGAATGGTCGCCTTTTCTCAGGAAGGGACGAGAAGCACCGTGTTTCTCAAGGGCGCCCCCGAACGCCTGCTTGAGCGATGTCGAGAGATGGCGTCAAACGGGGAGGCAACTCGAGAGATCGAGAGAGCGGCGAAAGCAGGTCAGCAGAGAATCCCCATGCTCCGGTATGGTGAAGTCGGTAAAGAGTTGGTGTTGATAAGTACCCTGCACTCGACGAGGTTTACATGCTCTGCGTGACGTTTGCATGAGGTCAGCTCAGACGCGGCATGTCTGTGCCTTTCAAAGCCCCGTACTCATGACGCCGTCAATTCAGCAAATGCTCGTTGACAGATCCACAAGTCCTTTCTTGGAGCAAAACCAATCATTTCCCGCTTCGACAGTGCACTGCCGGGTCAAGGAGTCTCCGACCGCGTTCATTCTTACCAAGTTCTCTTCGCTCCCATCCTTTTCCGTCTCAAGGCTTCCTTTTCAAGCGCTCAAATGCTCTTTTGCTGCGTTTGACACTCTTCCCTCCAACTTTCAGGCCTCCGCCTCATAGGCTATGCTTCATCTGACGTCAGCGAAAACGGACCGTTTGATTTCCTGGGCTTCCTGGCGTTCGAGGACCCTGTAAGAGCCGACGCGGCAGCCGCAGTCGCGCTCTGCGAAGGCGCGGGCATCCGCGTCATTGTTGCCAGCGGGGATCACGTCAGTACGGTCGCGACCGCGGCAGTGCAGGTGGGGGTTTTGAAAACTGGGAAACTCAGATAAGTCGTTGGATTTTGAAATTTGAGTTGCGTCGATAGATCCGGTAAAACTTGGTCAAGTGTTCGGGTTTTGATGGTCTTGAACCGTGTCAAACAAATCTGGTTATTTTGAAAGCTTCCTCTTGCATGGGATAGCGTAGTAGACGTTGCACCGCGCTAGAGAAGTTAGTTCGAAGTCCGTATAGCCTCACATGAGACTCTCTCTAGATGCTCGCCGGCGCTGATCATAGACGCTGAGAATATATCTCAGCAAGCAAAACTAGTTCTGCTTACTCCAGTAAACCAATTAGCGGATTGAGAGCAATTGCGAGGATTCTGATGACATCATTCTACTGCAGGTGGGCATCGGTGCCCGCTCCGCCGACGACATCGAGTCCGGAACGGCCTGCCCCGCCGTCGACTGCCAGGCCGCTTCTCTGGGCAACCTCTCCAGTGACCAGGTGCAGGAGTTGGTCGCGGAGAACCGAGTGTTTGGGCGGGCCACGCCGGCCGACAAGCTGAGGCTGCTGACCGCTCTTCAGGAGAAGGGCCACGTGGTGCTGACGACCGGGGACGGCACGAATGATGCACCCATCCTGGCCACTGCTGACGTGGGTGAGGATGAAACTGCGTCGGCTACTGAGTGCAACTTTGCAACGAAACTCGTTTGATGTGCTAAACCGAATTCCCAGGTTTTCTTAGAACTGAGCGATATTCCGACGACCTGGTAACGAGGTGGATTCTCGCCACCCCATGATGACGTAGGCGAGAACGAGGTATTGATGTCGGCATGATGCCTCTCCAGGTATCGCAGAAGCCGCTATTGAGTATAGAGACGTTGATTTATCAACGATGACTGTGTGCAAACCCTTGCGGCAGACTGCCGCAATCCCTCGCCAGTACGTGGGACCACACACATTTGCCTTTTCGGGAGGGAAGTGAAGTTCTGCCCTTCAGGAACGAAAGAAGGCTAGGCTTTGAACGGTCCACGATCACCACGGTCCAACATTGAAGAGGTATCCACACTCCGGCACCCTGGAGGGACCGAAGACAATTCCCGTACGCGTCAACTCCTATTTCCCGCTCCTGCCTTGGTGTCCTTTCTTGGATGTTTTAACCCGCCCGCTGTTTCCGCTGCAGGCCTGGCGATGGGTCGCGGCACGGATGTGGCGCGCGCGGCGTGCAGCATCGTGCTGGTGGATGACGCCTTTGCTGGCGTCACGGACGCGCTGCGCGAGGGCCGCCGCATGTTCGCCAACCTGCGCAAGGCGCTCGCCTTCTACCTGGGCGCCAAGGCGGGGCTGCTCGCCATTTTTGCAGCTGGTGGGCCGCTCAAATATCTGCAACCTGGGTTTCCAGGTTTCAGCTGAGCTGCTTTCCGTGTCGGATAACGGAAAGTGGACACACTTGGACACCCCAACTCGACCTTTAATCGCTTGAAGCTTAGTACAGCGGCTTTGCCACGGCTTTGAAATTGATTGAAAGCATTGCTCAGACGTTGGAAGTGTGCCCGTTCCGTTCTGAGCTTCCGTCCTTGTGCTTCGACAAGGGTGCGCTTGAAAAGCCTTTCCGACGTGGTGTTTGACGCCTTTCCACTTAGAGCTTTGTAAGGACGCACTGCAAGCTCTTTGCTGACAGTGTGGCATCTCGTCTCGAGCGCCGCGGCCCCTCCTCCGAGCGATCATATGTCATCCCTTTGCGGCAATCTGCAAATCGCCCCCCGCTATCCGCTGCGCCGACTCCCCGGTATTCTTACCCCCCTCAATGCAAACCAGGGCTCTTATCATGCTCTGGATTGCCCCCTGTTCAACCCAGATTGTTGTCACTCGTTCAGGCAGCCTGGTCTCCCAGTTTCCGCTCCGCCCTCTCCACGTGATCCTGTTGGAGCTGTTTATGGACTTAGGCGCCAGCACTGCCTTCGTGTTGGAACCCGCCGACGGTGACGCCAAGGGACCGGCCCCCCCAGCGCGCGGCCGCGCGTTTCTTCGACAGGGAGATGCTGACGTGGATTGCGACGTCAGCGGGCTGCATGGCGGGATGCGTGCTTGCGTGCTATGGCTACGGGCTGGCGCGGGTGAGGGGTTTCGCTTCAGCGGCGGGTTTGTGGGGTGGCACTTTGCGGCTTGCGCGGACTCAAAAGGTCGCGCGAGAGGGGGAATGCCATGCAGAGTGCATTTTTCGGGCGCAACTTGGCTATTCAGAAGTCGCCCCTGCAAGCGGTTGGGGGCCGGCACGACGATCCTGTCGTGAAAGCATTTTCTTGGTGTCCACCGCCAACTATTTTTAGGAGCGCACACCCGAAACTTTGCTGACTGGTCTCTTTAAGGGCTTCTTACAAAGTGGGCTCACGTCGTCTTCATCTAGTCAAATGCGGCGAGACGCCGGGGCGGGCCAAGAGGGGAATGCGAAAAGTCCGTCAGCTGTGTCCGTTGGTGATCGCGGGTCGCTTCGTACCTCTTTTACGAAAATTGCGAGCAAACGAATTTGCTCTAACGTCTTTTTTCTCCCCTCTCTAGTTGGACGCCTCATCCGCCCAAACCCTCGCCTTCCTTGCCTGGCTGTGCGGCCACGTGCTGCTCGCGCTCAACATGCGCACCTTGCGCGAGCCCCTTTTTCTGAAGGGCCTCCTCTCAAACCCGGGCATGGTTCTCTGGTTCGTGGCGGCGTTTGCGCTTGCGGCGGGGTGCGTGTTTGTGCGGCCGTTAGCGGACGTGTTAAAGCTCGCGCAACTGGATGCTAGGAGCGTTGGAGTGGTGCTAGGGAGTGCGCTATTGCTGACGTGTTGGATCGAGGTGGGGAAGCTGGCCACGTGGCACCGGTGGCGGCGGGGGAGAAGCGGGGCTGGGCAGGACACGCTGAGGCAGCCACTTCTGCAATGAAGTGACGGGCTCGGGGGAACCACGCGGCACTTCATCCGTCAGGAACGGGGACACCACTTTTTTGTGAACGATCAATCTAGCCTCCGTATATTGAGCGAGCGTGCGCTATTGTGTTGCGCTCGTTTGTCCCTTGATCACGTTCTACGTCAGAAACAGTACCTGGTGAAAGAGATCAGTCATAGCTCACATTTCTAGACATAGACTCATCTATGCTCGCCGCAACAAGCTTGCTGAGACCGTCACACCGCATGAGAAAGCGTGCACTCACTGAGTCAGGGTCACGCGTTGTTTGCAAGTGTGCCACGACAAGGCAACCGCGCAGTGCGGCATGCATTCCTGCATGCTTGTTCTTTCGATTATGCATATTGAATATACTTGGTGAGGCGGCAGCCCATCCCGCATCAGCCTGTCATTGGCACGAACCCGGCGGGGCCCTCAACCAATTATGATATGCGGGACGGCCTATATCGCTCGATGAGTCCGACGCCCACTCAACATACTCATCATGATTGACAACCATCAAAGAATGTGTAACTATGAGTCCGCGATTGCAACTTTCCAATTACCGTTTGAAGTATTCTAACCACGGCTTGCGGCCGGCCTAGCTACATACAATACTAGCCTGAGGCTAGCCTGCTCACCGCCATATGACATGCAATAAAACCCACTATACTAAAGGACCGGGAGTACGCGTAAATGTATGCACGCACTGCTTATTGTCTGCCACGATGCCAAGCTAGGACTATGATTTGGTAACGGTAAAGTACCTTGAAGCTCGCTCATGACCTTATCCTAGATACTAATTGGATATACTCGAACGTACGTACTGCCAACTTATGAGCTGGTTATGATATCCTATAGACAATTAAAGAATTAGAGCTAATGTTTTGTCCTGAAGGAGCTAGAGCACCTGTACACGCCTTAAATAGCTAGCCTGATAACCGAAACCGTCAACTCGAGCTGTATATTGCACGCGATCTATAAACCCGGCATGGTGGTCACGGGCCTAATAACGTTGATACGATTGTTCAAATACCTTGATTTAACAGGTATTTTCTATAGGCACTGGCACAATCGCACTTGCCCGTACTTGACGCATTAATATATCGTGATAGACATAACTAAAGTAATACAACGTACCTCGTAATCCAGCTAGCTTGTACACTTTCACCTCCTCTGCATCCATGCAGTTTCACCTCGTCAACAACCAACACTTATATAGACAATCAATTGGACCTACGCAACGGGACAACGGCGCTTCCCAGATCGAAGCCTACATTTGTGCGTCGAGCTTGAGGCTGCAGCGCGCGCCGGGGGGCAGCAGCTTGGGCGGCACGCAGTACATGACGGGGTGGAACACGGTGCCCGGGGGGCACACCATGTCGATCTTGATGCTCTTGCCAAAGGGGCCGATCGGCTGGCACCGATAAAACTTGCTGCACGGACAAAGGAGAGGATTTCAATGTACTGGTGGACCAGAACCGAAGTTGGTTACAGGGCAAGATTCGGACGATTTCAATGGATGTTTCCTGAAGTAAGAAGGAATTACGAGAGGGTGGAGGATCGTGAGGATCTCGTTCGGACTTCAATACTAAGATCAACTCCCTTGCCACCTTTCAAAGTACTTGACGTTCCTGTTCATTGTAGAGAGGAGACACCGACGTTTGATTGGTGATACTGCTTCCTGGTCTTTGAGAGAGTAAACTGATGGGGAATCCTGCAAATTGCGTACTCCTTCCAGGCCAGATTTATCAAACTGGCCAGGCAACCTATACGGCATGTTCTCGTCTCTGCCGCGGCTTGCTATCAAGCGGACCCATTACGATCTGATTCAAAACAGCGGTCACTGCCAAGAAGCACCTGACGATTTCACCATAGCACCCATGAAAACTTCCCCTTGAAACATGCAATGCTGTCCACGTTGCCCTGCTAGCAACCTTAGACACTCAGACCCAAGCTATGCGGCCCGCCCGCTCAGTGCTTCTTCGATACCTGCTCATAGAGTAATTCATACTCTTCCATTTCAACAAGGCAAGCATTACACGAAAGCTGACTCTAGATTGTCTCGTCTATCACGAGTGGGAACGTCTTTCTGACCCGATGTTACCAACAAGAAAAGGGATCAGGTTGCAACCTGTTCTGTCAGATTGGAAGTGATCACAGCATTCGCAAAACCCATATTAAAACAGGCCCAAAGCCACATTGCCCGCCTCAGCACAATCATTGAAGTTCTCGATCGATTACCCTTTTCCGCACAAGAACAGAAAAGGATGTTATGCTCACCGGCACGTTGGATCTGACAGATCTGGGTAGATCCCCATTGCCTTGCCATCGCATGTCTCGGGCGGGGGGATCGGTGCAGGGGCAGGGGCAGGAATGGGGCCAGGAATTGGGGGCATAGCTGGGCTAAGGTTTTCTAAGAAGGGGCGGGTTTGAGAGAGGCCGGCAGAGCGCAGCGCGGAGGGGGCCTTGGGCGAGAAGAGGGACAAGAACGAGAGCATAGAGGCGAGCAAGACCTTGATGACAGCCATGATTGGCAGTCAGCGGGAAACTGTGAGGGATGCGTGTGAGTGGTTTGATGGATGCCAATGGGAAGGGGCCGCTGGGGAGTATCCAAAGGAGGGCAAATGGGGCTATGTTTGAAGGAGGGCCTGGGCCTGCAAAAACACATGAAATGTGACTACAATCAAGTCAAGCTGTCTGGAATGCAAGCATCATTGAGGATTGCATGAGATCTGGACTCGAGGGGTCAATGCTGTTGGTTTGCCCGTTGTCATTCTGATTTATTCCCAGAAGTGTTGATTCACCTGAGATCTGCATTGCAAGGAGACTTGGATTCAGGCATGAGACATTCTTGAGCCAGCAAGTGACGTTGTGTGCTAGGGACCCCAGTCAGTAAGTGCTGCCACAAGAAGCTGGTATAAAGACGCCTCCCAGGTACCTTACTACGGAGTTCTTGGCTTTGCTTAAAAGCACTTCTCAGCGCCAGCTTTGAACAGCCCCAACTGAGCATGCTCGAAAGGGACTGTGAGCAGAAAGAATACAAAAGAAGAGGACAGAAGAAGAGCTTCCAAAGTTGGGGCTCAAGCAACAGGACTGGCAGCACGATCTGACTGGGGCAATTTAAACTTTCCACCATATATCTCGAGCAATTGAGGGGAATGGATCAAGAATGGTCCAGGTTATTCCAGAGCTGGCCCGAGCTGGCAAAGACGGCTCCCAAGACGACTCAACTACCTGAGGGCTGGCTGCTGATCAGCACTGTTTACCTTCCTTCTCTTGCAGGCGCACTACTGTTGCAGCGAGTGATCGCCAGTGCAAAGTCAGGTCAGCAAAACTGACCGCATTGGTGATCAATGCTGATGCTCCTCTGGCTGCCGCGTTTAATAGCAATTTCTTAAGCTGCTCCTGTTTCCAGGTGCTTCGTTGCCAATGCAGCTGGTTGCTCTCTTGAATTGCCGAAAGATGCAGGATCTGCACGACTCCACGAGTCGCCAGCGGCACTGCCAGTGTACCTACCGGACCTCAATGTTCGTGGCGAAACTAATTCTTTTCGCCAATTTGATTTTCGCCAGATTTTCGCCATTTAGTGTCTGGGAAGGGAATTTCGCCGGCCTGGCGAAAATGGTCAGGCCGTCAGCCAATTCTTACATGCTCGGGTGCTCCCACCTGCCTTGACGAATCTTAACCCTGCTCAGAACCCCGTACTTTACCCTTGCCTGCACATTTTCAATTGATTCTCCAGAGACAACGAAAAAACGTGGTCGGTACAAGAAGTTTTCGTGCCGGGACCCTCTACCGGCCACAACTGCCGCTGGGATTTTCGCCATTAGTGTCATTATCGCCAATTAGTGTCTGGGAGCTCCTATTTAGTGTACCGGTATTCCAAGATTTATTTTCGCCACGATCACTGCTAGTACCGGTCGGTATACCGTTGAGACATTCCCATTCGCACCAGCTTGGTGCTCGGAATTATTATTTTCTAAAGTTCTGGCATTTCGCACCAGCTTATGGGATACTTTTCATTTTTTCGCAAGAGCGCATTTTACACTGTTTTAGGCCTGTTTTGCCCCGTTTGAGGCTGATTTCGGTTTTTCTTTCACTTCGCGTTTTCGCACCAAGCCCAGACCATAATTTCAAATTTTTTGCAATAGCCTAAAATGGATTATTTTAGGTAGTGCGAATGGGAATGTACGCGTCTCTACAGTACGAGCATGCACAGTACGCGGACTACCAGTAGGTACACTAGGGCTACAGCTCAGGACCTACCTACTCCTATGGTACCGTACAGTGGCAGTGTACCGCAGCCTACTGCTTTAATCGTACTCCTTGCCTCGGTACTCTTAGGGCATGTGACGCGACGCACTCATCGAAACAGGATCACGTCGCCGAATCAGATTGCTCCATTCCGTGGCCGGGTACGTCATTCTGACAGCTTCGGGGTCCACTCTACCCGTTATCAATGGCGGTTCTGACCGTTACCTGGCCGACCAGGGAGCCGGCCGGCTCGGAGAGTCGGCCTATCCGGTCACGTGTGCGAGCTGAACCCCACCCCCCGCGCGACGCCCCCACCTGGCAAGGTCCGCGGCGAGCTCGCGAGGTGGGGCGTTCGCGAGGCCCAGGGCCAGCTCGCGACACCCCCACCGGGCGAAGTAAAGGGCAAGTTCGCGAGGTGGGGCCTTCGCGAAATCCAGGGCGAGCTCGCGAGACCCCCACCCTGCGAATTCCAGGGCGAACTCGCGAAGTTGTGCGATGGACCTGGAAACCTGGATTGGGCAGCGAATCCTGGTTGGTCCATCTGGCGAGGCGAACCTGGACGGCTCTGTCGCGAGCTGACCTCATGCTGGCCGCTCAGGGCGAGCTCAACTTAGGCG